TTTTCCAGCTGTCTTGATATGTGTCCAGCAGGAGGCATGTGAACACTGGAGAGAAAGGCTGCGACACAGCCCGGGGAAGTGACATGGGCAGGCGATCCCACGGCTTTACTGTACCCTCAGGTTTTAATGAGTCGGAGTTACAGCTATCCAGGGACACCCTTGCCCTGGGAGGACAGCAGCTGTGTTAATCACTTAAGCGCCCTCCTAAGAAGCAGGAGACTAAATGCACTTACAGATTTGGGAGTGGATGTGAAGATATCCTTTTTTAACTCACACTAGAGTAAAAAGCAAAGGAACTGCCCCCACCTCCAAGAAAAGCTCAGCCCTCCGGTACAGTCAAGCTCAGAGAGTCAAACAGGCATCTTTTGCAGGTTCTCACACCGCAGTTCAGACACTGATTTGTCACAGAATATTTTAAGTGATCTGACCTGTGTGTCATCCCGTGGTTCCCAGGAACCACACGGGACCTGGGAGTGTCCAGCCATTCCCATGCCCTCAGCAAGTGACTCATTCCTTGCCTCACACCGACCTTTCTCAATCAGTTCTGATCTCACCCTGCCAGATGCCATTATCCCACACACATGTTGCTCAGAGTGCCCTCGAGAGACGCGTCCCCAAGCCCCACAGATGCCGTGGGGCTGACAGAGTAAGGAACTTGTTACAGGGCCCTTTTCCCAGCTGCACTGGCATTGCTTACACGTCAGTGTAACATGTCATCCTCCTCCATAGCCAAGGAAACATGCTTCTGAAGTCAGCCAGAGTCCCACAGGCATCCAAAGGTGGTGTGGGCTCTGACCAAATGTCAGTCCCAGCAGTGGATTTCTTCAGCCTACTTAAGTGTGCTCCTAGGCACAAAGGTCCATCTATCCAAGCGCCCCACCTTCAACATGGCCAAAAGCAAACACCTAGAGAAGAATACAAAAAGGCATGCTGCAGTACTTCACCACGGTAGTTTCCCTATTTCCCAATTTCCAGTTAAACACATCTCAGGGACCCTCAGAGCCAAAGGCGACTTCTTTGTCTTTATTAGCTCCCAACACTTTTATTTTCCATGAACTCGTCCAGACCCCTCCTATGACTTGTGCAGTCGTATAAACTTTCTAGCATCCACAACAACCCACAGCAAGGATTTTAACAGCTTGAACAGAACGGCATTTTGTGCACTGAGCAGTCATTTTAAGCCTACCACCTCTTCACTTTATTGGATGACCCCGGGTTCCTGCACTGGAATAAGTGGTGAATAATCAGTTCTGATCTGTGCCATTCACAATTTCATGTTCACCTTATCTACTATCCACCACTTACCTCTCTGCAGCAATATGGGTAGCATTTCAATCTATACACAATAGTGGGAACAGTTTTTGCAATTGTGTGACAGAAGGAAGCAATTTTATACAGAAGTGCTCCTGACTACAGAGGTAGAGCAAGGAGGGAAGGCCAGTAAGTTGCAAGCTCTCAAGTAATGCCCTATTTTGACAGATGAGCCTTTTATTTATGCGAGGGTTTCATGTTAATACCCCAATTTCCTCAGAGTTTCGATGCATCCACAGGCTGACTGAACACTCTCCCTGCCTTGCAGACCTCAGCAGGAGGAGGTGGGCAAGCGGCTGCTGGCCCACAAGGTTCCCCTCTGCGAGGTAGATGTCGTGGTGCTCAAGTATCTCCCCAAGAACCGATTTTGGAAGAAGGATGAGTCGCACATTGTCGGCCAGTTCTGTGCAGCCCCACTGCCTCTCAATAAGAAGTAAGTGACAGGAATACCTTTTGGGGATCCACTGAGCCTGGGGATGCAGCTTATGCTTTATAGCGATGCATTCTCTCTTCAGCTTTGATAAATGTGTAAAGAGGTCTCTCCCATCCCTCTGTGTCCCTATGTATATAGTAAGTATATACCTTCAGCCATAACTTTCAACTTTTTCAGAGTTGAAGCAGCCAAGTCCTTCTCATCCTGAGAGATAATAACCTCTGTTATAGAGCATTCTCACCAGGTCTGTTGCAGATCCAAAGTTCTCATAAGCAGGGCAAAATAGCAGGGTCTCTACTGACACATTAAACCCTTTCCATATTGCTGCCGAGCTGGCTTCAGGCTTCAAAGCAGCAAAACCCAGAAGCAGAAAGGAGACTGGCTCACATTCAGGTTCTGTCCTGATGGGCTGTAAGGAGAGTCAGGCACAAGGCAGCAAAATATATCACAGGCCCGGACAGGGATAGTCATTCCTATGTAAAAAACACTTGAGCATGAGGACTATTCCTCATTATCATCCCAAACTGGGATGGACATGCAGGATACATGGCTTTTTGCCACCTAGGAGTGGGACAGCATGGCATGCTTGCCTCGAAGGTGTGCTAACCTGCACCCCTGGAAGCACTGGACTTGGCTGCGATGTGGGTGGGAAGCTGCAGAGTTGCACAGGGTCACAACTGCCCTCATCACAAAACCGGGAGCACTCTGAGCAGCAAGGGTTCTTCTAGGAGGGAGTGGTGGAAAGGTGGAAGGCACAGCTCCATAGACTGCCCTCCAGCTGATTCAGCCCAGCCAATGCTTAGCTCCGTGTTCACCATACCCTTGCAAAGCGGCATGAGATCCACCAGCAGCTTGTTTGCCCGTGTGTCAGGATAGTGACCCCTGCCTGCTAAAACACAGCCTGACTTCCCTGTGCTCTTCCCACAGCAGGACCATGTTCTGCCTGCCCGGGAACCTCACTCTTCATGGCAACATGGACCTCCCTTACCAGCTGTCTGCTGCATGTGCCTAGCACGGCTTTTGGAGTATGGATGCATTCCCAAAGCTGTGAAGGAGTCCTAAACCTACTGCTTCTCTCTGCTCACGGAGGATACTTTCATCAAGGAACCACGTTTTGTTTTTTTTTTTTTTACTTCCTGCCTTCAGGAGAGAATGTCAAGGAAAAGTAGCATGCAGTAAATCAGTGAGTACAAGACTTAGCTGTTGCAGCAAGACTTCCCAGTTAAAAGACTGAATTAGGACTTTTATCTCACAGATTCTGCACCAAGCTCTGAAAGAGACGGGCAAGTCATTTAATCACAAGATTTCAATCTCTGTGAAAGGAGGAGATGATATCACTCTTTCTACACAGGGAGTACTGGGATGATTCATTTGTGTTTTATTAAAGCGCCCCGAGGTTTTCATAGTAAAGGTGTGAAGTATTACTTCTCCTCAGCAAGGGGAGTTCAGTTTTGGTTTAGCCTTGGAACTGGGAGGTGCTATAGGATCACAGAATTGTATAGGTCGGAAAAGACCCTTCAGATCGTCAAGCCCAACCATCACCCAGCACTAACTACCAAGTCCACCGCTAAACCACATCCCTAGTTGCTTAGACAACTTCCTTAGCAAAGAACTCACTTGCACCACCTGCAAGATGCTTTCAGAGTAAGAATCTATCAATTCTTGTTAGCCCTCTTGCTACGTAATCGGAGTGGATCTCCATCTCACGGCGGGACTGGTGCAGCTCTTCAGGCTGTTGGCTTGTTCTCTTTGAAGCTCACGTGAAGTGAAGCAGACACCAGAAGCACAGAGTGCTCTTCCATGCAATTTTGCACTGCTTTGAGCAACTGCCCAGAAGAGAAGGTAACAGGAAGACATCAGAGTATTGTAGCTATAGGGCCACCTAACACAAATTAGTCCCAGGAACTCAGCACTGCCCTTTGGACATGGAAAAGTAGCAAATGTCTGGAAAGCACTGGTAGAAGACTACAATATCAAAGAGACACATACAGAAGCAGCCCTTACCCATTCTACCTGGTTTTGGTCATCTTGATATATCTGCAAATTAAAGAGGAGACAAGTCTTGCATCACTTTTGCCCCCAGCTACACACCCTGTAGACCATTCTCGCTGGTTCCCTGGACTGGCTTTACTGAGAGACACAAAAGCACCCCAGGAACACTATAGTCAAGAGAAAGGGACATGCTAAAAGCGTTTCTGCCTTGAGGAGAGCTCTGCATGAGCTGTCACTCCACGAGGCATTGTCACTGCAGTTACCTCCTGCCTTCAGCTCACATCCCAACTTCTGGACCCTGCCACGTGGCTGCTTGGGAGGTTAATTAACAAATCATCTCCAGTGTCCACTCAGGAGAGGGCTAGAGGCAGACACTGACAACCTGGCAGAGATCCCAGTTATGTGGTGCCATGACTGAAGAGTTGTGCAGGAGCTTCTTGTTGAAGGCTGGAGTACAACCAAGAGAGTGCAGTGACTGGCCACGGTGACAGGCATTAGCAGGATGATCCTCAGCCTGGGCAGCCCCGTTATCCTGTCCTGGGATGAAAGCAAAGGCACGTAGTGCAAGAAGCAGTGTATGCAATGACGATGACTACGGATCCCACGTACCCACCACGCCACCGGCCTCTCCAGACCTCAGATCCCATGGGGTTCAGATCTCACTTGGAGGAGACCTGCAAGCCACAACAAACTATCCCCAAGAGCACAGCCCAGGGGAAATTCTCCATGGGTATCTCCATCTCTGTGACTCCCTAGAAGAGGAAATGGTGGGGGAAGCCCACCAGCCCAATCTCATTGCAGCTGAACGTGGAAGAGGCTTTTCCAATTTCACACTTTCATCTAAGGCTGCACTTTCTTCTCCCTACCATTGACTGATCTCCCCAGAGACTTTTTGCACCCACTCATTTCTTCACTGTGTGTGCACCCCACAGAGCACAAAAAGGAAAAAAGGAAAAAAAAAAAAAAAAAAGCCATCTCAGGCTCTCCCTCTCACCTGAGTCCCAGTTCCCTGCCTTTATTGTTTTAAAAATCAACTCAAACAGCCCCTTCACCAGAAGTTGGTAGCTTCTTTGCTAAGTCTTACTAGAGTGGGTGCCCAGTGAGATGCATCACATCAAATCTCCATATAATTCTCTCAATCCTATGCCCATTGCCAAAGCCACCAGGCAGCCCATTTTCCACTGTCCTTTCCCCCGTGCTTTGAGACCGCCTCACACCCTTCAGACAGCGTTACCTCCCTAACCAAATCCTCGAACACCAGCAGTTTCATCTCTGTCTTTAATGGGAATCATTAAACAAAAGGGAACACAGATCCTGCGAGCAGGCTCGTGTCGCTTGCAGCCGCATCGGCGTGCTGTGGTATCGGAGCTGCCGACACGCTTGGGAATAAAAACCAAGCCAGGGAAGCTCCCTGGGGCCGGCAGCTCCAGGCGAACATCGTGGGGTGGGAGGTGCTGGAGTGCCACTGCAGTCCCACGCGTGTGCTTCAGGTGCTCCTGAGTGTACGTGTCTGTGCGGGCAGACGTTTCAGTGCGTGCCAAAGAGTGTCTATCTGGTCAGAGACGTGAGTGAGCAGACATGCCCTCGGAGGGCCTTTGGGATCCAGACAGCCTGTTGTTCCCTAGAGCTCGGGGGTCTGAGTGGGAGCCAGGGGGGCTCGTCCTTTGCTGAGAGGGTGGGGGTAGCTCCGGAGGTGTCCAGAGGCTGCAGAAGGAAAGCAGTGGAGGGGGGAAGGAAAATGGGAGGGAGGAGAGAGAGACAAAAAAAAATAATAATAAAGCACCATTATTATCACAGGAATAACTCTTGACTTCCAAACTTTTCCAACACACAAACCCCATGGAGCCCACCGTTCCCTTTCCTTCTCCCCTCTCCTCTGAAATTAGCATGCAACACTATGCAATTCCTCGTAAAAAAGGAATTTACGTGGTAAATCAACAAACAAGGTTACCCACCCACCTGAGGCAACAAAAACAAAGCTCTTCAAAGCGCATCCTCTGGTACCAGGGAAACAAAGCCCACAGCAACTTTAGTTTTGCTCACGAAGCAGGTGTAAAACAGTTCCTACTCACTCAGACACTGAGATACAGGCCAACAAGCACCCATCCGCCTCACCCAGCAAACAGAAGCCAGCCCACAGATTTAACTGCACAGAACCACGTAGCAGCAGCCCTGCGCATTGCAAGCATTGCAAAGCAGCAAGCTAGGGCAAATGTGACATGAAAGGGGGAAAAGGCAGGTGGCTTTTGGTTGTTTGAAGATGTGTATAAGGAATAAAGCCTAGTTCGCAAGGGAGCGCTATTTATACAGCAGTACGCTGTTAAAGCAGGTTTTGAACAGAACCTCTGAACCTGTCTCCTTCAGACAGGCAAGTTACTGAAATATCTGAAATACTGAAACATCCTCTTCAGAAAGAACGTGCTCATCACAGCATACTCTGTCTTATTCACAAGCAGTCTAGAAACTCTTTCAAGAACTAGGTAAGTATAGCAGGTCACTACATCCCACATGAAAATTTCGTGTGAAACAACCTCAAGATGCACCAGGGGAGGTTTAGGTTGGACATTAGGAAGAATTTCTTCAGGGAGAGGGTGATCAAGCATTGGAACTGGCGGAGTCCCCATTGGTGGAGGTATTTGAGAGACAGCTGGACATGGCACTAAGGGACATGGCAGGTCAGGTTGATGCTTGGACTTGATGATCTTGTAGCTCTTTTCCAACCTAGATGACTCCGTGACCTTCACAGCACTGTGGCACAGCAAGGTGGCTACTGCAACAGTGATAAGGAAGGTGGTACGCAGAAGCACTTCTGTAAGGGGAATTTAGAGAGCCAGAAGGTAATTACCCAGGCTGGAAGCTGCCGGGGAGCCGGATGAGAGCTCAAAACAGGGGAAAGCCCCGGGGGAGCTCTGACAGCTGGGATTGTGGCTATAGTGCACTTCGAACAATGACACCGCAGGGAATATCCCTGTTTACTATTAATGTTTTCACCACTTCTAAAGCATATGTTATGAAAGTGCTTTCCCTTGGCCATGACAAGCCTGCTTGGGCTGTGGGTAGTGCCTGGCCAGGAGAGGACTGCAGCTCCTCTCCGCCACAAAGTTTTGCTGTTTGTTTGCACTTGATTCATGGAAGAACAGAGTTGTGATGTGACAACTGCTGGAGTGCTGCTGGGGTGTTGGTGCAGTTGGGATACAACTGGGATACTAAGACATGAGCAGAATAGGAAGGATGTGCTCCTTCCAGTGTGATGGGCTCACTACACTGAGTTTGCATTTCTTCACCTAATTACCTTAGAAATAAAAATGCCGTGCTGGCTGTTGCCCCCACACTGACAGACAAGGAAGATCATCCCCTTCTCCCATCCCGACTACTGGCCTATGAAACATTTGTGCTTCTATCACAGCTCTCTACTCCAAGTATCAGCCCACACTGATATCGCCTCATTCACAAGATCTGGAAAGACGAAAGCTCCCAGCGTGTTTTAAAAGGAAACTGAAAGAAAGCGTAGCCTTGTGTTGCGTCCCACAGGCTTTCACTAACACACACAAACACCTCTTGCGTGCATGACCATAGTGTTCTCATGACAAAAAAGAAAGAAAAAAGCCAAAAAAAAAAAAAAGCTGTGGTGTCCCTTACCTCCTTCCCTCTATTTTTTTTGTTTTTGTTTTTTTTAATTATTTGCATTTGAACTTTTGGTTTATACTGAGCTTAATCAACCAGAAGAACTCTGCCAATGACCTGAGAATGGACACCCTTATGCCGAGAAGACAACATCCAAGCAAAGCATACAAAGTGACTTTCCCCCCTTTACGACACTAACTGCGCTTATTTTTGATCGCGTCCACTCAACAGAAATGCCTGACAGTTAAGAGGATGGCTGTCTCATAAATGATTCACGTTCCTGCCTCTCCAAGTAAGGACTGAAAAAGCTGCAAGTTCCTATCACCAGCAGCCTACCAGGGACTGTCACATTACTAGGACTTCGCAGCTACAAAACAAGTGAAGATTTTGTTTTTCTCCTCTCTGCCTTCTGCCTTTTTTAATAATAAAGATAAATTAAGCCAAGCTCTTGCTCATTTTTTATCCGATTTGAGGAAAGCCAGACATGCTTGCTCCTTTCCTGGCCAGCTCTGCCATAGCCCAGATTTCAAGTCTGGAGGCAGGGAAGCAGCACAGGAACAGGAATGGGACTCAACTCATGGCAGAATTGTACAAAAACGGGATAATCTTCCAGTTCCACTGCTTTCAAAAACTATATTCAACTTCCTTGCTGCCACACAGACAGGGTCTATGCAATGGTCTCTTCTAGGATAGAAATCCCAATCCCGGGTTTAGTGTCTGGCAACTGGATGTCAGAAAGCAGCTTTTATTCGGCGGGGGCAGGAATGCACATTTGGAGGCTGCAGCTGGCGTGCAGCAGCTGGCTAAAAGTAGCTCAGCATGGAATTTATCTCTCGGCCATTTGGATCTGAATTTCAAGCACGAGCCACCCTACCATCTATTTCTGTTCACCTGCCTTGCTCCTCTGCTCCAACATCCCCCAGGCCTAGGGATTTTCCCCCATGCAGAGTAAGGAGCTGGCATTTAAGACTAAGTAGGTGCAGCTGGCAATCAAGGGGTGCATTTTGGGGCGATTTCCTTGGAGGAAAAAAGGGATGTGTGGTGGGTGTTCATACCTGCTTGTACACTCGACTCCACGTCAGCAGAGCAGAAGCGTCCTGCGCTGGTGGCCACCAGCCTTTGCTCTGCTTTGGAATCTGCCAAACCCCAGCCCCTGGGGACCTCAGGAGAGCCACGGGGTTTGCCCCTGGAGCCACCTGCACTCCTCCCCAGCTCTGCGCAGGAGCAAGCCCGCGGCAAGCAGAGGCGAGAGGCCGGGGAGCGACTCGCTGCCGCCGGCGGGTACTTACGCAGGGATGCCACGTGGGGTGACGCGTGCCCGTGCCGGGTGCGCCCTCACTTCATATACTCCCCTTCGCTCACATAGTCCATAAAAGACCCCGGCAACTCAGCAAAATCTTCCAAGACAAGACTGGTGGAGTCCTCACCCAGCAGGTCGCTCTCGGGCCGGGAGGCCCGGGGGCGCGGAGCCGGTGGTGGCGGCGGTGGCGGAGGCTGCGGAGGGGCCTCGGAGGCAGCAGCGGGTCCGTGGGCAGGCGGCGGTGTGGGTGGCAGCTCCTCGGCCTCCTCTGGCTCCCCCTCGGAGGCGGCTGGCCCCAGGACGTGGTAGAGGCTGGGCAAGCGGATGTCGAAGCGGAGGCCGAACTTGGCGAAGAGCTTCTCGTTGAGGGAGTAGAGCTTCTCCGAGATGTCGTAGCCCAGGTGGGAGGAGAAGAGGCGGGCGACGTAGCGGTCCTTCCTCAGCAGGAGGTACAGCCGCCGCCTCGGCCAGGTCACGTAGCTGCAGTCGGTCTCGGCCGTCAGCGTGACCTGCAGGGCAGGGAGGGAGCAGAGTGAGCCCCAACACCCCAGGATCACCCACACCTCTCCTCGAGGGTGGTGGGGCTGGAGAACCACATCAGATACACCCTCACCTACCGCTGATTTCCTTTCCCCAAGGAAACGATTTTGGTTGGTTTTAGAATTTGTTTTGCGTTGGGTTTTGCCAACATGATTACAATCATTTTTTTCTGCTAGCTGCGAGACCAGACAACAATAATAAACCTTTATATACGCAACACAAGACTGTATATTGCAATAAATATAAATAATAAAACAAACACACGAAGGGTCAAACGCTCCTGGGCTGAAGAAGAACATCCGAGTGTAATGGAGACACCGGCATGCGAACAAGTGTCGGAACAGAAATATCCCGGGGGCTCCCTTTCACTCTATACCCAGGGGTCTCCTTGGCCAGCCACCGTGGCAGAGGGCCACCGGGAAGCTGAACGCAGCTTGGCTGCAAGTGCGTGTCCTTGGGATTGATATCCAACGCCACTGCCGTGCAAGCAGCTGCTGTAGGAAAGGAATACAGGAGCGAAAACCCGAGAACTTCCCCAGGCCAAGGTGAGCGGGATTACGGGGCACACAGAAACCGCAGGGAGCAGAATGTCCTTTTCCTGACCAACTTCTGGTGCAGCCATCCAAACCCTCTGCTTCCCGCAGGGGATTAGGTGAGCTGTGACCACAGAAGCTGTCTCCCAGCCAGGGCAGCAGGACAGGGTTCACTCACGAACACCTCCGGTATCATCAGAGCTCCTGGGGGAACGTGCCAGCCACAAAACCCGACTCCTGCGGGCCCTGAGAGCCAGCAGCTCAGTGGGAAGAAGACGTGGCCAGAGCAGAAAGCACGAGGAAACCAGCTCTCCTCGTGGAGTGAGTCAAGCTTCTGACATTTTTCGGTGGACACAGAACTGAAACTGCTCGACCCAGGCAGCTGTGACGAAAACCTGGACAAGAAAACCTTCCACACCTCCTTCCAGCAAAGCCCCAGAATCAAATGTCCTTTTTTTTTTTTCACCCAGATGATTATAATGCTGGGGATAAGGCTGAAATGAGCCACGGAGTCTTATTAACTACTCGGATAAGAGTGCCTAGTGTGTCTGCCAAAGGTAGCACGTCACCACGGCCAGCCGTGGGTGTCAAGAGAAATGCCCTGCCAGGAACAAGGACCTGTCAAAGTCTCACCTGCTGAACGCTGCTCTCACACAGCCCGATACTTCTTCATGCTCCTCAGTAAGCAGACGAGGTTTTAGGCATTTTTGGCACACTGCTGAAGCCTTCCCCCACCCAGGACAGCACCTCCCCACCCCAGTGCCTGGCACAAGTGACCTCCCCGACCAGCCTCATCTCGCAGAGCAGGAGCTCCCCAGCTATCTCACACGCCACAGATAAGGATGCTCAGGAGCTCTGGGAACATTCAGTTCCACAGAAATCAGCTCAGAGAGCAATACAGATGTCTTCTCAGGTTGCACACCATCCAGCTGTCCGTTTCCCACCCTAAAGGGAGAATTTCCCCTTGAGAAGCACCGGGTATCATCCTCCCTGCTCGACTCTTACACAGGCCAAATTCAGAGCCAAGGAAAGCAGATTTGGGGAGCTGCCCCAGCTTAGCCAAGTCTGAACTCGGCTGTTTTTGCAAGAAAGCAGCATCATTCCCTCATGGCTGTCCCACGCTCCCAGGGGATTAGAAAAGTCCCTCCCCATATGCCCTAACCGGCACACTCAGGACTGACATCCTGATAGGGATCAGCCTGTCCTGGCTTGTGGGTTGGAGGCAGAGAGATGTGGGCTTGAGTAATCTCCTCCAGAAGGAAAGCCAAGCAAACACGGGGGTGTTGACAGCAAGAGCGAAACCCTCTCAGTTGCTGCAAATAAGAATTGGTCCGGCCTCTCAGCAAGGGATTCCTGTGCTCAGAAAGGACCATATTCAGGCGTGAATCAGCCTTCCTGCTTCTCCACCCCAAAACGCATCACCATCAGAAAGGGGATATTTATGGGTTTACATCACCGCCGCGTTTTGCCACCCTGATGTAGCAGCACACGGGGTGAGCATGTCGGTGTCAGGGCCTTACCTGGAAGGTCCCTTCCTCGGAGGGTCGCAGTGATTCCCACTCTGGAGAGTCCAGGAACTGGTAGGGGAAGACGTAGTGGAGGAACTGCCCGTCCTGGCTCACTCGGACCCTGCAGAGAGGACAGGAGATAGGCAGGCTTAGACCACAGAGCAGGCACCCCATGAATGGGATCACACTGTGGGCAGGAGCCGGTCCCACCAGCGAGGAGAGGCTTTCTCCTTGCCACACACACGTCCCAGGTCCCCTCTGGGACAGCTGAAAATGCTCCAGTTTCTGGGGCTCAACCCCTTTGCTCCATGGCAAGGAGATTCACTGCCCCATACTCTGCCTGTTTTGTTGCTTGCCACACAGGTGCAATGCCTGGTCCTGAACCAGGACTTCTCAGCCTGTAAGGCTGCTGCTTTTCAAGTACTCCTCAGCCTGATTTTGCCTCTTTCTGCTGGCATTTTCCTCCTTTCCTCAGAGCTGCATGAGGGCAATCCCTGCCTCTAGGCTGGGATGCAGCAGAACCCTTCCCCAAAATCCCACTGGCCGTTGTTGGTGCAAGCCCATAGGTTGCTGCACGTTATCATCCAACCTCTCTTGGCCTCTTTGCCTTCTAAGCATGACTTTCCCCTGTTTGCAGATCTGGTGCACTTCAGTGCAGGCTGCTCAGCACAGAGGGTTGGTAAAGAGAAAGGCACATGAAGGAAATAGATGTACCCAATTTCCTACATGTACCCAATTTCCTCCCAGAGCTTTGCCATTCAGTGCTGGTCAGTGTTCCCAGGATACTTTTAACACATCCCAAAAAGAAAAGGACAAACACTGAAAAGGCAAGGACAACTTTTTTTCTGCATGCCCCCGCTCACCTTGCACCAGACTGCAATAAGCCATGAGCTGTAGGTGATGCTGGGCTCGCCTTCCCAAAGGAAAATCCTGGTGAGACACTCACAGCTCAGCCCTGCTCCCACTTGCAGGTCCCTTTCCCTTCCCCACTCTCACTTAACATTAATGCCACGTGCCTGACAGCAAAATCCAAATGCAGAGAATAGCAGTGGATTTTGCAAACTGGAAGAGAGGTGTGCTCATAGAGGCATGCCACAGGCTCTCAGGTGAACAAATGCCAGTACTTCATCGGCACAGTTCAGTCAATAACCAAAAAGAATCAAAATGATGTGACTCGCAGGCAGGCAGCTGCAACCATCCCCAGGTCCCTGTGGTCCTCCTTGACGGTCTGGGGGAAGGAACAGCACGAAGACATGAGAGCACAAGGAAGGAAAGAAGCCTGACGAGGCGGTGTACTCACTCTTTGATGAAATAACCCTCAAAGTGAAAAATTTCTGAGCCCTGAGGGCTCAGGTGTTGGGAGCAGAGCCTCTCCCTTAGGGCTGTTGGCCAGGGCGAGCAGGTCAACCAAAGACTCTGTGCATTTGGCCAGCCACATCACGGAGGTGTGTCTGGTACCCACAGAGGCCAGAGGTTCAGCCATCTCAATCCTGCCCTCAGAAACACTCTCTCTCAGCCTTCAGGCTGCAGTCTGCTCCCGTTAGAAATAAGATCACCGAGGAAGAGGCAAGGACACCCCCAACGTTACCGCAAGCGAGTCCGAGCTGGCTGCGCTCTGCTACATATTGCTCGATGCTGAAAACCATTCCCTATATTTTAAGTTGTATTATAATATTTTAATATGTTATTGATTTATTATTATTTAATGTAGGTTAAATATATTATCATGTTTTTATTTATGTTAGGAAAAAAAATTTAAAAAAAAAGCCAAACCCCAAAAGCAAATTAAAAACGAGCGAACAACGAAACCAACAGACAGATGCCCTTTCAGAGGAAGGGAAGGATCACCACCCTGATTTCTGCAGAGGGGCAAAACCCCAAGAAGCAGCCCCAGCACTCTGCTGAGGAGCGGGCTGGCCCTTACCTGCCAGAGAGCAGCAGGGAGAGGCGGTCGATGGGCGTCTTGCCCTCCACCGCGTAGTTCTGGTCTCGGGCTAGCGGCTGCACCTGCTCCTCGCAACACTTGACGATTTCCCTGTAGACCTCCAGGGGCACCTGCAAGGGCAGGTACATGGTCTTGTAGAGGAGGTCGAACTCTTGGGGGATGGTGTCCTTGCGGAGCCGGTAGGCCAGGTGGGCCAGCTGCAGCAGGCAGAGGAGGACGAGCAGCATGTTCCAGACGAAGACGTCCAGCCCGCAGGCGCTCAGCCAGCCCCACAGGGCGTAGCAGAAGTAGCCCGGGGCCAGGAGGCCGAAGATGTAGAGGGACCCGAAGATGCCGCTGCCCCCCATGTAGCCCAGGAGGACGATGCAGCTGGCCAGCTGGTAGGCTGCCCCCTCCATGTGCTCCTTCCAGGCATCGCACGCAGGGGGCTGGAGGACAGCCCGGGCCCAGGAGGGGCTGCTGGCGCTCATCCTGCCCCGCTGCCCACCCTCGCCGGCCGCCCGGCCTTAAAAAACTATTGTCATACACAAAGAGGTCTGAAACCAGAGCTGCTGGGAGGCTGTTCCACCTCCTCCTCCTCCTCAGCGCCGGCGGGTCCCACGGCAGCACGCTTCAGAGCACCATGCTAAAGCATTTTGGCGCCTCGAAAATCCCCAAAGCGTTCGTTTTTCCCTCTCGGTGGCTCAGAAATCAGGCCGGCCCCCTCCCTAGCCGCACCAGAGGGGAAGGGAGCTGGCAAAGAGGAGGCCGAAAGAGTTGAGTCGAAGAGAAAGCAGAGGCCATTAGCTGGAAGACTCCGGGGCCGGACGGAGATCTGGTTGCACTGCCCCTCTGGCAGTGAAAATAGAGCCCGTGAGAGAGCTGAGCCGCGGGGAGGGGAGCGCAGGGCGCCCGGGGTTGGATTCGGCACTTCTATCTCTTGGCAGCCGCGAGGAGAGGGACCCCAGAGGGATAACCATGTTTGGAATTGAAATCCAAGGAGCAAAAGCAGCGAGGGGGGACGGAGAGCAGGCACGCAGCCGCCACTTAACATAACTCAGGCACCCAGATAAGCCGGGCGGCGTGGGGAGAGGGGAGAACAACCAGCTTTATCGCCGCAAACTCCAGCCGCACGCGGGGCTCCGCACTGCTCTGCGCCCTCCTGCAAGGGGACGATGGCCACGCAGCACAAAAAAGGAGAAAGGTCGTCTCCTTCCCCCGCTGCAACCCCCAGCGATGGCAGGAATTTAGCAAAAGAAGAGAGAGTCGGGTCAGCGGGAAGGATTTCCCCGCGACGACGGGCTCTGCGGCACAGCCTCCCCACGGAGATGGGGCAGCTCCATCTGGCAGGGCATTTCAGACCACGGGGGTTGAGGTAAAGCACAGACGCACATTTTTGTTTGCAAAAGGGCAGGGTTAAAGTAAATGAGCTGCTGGGACACAGCTTTATCTATTGTGAAGAGACTGTCCTGCAGTTTTGGAGCGCAACGCTGGGAAGCGCGCATTGCGGGGATATCCCAGCCAAGGGAGGACTCTCTCACCCCACAGATAACAGGCTCTCAAGCTGCATTTTCATCACATATGTGGCAGAAAGGATGTGCTTTTGAGCAGGTCTCCTATTTTCACCCCCACTAAAACAAGTAGCACAGGTGCTGGCAGAAGGTAAGCTCCTGGGGAAGCATCACCTCCCGCTGCAATTCTCTGTAGTCATTCATACAGCGGGGCTTCATTCACCACGAGGAGGAAACACGAACCCTTTCTGCTCAGGGAAAATGTGTAAAATCAGCTTTTCCCCCGCTTCGAGTGCCGTGCTCCACAAAGGCAGGGTCCCCCCGCTGCCAGGAAGCAGTCGCATTTCAGGCATTGACGCAACGGGCACGGTCAGTCGGCAGCATGAAGTCAGCTCGCATGGGTCAGTGGAGTAGGGATTGGGTTTCAGGGCTGGTTGTGTTTCAGGACGAGCTCGCAGCTGCCCTGCCTAACGTGCCATTCTCGTTGGCACCGTGCACTTAAAGCCACACCATCAGTTCTTCCACTACTAGCGCTCCGGAGTAACGTCGGCGGGTGGGTGAGGCTCAAGCAATGCTTTGCGGCAGCCTGGAGGAATTCATCATGGTCTCAGAGAGCACAATTTATCTCTACGATGCCTAGACCACATGCAACGCAGAGCACTACTACTCCGAGGAGCAGCAAGGCTTAACCAGTATATCCTCAGGTCTCTGCAAAATCAGTATTATACGGGGCCCTCTTTCCAAGACAGGCTGACGTTTGATGTAACAGAGGGTTGGGATATCAGGATTGGGAACTCTTAAGAGAAAGATTCATGAGATATTTGAGACAAAAAATGATCTGCTGTGAATAGTGATGCTGAACGACATTAGAAGCATACAGAGATGCAAAGTTGCAGTAAGACTGCCACCAGACCTGCCCCACCTGAGTAAGGACTCAGCTTCACAGCCCAGCCTCAGCACGGTGTGTTAAACACCTTCCAGCTCTTCCTTTGCTTTCTGGTAGTTCCCATTCCTGCGTGTAGCTCCAGGTCACAACTTTTGCCTTTTGGTACTACCAAAAAATTCCTGCAGCAACATCAAAGAAAGTGACAAAAAAAAGTTACTAGCTTCACTCCTCAGTTAGGTAAATTCTTGTGGTAGGAGATAGCCTGGATCACAAAATTAACAACTCCTCAGGACAAAGACAGTGTTTCCCCTGCCATCTTCCAAAACATGCCTCACCTAGAGGAGAGCAGCAATGTCAGTGCAGCCTTCAGCATATCCCAGAGTGGGGCTTTCTTTACAGCATTGGCACTTCCAGTCAGGGTCAAGCACGTGCCCTCCTCTGCCTCTTGATACCAGCGCTACAATTCGCACCATTTAAAGCCTGTACCGCTGAGGGTGCAGAGCAGAGAGCCCCAGGCAGCCAGCTTCAATCCCACACCAATAACAGCACAAATCTCTCATTATAAACAATAAAATTTTCCTGCTGGGGCTGAACGCAGTGATGGAGTGAGAACAGTACAGCTTTTTAAAAGGTAGATCTCTGAGCACCCTGTCGAGATGAGGGCTTTTCAGGCCCACTTTTTTGATAGAAAGGTGTGCAAAATGGTTAAACCACCAAGTCTCTAGTCTTACTTTCTCCCTTGGGAGCACGGGGGCCACATAGACCATCTTTGCAGCCTGTCCAGCTTTCCATCCAGCGAGAGTTCAAAGCACCGCCGTGGTTTTCTGAGACATTTTGTTTTCATGCCTTGCCTGGAATTAGCATACATGCCTTCCCATCTAGGGATGCTGGGGTTCATCTGAGTTGAGCGTACTGAAGTCGATACTGACTCCGGGAGAAAATCTCAACACAAAATAAAAGCCCAAAGCCACCTGGAATCAAGAGAGCAAAGACACATGGAAGACTTGAGCAGTGCTAAAACTCCGTGCTCGAAGAAGGCAGGTAGGCATTACGACAAAATGAGCCTGTGAAGAAGACAAAACAGACATCAACCTTTTCAGCTTTGAAACTGGCAGTGTGTAAGGAGTTATTCTGCTGCTTACCCGCATGTAATGAACTCAGCCAGTAGCGCTTCACGCTCAGTCACACATGGTGATGCAACTCAGGTGCAGCCTGCACTATTTTTGGCAGCTGTACTTGGCATTATCCTCTATCCTTGAGAGCAGCCCCGTATTGAGAGATTATCAGTACAGCAGCTGCGTGGTTATTTTGCTCAGGATGCCTACAGGTTCACTGCTGATCCAATAAACCAAAAGCAAGTTCAATCACCTGCATTGAGGACCTTGATGGCTTCAAGTCAGAGAGGACATAATTAAACTTGTCCTTTTTGATTTATTACGCGATGCATTACTGACAGTAGATTGCCAAACTAATCTACACAGTAATAAAACCTGTAGCTCCAGAATATCCACCTGGTGTTTCAAGTCACATTGGATTTACAGCACTGCTCCAGACAAGCTCATGGTAAATCACAAGTGGAAAAAGATGCGTACTGTATTTAGTTGAACCACTACTCTACAGTTTAGTCACATTTCCTGCTACTGCTGCATTTTGAGTCCTTGTAGCGACTGAACACCCTGTGCAGAACAGGGTCTGGCATCAGCCCCCTATTCAGGCCTTGAATCCACCCTGTAGGATTCCAGCATCTTTCCAGTACTGGTTACACACTGGTATTGCAGCATCCTACTCACCATCTTCCTTCCAAAAAAAAAAATCAGAAACATCTACCATGCATTTACCTTCATGTAGATATAGGTGTCCCTAGAATTTGTTTATGGAACCCATTTTTTTTTTTTAACCTTTCTCCCCTGCCTGGATCTTTACACCATGCCATCATTTCCAGACAAGATGCGCAACTACAACACTGATGCTCTTCCACCTTAGAATAACAAATGCTAAGAGGAGCACTAGGTCTTGCTCCCAAGCCAGCTACTGTGCCACAGGAGACTAACACTTTTTGCCAGAGCTACACCTGTGTCCTTTCTTTAGGCTGAGAGCCAACACAGGCACAACTCCTATCCAAAGAAAGTAGACAAGCAACGCAAAGCTAAGTTTAACAGCCCAGCTTGTCCCCTGCAAGCATTTTTGAGTACATTTCCTCAGACTTCAGGACCTTTGTGAAACATCCTAGAAAGCAGAGCGTGAGCTCCTTTCAGATAAAATTTCACAGAAATGTTAAGTGTCACATATTAACATTCACAGTCTCGTCAGTGCTAGCCCAGATTATGGGACCCCCAGCAGGCAGAGAAAGATCACTACTGCACCCATACCTGCAAAAGAATCAAAGCACAGTGGACAAGCGAGACAAAGCACAGATTTTGTATCTTCAGTTTCTGAAAAGAAAGTTCTGCAGAAAAAAAAAAATCACAATGATGCTACCTTAAAGCCATGGAACAAAGGAAGAACCAGTATAGGACTGTACAGAGATATAATATGAAACAGAAAAAGGATCCCATGTGTGACAAAATTCAACTATCCTTTTTTACTCCACATTACAAGAAGGAATCACGAGGCCACAACCACCTTCCCAGTGCTGTGTCACCCAGGTGAGGAAAGAGCCAGAAAACAAAAACCCACATGCACCCTAGCACAAGACCAACCCAACAAAAACTAGGCACAAACAGCCCCTCTTAATTCAGGCAAGTTATCAGTTTGTATATCTGCAGTCCTTTGCTTCCTTTCCTCTCAGAGAACTGTTAGCTCAAGAATTTGAGGTGGATATAAGAAGTTCTTAATTCTTCGTTATAAAGAATTACACTTGAATCCTATGGTAAAACAACTCTGGTAACACAGCTTTAACTTCTGAGTAAGAGAAAGCAAATTCAGTTTTGACTCTAAGGAAAGTTGCTTTCCTGAGACTGGTTGTCTTTGTACAAATATAGTTATAGCTAGTCACAAGCAGACTACAAGCAGCACTACAAGCTTCAGCATGACTTTGCTGAAAGCAGTAACGTAACAGTGTTGTTAGCATGATTTCTCAATTTGCATCAGAGGGAAAACCCACTGAAGACCCACCTGTTCATCCCCAAAACAGAAGAAATTCGCATTCTCATTTCAATTAAAGCTTTTCTCATTCTCCCCATTACAACAGCACACTGGTTTTGAATGACCATCGTCACTTTTTATTCAAAAAGAAACCAAAGTCAGGAACACTGGTCATTTTAGACTTTTAATTAGAGGGGAAAAATATACTTTTTCTATAACAGCAATAAAGAGTTAATAGTGGAAAAGCTGCAGATGTATACACCATAACTAGTCTACATTAAAGACTCTTATAAATACTTTGTTCATATTTGTCCCTTGAAGTAACTTGCAGAAATAGTTTATTTTTCAGCCTTCCAATCCACCAGTCACACAACAGCCATCATCATCTGAAAGAGAAAGAAATGCATAAAACACAGGATAATTTAAGTCTCTAGTCACTAATGAGTGTTGTATACAAACAGCCCCAGTCTGCTCTTAAACTGGTTTCCAGAACTTCCTTCTGAACTCCAGGAATATATCACAGTTAAGGATGTACCTTTCTAACGAGGTTAAAACAGGAAAAGATTTTCCTCCCTCCATTGTTTGACTTTTGCATTTGAGGGGACAGGGAGACAATATCCTACCATTAGAAATCTGAATTGAAGTTTAAATCTGCTGAAAGAGAACAGAGGCAGAACCCACCAGCCTCACAAGGACAGCAGCAGTCAACGAGGTTTACTTCGTCTTCCCTCTCTTAGGGTAGATTTGCCCTTTGTCATCTCAGACAGTACTCTGCACTTTCCAGTGGCACCAACAGAGATGCCAGAGAACTTCACACGTAGAGAATGCTCCTGAAGGCTATACTCACCACACTCGCAGTCCTGCTCATCTCACTCATATCTTGAAGCCCAGAGCTCTCATACACTCTTTGTGGGCTTCAATTAGGTGCCCGCAATTTTCTTCCCCCTTCTCAATGATGCTGCAAAACAAAAAGATTTCCAATGTTCAACAAGAAAACATTATCTTACTATTAACCAAATCCACAGAGCTGACGAGCTGTTGGGAACAATCAAGAAACCCTATGAGGTTCCAGAGATCTTTTTGACTATCCTGTCCAGGGTAGCACTGTTTTGGAAAATTCAATGCTATTCCAAAAAGCTGCCCAAGCGTGGAGTGGTGCGCTTAAACTCTGATGAGCTGCATAACAATTTCCTAAACAGACCAACGCTACACTGGGCAAGTCGAGACTGGAATTTTGTTATATAACACGAGGCTGTCACCTCACTTTATCGAGCGTGCTCATCTTGACAAGAAAGAAAGCTTCAAATTATTCAGTAGAGAAGAAATAAGCTTTCTATAATACACAACAGATTGAGACTAGCTTGACCAGTAAATGACAATTTAAACCAGCTTTAGGTAGTATTTAGGGATTCTGACACACACACACAGTCTAATAACTCTTTTTTTTAAAAAAAAAGAAAAAGAAAAAAAAAGCATTACCACAAACAGTAACTTTCAGTATTACTCATCCCTCCAAGTGTCTAATACCTTATCGAATAGCGGTAAAAGCCTATCATCACTGGCGTAGAGCATACACCACAAAAACAGTTCAGACTTGCTTTCTGGTGACTCGCAGAGCACTCCTGGCCTCAGGGGTGGGGGCTCCACCACCCTGCAGAGTGCAGGTCACAGATCTGGTCAACCCCCGTCTGCCAGACACAGGATGCTATTTTTTACTGACAATTACTGACAGAGAGAGAAATTAGTCAGTTGTGAGTAACTAAAAGGTCTAAATTACATTTTAGTTACTAAAACGTAACTAAAACTTCTTCTCCTCCCAGTATTTAAGCTTTGTTACAGATGAAATTGCACCACAGTCGCCCAGGGTAACTCCATTTGCTGCATGACTTATACCCTACCACCCTTTTTCTCAGATGGCCACGGACACACCTTTAATTTATCACGTAACTAGACTCACGTGCCTAACTTTGGCAGAAACACCCTGCTGGCCTTATTCCATCTGCTGAGAGACGCTTCTACAACCTTTCAGGTTAAAAAAATTGAATAAAAACAGGTTAGCCTCCCGACTAATTTACTGTCTCAGACAAGGGACCGGTGTTTTGGGGTACATTTATGGTAATATGTAGTGATAGTAACTAAGCCTGTGGATATAAATGCATTGAAAGGTGTCACTGTCGATGTTTGCAGCTCTGTGAGGACTGCAAGCAAACAGAAAGCAGTTGCTTTATTAGAAAAGCAGCGTTCAGAAGAAGGTAATATAAGCATTACCTAGGCTCTGGCACTCCTTTTCAGCCAACTAACAGCTGTGAAGGAGCTTTAGGAGCTTTAACACCTCCTCGGGGAAGCCGGCCTTTAGGGCGAGCCACCAGCCCTGCACCTCCTTCCTCGCAGCCATGCCGTGAGGCGCCCACCCCGCCTGCACACCCCGGGCTGCCCGAGGGGAAGCCCCACGGCCCGGGGAGGGCACTCACCAAGCATCCCTCGCCTTCTTGGTGTCGGGGCAGGCACAGCAGGGCTTCAGCGGCTGCTTCTGCCCCTTCGCCTCCCCGCCGCCCTTGGGCTCGCAGCTGGCGGCCGCGACCGACGACATGGCGGCACCGCGCGGGACGGCTGAGGAAGGGGGGGAAATGGAGGGGAAAGGGGCGGCAGAAACCGAGCTGAGGAGAGCCCAAGAGAGCCGGGATGAGCCTCCCGGTGCCGGTAGCGGTCCCTGCCCGCCCGGGAAGCAAACGGAGAGGACAGAGGGGTGCTTGGGTTCCGGGTGAAGCGGCGCGGCTGGGCGGGCAGCCCGCGGCTCGCCGGGAGTTGTAGTGTGCGGGCGCCATGGCGCCGCCCCGCCGCTGGGCGCTGGTGTGAGGCGCTAAATGCTCTCTGCTTCAACAAAGCAATTCAGCTCTTTCCAAAGCTCCTGATTTTCATCACATGCATAGCTGAGGCTTCCTATTTTCACCATCAAGGCACCTCTGTGGCACCCTGTCAATGCATCTCCTGGAAACACAGGCTCCTTCCTGAGGGGGCTGCCTATGCACTGCCATCCTACCTCCGAAATGGTGGCCTGTGACACTCACCTAATCAGCCACCTGTTTAATTAACCATCAATCTCAGCTCAGTGGCCTGTCCCCAACTATCCCTTTTTGGCAAATAACGCTGTTCAGGCTGACCCATTCCCACCCAGCCACCAGGTTCAGCACACGTACCCTGTGAGGCCATGCACTTGGGCATGATGACCTGGAAGATGCACAGATCATATATGGTGACTACGATATAATTTTCCCAAATATATGCAAACATGATGCAAGGTGGAGCTCAGAGTGAAACTCCTATTGAAATGTTGCATCAACTGTCTAAAGCAGTGTCTTGCTATCGCTTTGTGTGTGTTCATTTACCATATTAAGCATGTTTCCCTTTCAAGTTAACTAGTTTTCTCTTTTCTTTCTAGAGCTTTATCTACTGGCCGCTATCCAAAGGCCTGGAGTTGGTGGTAGCAACACAAACTCTGAAGGAAAGCGTGTGGTAAAAACTTCAAAAAGGTTTTTTCGAAGTCTGCAAGTGAACTGTCTTTTATTCAACAACATCTTCCCCCCCAAAAAACACATTTCATACTCTAGATGGAGGTACAGAATATCAAAGGTAGTGGGGGTGAAAATGTAAGCATGGATGGTTAATGGTGCTTTTTGTTATCCATTTGTCCTCTGCCTGCTGACAGTAGTAGGTAAATTGTACTAAGGAGTATGTGTCACGATGAAGAAAGTCATCAGCAAGTCAAAAAGGAATGGTTGAGGGCAGTCTACACAGCTGAGACTGCTGGAAAATTGTCAGATCCAGTACCCAGGAGGGAATTCCAAGGAAGTTCAGTGAAAATCTCTGAGGCTCTGAAAGAGGTAATGAAAAAAAAAAAAGAGGTTCCTCAATCTACCATATCATTTGGCAGCCTGGTGCCACACGTGGGAGTAAAAGGAATACAGATAGCACTGAACGTTTACAGCTCTGAGTTTAGAGGAGTAATTGGTGAATTGGGAGAGATTGCTCAGTTTCCATGGGGATACAAATTATTTTCCCTGTATGGACTTTTATCAGAATTAAAGAACGTGTAGTCACAACACATAACGTGTAAGCCTCCCAGTAGCACTGCAGTCTATGTATGTACAGCTTCTTTTACCTTCAGCCTCAGACAACTGAAAAAATGGTTGTCTAAAAAAAGAAGTAGTTGTCTGTTAAAGAGATTCAAGTGGGCAGACTTTTCAAGGAACCTCAAAAATACATTTGTGTTCATTGTTATGTAGGGTAAACCCCTATTCAATATCAGTTGAAAGCAGCAGCCTAGGGTAGTCTGGGGTTTTCCAGATTTCTCACACTTCTGATATACATAACATAAAGATGAATTTAAATGTGGAAAATCTGTGTGGTGAAACAGAGACAAAGGTATTTTGATATCTTCCCCACAGTGTCTATTCTAGGAACCATTAACCCTTTACCACCTTGAAGGAAAAAAAAAAAAAAAAAAAGCCTGTTTAACATTGATCTAGAGAAATATTTTTGTCTTTGACTTAGTGTAAACATAAGACAGCTACTGCCTCAGCAGCCCAGTCAGCCATACAGTATGTCTGATTGTCAAATAAATTGTCTATATTTTTGGTCAACACTTAAATACACATGCTATGAAAAAAGGACTTGAAACGTCCGAGCAAAATGACTTGTCAGGGCCCACCTGCTTATCACGTTAACTGCCTGGGTACAGGATAGAGCATCTCTTTTTGATCATAGTTGCAGATCTGCAACTGCCACATGCCGTCTGCTCAGCAGCGTGACCTGAGTGAGAACGAAGGATAGAAGGACCTTTGCTCTGGTCTTGTACGACGGAAGAGGCTCTAAGGTGGTTAATTACAGCCCCTCTAAGTTTCAAACTCCATCTTTAGGTGAAGGTGACTGATTCTCTAAACTTGGGCTAAAATCACTTTAAAATGTGATGCACCAGCCCCTTCCCTGGCTGAAAGGCAAATCCCAGTGTTCCAGGACTACGGCATGAATTCTGTATGCAGGGATTGTGTACAACAGCACTGCACTGTCCCCTCCTGGGAGATCACCACAGAAGGCTGTATGGGGACAGCAAGTCCTTAAAGAAAACAGAGTAGAACCAAGATTACTTTTAAGGCATTTCTCTCAGTGTTAATGCCCTGGATGAGTTTAGCACTGCAACAGATCATCTCTTGCCAGAAATTCAGCCAAACCTTCCAAGTTTCAAAGGCTGGAGGTAGATGGCAGTTTACAAGATTGCAGTCGCTTTCAATTTCAGAAGCAGAACTGAACTGCTGCCTCCCACATCCCCAAGATTATGGGGTCTCATGCAGGGACCAGGGCTCTGAGACCCATCCCTCTACAGTGAAGAAAATGGTGACCCTCCCATAACAAAAGGCAGAGAAGAAACTTTTGTCCCGATCAAAATTTGCGGCAGAAATAACGTCAAGCATTGCCACCACTACTTCTGCTAAGAAACCAACATTTTTATAGAACAGGTTAGACTTCGTTTCCAGCAGTGACTGACCTTTCTATCGAAATCTGGATGTTGGTATAGAAAAAAAAAATATATATATATATATTTTTAATAATATAATAATATATAATTATATAATAATATAATTATATATTTATAATATATATATATATTATTTATAATATATAAATATATAATAATATAATAATATATAATAATATATATATATATATATATATTTTTTTTTTATAAAGAATTGTAATGTCTTTCTCGCATTTTTGCTGTAAATCTCTCCCCAGTTTGTGCTAAGGTTATCATCGCTTTGTGTTATGCCTCTTTCTTCTTTTCACTTCCCACTGAAAGAATATCCAGCCATATTAGTAAAAATTACGAACTTGCCTTACAACACCCTAAAAGCCAGATCAGCACATTCGGTATGCAATCACCGTAGCAACATCACAAAAGAAGGAAGCTGGAATTGTGTGCTGTGACACAAAACAACTTGCGCAGGCTTAGGAGGCAAAGGCAACTGGGGCTGTGGCCACACGGCAGCTTTTTCACAGCACACATGTGCCCCAGCTGATGCTGGATGCACATTTCCAGCACAGCCAGCTTGCTTCGATGCTTGCTGGGATGGCAGGTCAGCTGCCCCCCTTCCTGGAGGGAACAGCAAAGAAAATCCAAGCCCTCTGGGATACACCCCACTGCACAGGCTGGTGGGAAGGAAGGGTCAGGCACTTGCACACAGATGGCTGCTTGTCCTACCAACAAAAAATGGGAGAGGGGCTGAAGAAGAGAAGTGTGTATCACCTGAGAGTTTGTATGCTTAGCAGCTGAGAAAATCCTAGCCTGTATTTGGAAAATAACATCACTAATCCTCCAAAAGACGTGAATCTGCAAAGGGCTGTCTATCTGTGCTCATTAAATTCTCAATTTTCAGTTAAAAAAACAGAAAAAATGTCCAAGCTTAAAAACATTTAGGCATGAACAAGATATACATTAGTCACCTAAGAGGAAGTCTTGCTATCCTCAGATATTTTCTCCACTACAGAGTTAACCAAAGCAGCTGCATATATAGATATTCCCAAACAGGAAACCTCTTTCATTCTCACTTCTCATGACTTGAAGGAGTAAGACTTTTAAACTTCTGCATCACCCCTGTAGAAATCACCCGAACTGATCTGAATGCGGCAGCTGAGCCACCATAAATACAGCAGTTCATGCATGCATGGACGATCTCCGATTAGTCACCCCACAGAGGGCAAATGCTCCCTAAGGTCTGTGCTGATGCACTACAGGAAATCTCACTCAGAACCCAAGTCCTCTGGCCTATGTATTGAAGAAAAATGACCCCTGTAAAATATTCCATAACACCAGCTTCTCTTGATGATTTTTCTGCAAACCAGGCTGTGTCACTGAACAACTCTGATGAATGGTGTTCAGCTGTTGATCAGCTGAGAAGTGGTGATACAGGAGGTTCACTTTTTGTCTATTACACACATTACAGTCATCCCTTTTTCCCCTTAGCATTGCTGCTGTTAACAATTTCATTCTGCCTGGTGCAGTGCCATTTCGATGTCAGTGCCAATAGCAAACCTTGCTTGTTTGAGTCTATTGAAGTCTCTCTCGATCGTGTTTTATGAAATGTGAGCTCCACGATAGCAAATAATTTAACAATCACAACAAATCATAGAAGCTAAATGGAAGCCTGGAAGGAATACTACTTAGTATTTCCAAATATATGAGCCTTTCCATTTTTGACATGTCACTGACTGTGGCTGCAAGCTGCTTGTCAAGAGCAGGTAGCATTATATATCTTCTAAATCCATTTAGACTCCCCACAGCTCTTACTTGCTGGGCAAAGTTACAAGACAATGTAGAAAATGGAATCTCTTAAGCTATTGCTTTCACATCAGTGGTGAGTCTAGATTTCAACTTCAAATGCCCAATTCTCCCACAGTTGATTTCTTCTGCTTTTCTTCTGGATGATCCAGGAGAACTTTTGAGTTTAATGAGCATTATTGGTACTTTCTGAAGAATATCTTTAAAAACCTCATTCCCACCAAAAAACAACTGGACTTGACTACCTGAGTGCTTAAGGTCAGATTTTAAGACCAGCACGTTGTGCAGAATTTTCTCCAAGTAACAAGTTGGTACTTATTCTGTGTAAAAAATACTAAATTTTACTCCAGATTGGTGCATCATTAGCTTCAACTACTCCGGTCCCTTATTAAAAACCCAGAATGGGTTCCTCTGAGTCTGACTCTCCTAAAGGTCATCCAAAAATTTACATAGGGTCAAAGAGGGGATGTTTTCAGATCAGCATGCTAAAGGACAAGTTCCTATCATGCTGTCACAGTTGATGTATCAAGACAATGGCAATGTGCTCTAGATCCTGCACTGTGTTCTGTTTCGTTTCCACCATTTGAGGCTGGGAAGTGAAGTGGTAAGGACTATGTGGATGCAGGCAATGACAGAGGGTTATTTCTTGCCATGACCTGTCTTGCCCGTATTTCTGATAGTCTTTACCTGGGACCTTGGATGTGTGTTGGCCCTCAGCTTAACTCAGTCCAGTGCGTTGCAACTAAAAGACAATCAGTAAATCTTTTTGAAAGGTTTAATAGAGATGATTAAGATCATGTTCCACTAATTGTCTGAGAAGAAATAAGAATCTGATGTATGGAATAATTATACTGTGTTCATAATTACAAGCTGCAATGCAAATACATAGCACATCTGGCCAGCAATGTAATTTCCATGAAGAGAGTGACTAAGACTCACAGAAAATCAAGGGCCCCTGGGGCTCCCTTCACCTCAGGTCTTTATACAAACATAAACACTCACTTCCTGGAAAAATATTCCAATTATTAGAAGGCAGACTTGACCAGGCACTTTGACAAACAATAGTAGGAAGAGCAAGGAGAGCTGGCTGAAATGCTGTGAATGTTAACAAGATACTCCCTTGTATAGTTTTTGATACATCAGATAAATATATACTGCCTGTCCCCCCATCTGCTGAGTTGTTAAATCTACTCTAAACTATTGTTGGCTTTAGTACAAACCATCCATCAAGCAGACAGTAAAGTCTAACTACCAAACTTGTGAACTTCTGGGTACGCAGATCTCCTTGGATCAAGGAGACAACCTTCTATCTACAGCCCTTGACATTCTTAGGAAGTCACCACCTCTTTTACTCATGCTGGCCCTGGGAGGAGAGCAGAGCCAGGTGGCATGATCGATTGGCATGGCCAGGATGGCAGCTGCTGGCTGAACAGGAATCACCAGTCAAATATTATGGAGATGAGTACCTCAGCAGGACCTCTCTCCAGGCTGGGCTGAGTGATAATTTGCTACAACCAAACGTAGTTGTTATTTATTTTCAAAAATTGACAAAAAAAAAAAAAAAAAGGTTATAAGGCTAGAGCCAGACACTAATGAGAAGCAGATATGGAATAGGTACGCCTTCAATCACAATCCAGCTACATGCACATCCAGGTCTTCTGAAGCAAGAAGTAGTTGGATTGATTTGAAGATATAATGCTCTTCCCAACTACTACTAAGCCAGAAATACAGGGTGATATGTTGTGCTGTTGTGCTCGGACTAGGACATAGCATCTCCTCTGGTGATTCAACTATTAACTGAGGAGACAAGGAAGAGAGCAAACATCCAATGTTTTATTTCAAAGTCAGGTGTGCTAACACACTGTAACTTGAATGCTGCAAGCTAACATGTTGGCATTGCCATTTATTCCTCTGAGTATTTGCATGGGAATACTAGGAATTCACTAGTTCGCTAAGGAGTTCAATCTAAGGTCCTTTTGCTACTCAGACTAGATAACATTCCTGACTTCAGCCCAGCAAATCAACCAAATCTCTGCTTCAGTCATTCCCTGATCACTAAGAATTTCCTCCAGGTTTCATCCAAGAAATAAAGTTTATGAACATGCATGTCTAACTGTACTGGTGAAGTGTTTTTGTTTGTTTGTTCTAATACAGAAAATACATATTAGCTGGAATCATCCTTAATTCCCCCTTTCCTCTCCTGCTTTTTTTTTTTTTTCTTTTCTATTTTTTTCTATTTTTTTTTTTTTTTTAATTATTATTATTTGTAAAGTGATAATCAAAACCATTATAGAAATCTTTCATCAGGCTTTGGAGTGAATCCTTTAACTGTGATCAGAAAGCACTGCTGCTTTGCTGCTTCATTTTCTTTGAGCTTTGACTTTTGAAGCTATCCTCATTTGTAGATTGCTTTTAGTGCAGGAAACATGCCAACAGTCATACTAAGAAAAGAAGAGAGAGAGCGAACAGAAGGTTTCCCATAGCTTCATCTTTGTTTTTTTTTTCCATTTCAGTGGTTGTGTCTCAAGATGTCTGTTTTAGCAGGGCTATTAGTAAAAACAGCATAGAGAAACCAAAGACTTCACCTCGACGAAGCTACATTTAGCTCAATCAGTACCCTAAGGCCATTTTTGCAAAAGATGTCACAAGTGAAATATTCGCCTCACAAACCTATAGGTATATAATGGTGTATAATATAGGTATATAAGGTATCTAATGCCTTGCTACAGCCAAGAGCCAGCACAGAGACGAGGCCTAGACCCCAAAACCAACAGGTTTCATAACATCTGCCCAGTCATTGAGTGTTGTACGTATACAGCTAGAGAACCACAGCGAAATCGGCCCAGGAATGGATTTTAGGGCCTCTCTGGGATGGGTCCAGGGGCCAAAATCACCTGATAGCACCTCGTGGTTAATAGGAGCGCCCAGCTGGCACCACCCAGGCCTGGGCCTGAGATGGATGGCCTGTACGTGGAGAAACTGTGACATCCCGTGGCGAGCTGCGAAATAGCATCAAACAGTTACTAATTTTACACGGGTGGCTTTAATTTGGGCATTTCAACAACGCTGTAACTTTGTTGATGGAACTTTGATTTTTTAATTACAAGGAAAACGCCACCACAAAGCACCACACGCACTCAGCACCACAACAGGGCGGTCAGTCTTTGCTAACAAAGAGCTGGAGAGGAACATCTACGGTAACTGTGGGTAAAGCCAGACGGATGACATCTTGCCAGGGGGGTTTACAGATGCTCGTGAATTGCAGTGGAACAGTCACACTCAAAAAACCTAGTTCCCTCCCAAGCTTTACAGAGCAGAAGGAGGGCCAGGTAGAGATCCACCATCTTTTTGGGTCGATTGCTTCACACCCCAGCCTTCTACACTTTCTCAGCTTCTCACCTCAGTTTCCCATTTTCTCATCCACAACACCATTCCCTACTACTGACTGCCCACCTTGTCTCTCTGGTTCCCTACCACCCCACTCCCCTGTGCACTTATCTTTGCTCAGCCAGCCGAGGTTCTCCTCTAAAACCACACTTTCACATCCAATCCATCTTCTCTTCGTCCACCTACTTCTGCTCTCAACTGATGCCCAAGCCTACCCTCGCCTAAATTTTCCACCTCTGTCTGGTTTTACAATTCAAACACCTCAGCAAGTTATCACGGCATAACAAGTCCATCAACAGAGTAGCAGTAATTCCTCTTCACAGCAAATTACATCGTCCTGCCTCAAGGTTAATGTGAGGTAAAATGCATTTAGCTCAGCCTCTTTCACGGCCGGCTAAACTAGTGCACTTTACCACAAATTTGCAACACGCTAAGCACTGGCACAGAGTTAGTCCACTCCATCAGATGCTGCACAGTAACTCATGGAAGTGTGGACAGCTTACTCATATATCTGAGAGTATGGTGCCTCCTCACAGCCAAATGGCTATAAGAAATCATCAGATAGACAGGACACCAGCTCAGCTACACTGTCTTGTTCTGGAAAAGCTATTACTGAAAAAAAATAAAACCAACCAAAAAAAAAAAATCATGCTTCAACCTGCAGCCCTAAGGAGAAAGCCCAACAGTTAAGTTGTAAAAATAGCAGCTAAGAAACAGAGGATATATATATATAGAGAGAGAGAGAGATAGACTGCTTACACCTTAGTTACCTTCAGCTCACATTCACCAGAGCAACAGGATGTGTCCTCGACACAAAGACCTGCCAGAGAAGCTTTGAGGCCCTTTTCCAAAGTGTTGGTCAGAGATATGATTGCCACAGTGTACTGTCTGGGATCAAAGATTTTTTTCAGAGCCTTTCATACCTGGGGATCATTTTCTTTAAAAATGGGTGATCTGCATAAGCAGAGAGAAAGAGAGAAAGGCTAACTGAGAACAAACATTAGCACATTGCCATTTCAGCATATTCCATAGCACACAGTCATATTCCAGGGACCCTAGCAGGCCCACAGCAGCTGAAGTGAAACCACAACATGAAGCCTTCAGGCAAAGAACAATGAAGAAGACAGTAATAATTGATACAGCCTTAAACACTGCCAGACTGTTCACTGTCCACATCTGTAATTCACAGATTTCTCAGAAGTATCAGCTAAAAATAAGCCAATATTTCACCTGTATTTCAAGTTCCAGGAACCTGAACCTTGAGCTTTTTAGCTCAGCCACATGTCCCAGTCACCTCCTCTGAGCGGGAGCACACAGGTCCCGCTCAAAGCTTCAGGTAGCTATTCAGCAAAGCTTCATAGCTTCAGGCAGCTATGCAGAAACCTGAAAAGTTGTGTTTTATCTTCTGGCAGGTAAGTTTTCAGCCACATCAGTCTCCTGAGCTGGTTCACCACACAGTCTTCCAGCTGCCAACAGCTACAGTTCAGACTCAGTGAGTCCAGGCAGCTCATGGAAAATGAAGATGGTAGAAACATCATAGATTTAGATCACTGTAAAGCAGTTAAAATTAATAGTGGGGCTGCACATTTTTGATCTTCTACAGCTCCAAAGAGCACTCATCTGTTAGGCTACATCCTGAGATTTGTACATCTGCATCGACTTATGAAATTGTTCCATTGCTCCTTCCCTACTACTAAATTTCCATCCAGTCCTTCACTCACCAAAAAAAAAAAAAAAAAAAAAAAAAAAAAGCCACCTGCATCCCTGCATCTTGTCCTCCCTGAAAAACTTAAAGGGGAAAAATGTGAGAGGGTGGAGCTGACAAAAACATTTTTTGGCCAAGGTACAGTTCACACACCTCATCACCTCAAGGCAGATGTCCAGCAAGGAAAATTTTACCATGGAAATTATGAAACTCTAATGCAATGAGATAGAAGAAAAAGGAAAACGGAACTTGGTCATGGGAAATGTTAGGCAAGCCTATTAACAAGTGATGTTTGCTGCCCTGTTAATAATTATAAAGCATCATTTTGTAAAATTTCTTATTAAAGAGGCCCATGAAGAAAGACAGAGAGCTGGGGATGTTCAGACTGAAGAAGAGAAGGCTCCAGGGAGACCTTGTTGCAGCCTTTCAATACTTAAAGGAGGCTTATAAAGAAGATAGAGAGCAGCTTTTTGCTCAGGCAGATAACGATAGGACAAAGGGGAAAGGTTTTAAACCAAAAGAGGGGCAATCTAGATTAGGTGTTAGAAGGAAATTCTTCACTCGGAGGGTAATGAGGCAGTGGAACATGCTGCCCAGAGAAGCTGTGGGTGCCTCATCCCTGGAGGTGTTCAAGACCAGGTTGGACAGGGCTTTGGGCAACCTGGTCTGGTGGGAGGCCTCCCTGCCCACAACAGGGGGGTTGGAAAGGATGATCTTTAAGGTCCCTTCGAACCCAAATCATTCTATGATTACAGCCAGCTGGTTATCTTTACAGGATGAATCAATCCATTATGTAAAGCTGTGGCAGCATTTATTATTTCAGTCTTCAACTGACCCACTTTGATCTATTACCCTAAGAATTACCTTGCTGCTTCAAACAAGCATCAGGCCTTGAAGAAAAGTAATACAGCGTTGATAGAGTCATGAAATTTGGAACTGTAGTCCTTGTGTCTCTCTCCTATGATAAAGCAGTAAGGGACCAAAATTTTCCATCAGACATACCAAGTTGCAAATAATTATTTAGTATACAAAATAATTAATTCAATGAATAATGAATGCTACTTTGAGATTATAGGCAAAGGAGATGGTCCATTTGCAATTCCACTGCTTTTTGTGTCCTGTTCTGCCTAAAAGAGTAGTCTCAGCAGCATTGCTTCCATATCCCCTTAGAATGACAAAAGGAGAGATCATCCCATTTAACAACATGAGTGTTTCTAGATTTGCTCCTCTGAGAAGGTGACAGCCATCCTCATTTCAAAAACATCAATGCATCCCAATAACAGAATAATGCTTATTTGTAATCCTTTGTGCATGTCTCTTCAGATGCTTTACAAATGCAAAAATACCTCCGGCTGCTCCACCAAGCCTATTTTCACCACTTTATAGTAAGGGATGTCCTATAGTCATGAGCAGTGCCAGGAATAAGAATATCCAGGCTTGAATCCAGTCCTCCAGCATAATTGCTAGACCAGTTTTTCTTAAGCACTAAGCAAGGATCCAGGGGAACTGGAGAGCATCATATAAAACAACTTGAGCAAGAGCTGTTGAAAAGCAAAACCACCTAGACTGTTCCCCCTCCCTTTTCTCAGCGGAGCCCTCCCTGCCCTCCTCAAGCTACATACAAACCACATCTAAGCCTGTTTCACCATGCAGCCCTTTACAACCGTGTAATGGGCCCAGTTTGAGTGAGCAGCCACCACTGGGAAAGGGAGTGAAGGCTACCCCTCATACATGGCGCCCTGAGGTGGTGGTGCTGGTGAAGGACTTGTTGAGGTGGTGGTGAAGGAGTTGCGGTGGTGAAAGACTTGTGGTGGTAGTGAAGGATTCGTGGTGGTGGTGAAGGACTTGTGCTGGTGTGAAGAATTTGTGGTGATGAAAGTCTTGTGGTGGTGGTGAAGGAGTTGTGGTGATAAAGACTTGTGGTGGTGGTAAAGGACTTGTGCTGGTGAAGAATTCATGGTAGTGGTGAAGGACTTGTGGTGATGAAAGTCTTGTGGTGGTTGTGAAGGACTTGTGCTGGTGGTGAAGGAGTTGTGATAGTGAAGAACTTGTGATGACAGTGAAGGACTTGTGGTGATGAAAGTCTTGTGGTGTCAGTGAAGGAGCTGTGGTGATAAAAGACTTGTGGTGGTGGTAAAGGACTTGTGGTAGAGGTGAAGAATTCAGGGTGGTGGTGAAGGACTTGTGCTGGTGTGAAGGAATTGTAGTGGTGAAGGACTTGTGATGAAAGACTTGTGGTGGTGGTGGAGGATTTGTGATGAAAGACTTGTGGTGGTGGTGAAGGCTTGTCGTGGTGAAGGATTCGTGGTGGTGGTGAAGGACTTGTGCTGGTGAAGGAGTTGTGGTGATGAAGGAGTTGTGATGGTGAAGGACTCATGGTGACAGCAGTGAAGGACATGTGGTGGCAAAGGACTCATGGTGACAGCGCTGAAGGACATGTGGTGGCAAAGGACTCCTGGTGATGGTGAAGGACTTGTGGTGGCAGTGTAGGACTGGTGTCCGTGCAGGACTCATGGTGGCGGTGCCGGCACTGAAGGTCACCCAACTCTCTCCCCCCCGAGCCAGCGTCACTCCGCCATGGGCACGTCCCGGCGGCCAGACCCGCCCCGTCGCTGCCGGTCGCCACAGTAACCGCTGCCGGCGCCGTGCTCTCCCAAATGGCGGCCGGCCGGCCCCTCGACTGCCTCTACGGTACCGGCACCGCGCCGGGGGTGGCGGAGCCCCTGGGCTGCGAGGCGGGGGCCGGGGCGGTGGGCTCCCGGCCCCGGCCCCGGGGGGAGCTGCCGGGGCTGGCTGTCGGCGGGGAGGGCTGGAGGGGAGCCGGGTCTTCCTCCCCATCCCGCCGCGCTCGGTGGCATGAGGGCGTCCGAGGGCTCACCGCTGTCCAGTCCTTTATTTCTGTTTCATCCTTTGTTTCAGCAGCAGAGCTTGCAAAGAAAGTATTCTTTGCAGATTTGTCTTCCTGCATGCGCACCTAGTTGTATGTCAGCGCTGAGGCTCCTCTGTGTGATAGCAGAATTGAGTTACTATGGAGTCATGTTTCACTTTTTTCTTTCTTTCCTAGCTTGGTTTATAATCTCTTATGGACAGACATAAAGAGGGAACTAGAGCCTGAGCAGCGCCTCATGCTGGTTCCTCCCGTATGTGACCGGTTCCATTTGTTTTCTTGTCTTTCAGACCCTCTGTACACGCTGTCGAGTGAGAAGGACCATTCAAAGGCAAATATCCAACTTATCGGTGATAAATTGGTAGGTGTTGGCCAAAGATAGCTCAATCATACACCATCATTTTTCTGGTGTATGCACACACATGGATAGAAACTTACTCACTGTCTCAGGTCTAAGCTATACTCCACTAAACAGCAAAATACAAAGCAAAGGAAGCAGTGTTGCCAAATACAAGACAACACGGGAAGCAACTGCAAGCACAGCTATTAAAATGTGTTATTGCAGTGTCCTCTCACTTACCTTGGGATATACTTACACTACAGCTCAAGGTAGCATACTTAAACATCATTAAAACCACCTAGGTACCACCAGCTACACAGCCTGTAACAGGTTACAAACCCATCCTAATACTTCATAGGAGATTGGAACAGTTTCACTTCCTAGCTAAGCTGTTAGCTAGTTAGCCCATGCTTAGCTCCCTGCTGGCTTTGCCCCTCTACTGCCAGTATTCAGCCTTGCTAGTTTAAAACCAGCTAGGGCATGTCCCTAGGGAGCTACAGTCACACCTTTAGACATTGATTGATGTCTGGACAAGCTGCATATAGGTAGGATGCCAAAGAAAAACAGACTTACTACAACTGCACAATGAATTGGATTTTAAACAAAGAGTCTTGCTGAAACTACACACTTGACTGAGCCTGCAAGGCAGATATTCTGAAGTCTGAAAGTCTGTTCCTGTACAGCAATGAGACATTCCCTAGAAAGCATTCCAACAATGGGATCAAAAAAACTTTTTTTTTTGGAGAATGTTTCTGGATGTCTCTTACATAGTTATCTCCAGCTCTTTTATATGTAAATACATATCTAAATGAAAGAAATGCCTGTTTGTCTGCACCTCTGTGCTGAGACACACACAAGGAGCTGGAAACTGTCATCATAAAGATGCCTGTAGCGGTATTGCTGTTCTAACAGTTCAGGCCAGACAAAATAAGCAGACATACTGGCACTGAGGTTGTGGATGTCACCCATGTAATGTTGCAGAGGGGCATGGTGACGTACTTTGATTTGTATAGAACATGTTTTAAGCATATGAATCAACAATTGCATAATCTGCAATACAAAACAATATGACTTTGAATTCTTGGTCTATAGCATCACAAAATGAGGCGGACAGAGGATGAAATAATACTAACTTATAAGCTCTTCCAAAATCTTAGAAGTTTAATTCCCTTTCAAAAGAAGTATAATGAAAGTGCAGTCTCACGCACAGTGAGCAGTTACTCATAGTAGTTTGCCTAGGTCTTCATAATCTGACACTCTAACTCCAATGAGTTACTGTGCTTGAAATGTCACTATAATCCTATATGCATTTGAGTTAGCACCCCCTGAAATGAAAGAGTCAATGCACAATTCAAAACTGATTTCAGGCTTTACGGAAACTCAAGCCAGTACAGCTACATCACTTATAGCAGAGACACAATTCCAACGATTTATGGGCAACCATAAATTTTGAGATTTAAGACATGTCTATCCAGGGAAATCAGTGCTCCAGAAGGAAGGGTGTGGATTTTTAAAATGTGATCATTTTTGTGCGCTAACACCCATTGAGATATTTTTAGCACATGCTGAAATTGTTATAGTATAAAATAAAGTAACTTTACTCTGTAAGTGGAATATGTTACTTCACTTCTAGAGCACATGAAATGGGAGAGAGTTACGTGGGATAATGTGTTAGAAGTTCACATTACTGCATACTCACTGTTAATGCACACTAACTTCTTTATGTAATGAACTGTTAGACCCTTAGATATTAAGTATAAGTTTAGACGCTGGAAAACAGCCACAAGACATATCTGTGCATCTGCTGCTAGTCTGGTATGCTCCACATCTTGAGAAGTACCATCTAACCAGCTGACATCATTAGCATATGTATGCCTTCTTCTTTCCTCATCCCAAATGTCCTGTAAATAACACCAGGCTTTTCTATGGGCTGCTCACATACATATACTTACCACCATCAGCTGAAAGTCTGATCTCTTTGATGCTATTTGAAATCACTAAATCACTGATTCTCCTTCTTTGTGTCCACACAAACGCTAGGTAAAGGTACCAATTTTCACAAGCATGTTTAGTAGCTTGATCCATTTCCCGGGCTACAGTCTGTGCTTGGACAGCAAAGATCCAGTGCCTCCATTGATTGACCGAAGATGGAGAGGGAGGGCTCAGCAGCGTCTGGAGGCTCTTCAGCAGCTTGCTTTGTAAGTGTTCCATGGTTGGATAATTTAACACAAACATGCAAACAAAAACAACAAAAACTCTTACACACTGAAGTGGAGATGACTGCAATTTGCTCCTACTTACATTTCCCTTGAAATTAAGAGATTGCAGCTGTTGTGGAGTATGGTTGCCCATCTGTTTCTTATAGGGTGGATGTTGCACATTCCTTCATCCTTGTGCTATCTGCTCTGCAACGGGTTGCCGGCAAAGTGGAGAGAGTTATTTCAATCTCTTATAGATCAGACAAGTTACAAAGACTTCAGTGGCTCATGTGTGCTACTTCAGTGGTAGCTGTTTCCTTGTAGTCTCATGAAGTTGCAGCTGGTTAGATTGCTTTTGCTGCACATTTAAGAGAGCATAGGGCTTGAACCAGGGCACCACAGTTTTAGTTCAGGGGCTTCTTAGATGATCTTTCTCCTGGCATTGCAATTTGCATTTCTGATTCAGCAAATATTTAAGCAACCATTTATGTGTTTTGCCACACCATGCATCTTTAGGATTCCTCTTAGAGCTGTATTCAAGACTGCAGGCAGCAGCCTAACTAGTTGTTTTCAGATTTTTTTTCTTTCCTAGCTAACTTTAGACCATGGATTTTTCATAGAAGTTCTCTGATACTGTTGTGAATTTAGTTATACCATTTGCCAGACAATAATCAAGGATGTTTGAGTGATAACTAAATATTTCACGTGTTTCTGTTCAGTTTCAAAAGCATACTCTTTTCATTTCTACAATAAATTAATAACTGTGGAAAGTTATTTTTTTTCTTAATTTCAACAGTTCAAGCTGTCCCCAGCACATGCAAACCTCAGTGGCTTCTTCCATTTTGCCTGTTATTCTGTAACAGGAATTTAATTGACACCTTAGCTGCTTTAAAATTATATTTCAGCACCATGTATTTGCAAAGTATCTTGCAATTAACAAAAGATGGGAAATACATCCCCTCTCTTTCAACCTGCACTGATTGACAGTGTTGCTGATACAGAAGATAGAATATTTTCCAGCTGCCTTTGCAGTATTTGTATTGCTTCTGCAAGGTTATCAGGAGTAAATGCTCGTTTATTTCAGCAAAGTCAGCAAATACAAGTCAAGGACATGGAAGAGGCAGGATCTGAAGCAGGATCTGTGGAATAAAAGGGGCTGTTTCACCGGGTTCCCATTGTGCCTATAACTATATCATAATAGGGTGAACAGCTTATGCTAATAAAGTTAGATCATAAAAATAAGTGCCCACCTGTGCTGAGTGAAACAAATCCATCTGGACGAAGCAACACTGATACACAGAGACCGCTAGTGGAACAAGCCATCAGCTCAGTTAACTCATTTGAATTACAAACATGACTTTACAGTAATAGGTTAATTAGTGCTGAGCAAGTATCTCATGTTACTGCACTGCATCCCAAGCCCTTCCCCTCTCTTTTGTTACATGTTATGATGGAAAGTGCTAGGAAGAGATGACTTTAAGCTTACCTTGGCAGTAAACTATCTGTCACATGAGGTTAAGGCTTATCTCTCTTCAAGCTTTGCTGGAGTTGGTAACCATACAGTTGGCTCCCCAAGTTCCACATCACAGCTCACAGGGCTCACGTGAGGTCTTTGAAGGCAGCTGATCTCAGTATGTGGTCCTCTGTTTTCATCTCAGCTGTTGAGCAACATTTTGTGTTATTAACTTTATCTCTGTAAATATGCCTCTGTATTTAAAATCGGGCAACAGTAGCAAACTGCAGTACACAGAATCTCATACATTTAAAGTCAGGATTCTTATAAGTCGCCAAGAATGGTCTTAGGAAAACATGACCTTCAGGACTGGCCTTATATGCAACTTAAGGGAAGGATTTACCTTAATAGCATGACATGGACTTTTCTTTAAATAACTTCCTTGGTTTTAACGAGCTTGCAGGTTGAGAAGAGTAAGATTGTAGTATGAAGTAGTTGTGAAATCAAATAGCAGTCCTGATGCATAGCTTTCAAAGGACTGAGTTCTACCCATTCTCTCACTGATTGCCTCAGTAGACCTCATGGTTATCCAAAGGTTTGCAACAAAGAAATCTGAGATGTTGTAGTGAAAAAATTAAACAGTCTACATACTTTGTGGGGAAAGGTGGGGAAAAAATGAAGAAAGACTATTCTTGGAAAAGATGCACTAGTCTCAGCATATTTTTTCTCCTGTATTGGATAATTGAAATTGAAATAGTTTATTTTAATTTTTTTCATGTTTGCTCAAAATCTTTTTAGCTACTTTTTGAAAGGTAGCAAATGGTGGTCTTTCACTTTGCGCACTATACTGCTTTCTGCATTATTTTCTGTTACGGAAAGTTTTTCACTCTTATGGAAAAGAACTTGCCCCCCACAGTTCCCAGTAAATGTTGTTTACTTTACAAGATCAAACATTTACAAGTGGACAGTCCTTGTCATGCCAAGCACATAAGGAAATTTTTATTAAAGATAGACAATGATCATCTTTGCCCATGCACTGGGAGGAACGAATAAAGTATAAAACTGTATTGCTATTTCTATACCAAGGATGAAAAAAGCCTAATATAATTGCTTGCATAGGCATGGGGATTTTGCAGAATTGTAATGTGTATGTTTTGATTGTGCAACCAGAGAAGTAGAGATAAAAAAAATAAGTAATGAAGCATAAGAAAAAAACCTGCTCTGAATGTACTTCCTAAGCGATAGTAAAGAATCCTGTATTCTGACTTGCAGAGGTCAGCCTTCTCTTCAAATACCCCCAATCGTGTATGAAGATCCTGAAGTTAGTGGAAGGAATCGTTACAAATATTTTGCAAGGTAAGGAATGACCTGATTTGAAACAGAGTTCAGAAGCTTGCTTTTTTGAAGTTTAAAGTACACCTAAATAAATGCCATAGCCTTTAAAACAAACAAACAAAGCAACTCTGAAAAGATCAAACCATAAATAAGTCAAATAATTAATAAAACATATACAAAAATTTGTGAGCACACTCACTTCTAATTCTAACTTCTAATTACTGTCTTGTGTTGCAATTCCAATTGGAAGTGTAGCAAGACATAAGCAGCAACTTAGTGAGCATAAGGCTCTCAGGAAACTTCTCTACAAGCAGCAAAGAATTCCAACCCCAAACACACTGAAATACCTGTTTCTAAATGTAGACTTCTCTGAAGCATCAAAACTCAGGCTAATAAACTCATCGAGAGTAATTCTGGCAGAGTGAATTAACAGTCTTAGAGAAATTTTACATTTTTATCTTATGTGGCAACATACTATGTCTTTAAAAAAGAGTTCACATGCAGAACTGAATGCTGCCATAACCCAGGTACAATAGTAGGGTCCGATAGGTCAACTCTAATAGGGTCCACTCCTGATGGGAGCTTAATGGTAGGTTGACCTATCCATAACATTGACATTTAGTCTTTGGAGGAGGACAGGTAAAATATCTTGAGAAACTGGACTAGGTCACTTGCAAAAAGTCTCACACACAGCTTTTGTTATTTCAAAGTTTTTAGTTCATCTGGATACTTTAGAAAAGGAAAATGAAGAATTGTATGTTAAGGGGGGAATCAGAAATAAAGTATTCCTACCCAATCAGCTGTTCTTTATAAATTCCATTCAGTCTTGACTGCAAATACAAAGCATATCTCTTTTCTGAAAACTGTATGTTTAAAAACATATTACAAAACACTGGTTTTCCACCTTTTCCAAATTGCAGACTTGTAATTTTTTCCAGTCATAATGTCTTTTCAGTCTCTCAGAGACTAAGCAAACTTGATATGGAACAGCAAACTGTAGGAATTCCTAAGAAAGAGTTCTTAGTATGAATACTTTTCCTTTGTTCAGTCTTAGTGTAGATCATTGTGCAACAAATACAATAGGCCTACTTCTTTAGTTTCTTCTAATGGACCATTTGCAAGTAGTCTACAGATGTCCAGCATCTCCATCCTGTTGAAAATCACTCAGTTTAGTTTGTCTTATTATCTATGACTCCTCACTTCTAGCACAGCACAGATTACTGTAACTGCTCTAATGCCATAAGTGGACCAATGTCAAAAGTTGAAGGGAAAATAAAGTTTTTAGAATGAGAAAATACTTTTTTTTCCCCTTCTTTGTCAAAAGAATAGCACTTCTGTCAGTGAAGTGTTATCTGTTGCTCCTTAGCTGTGAAAGACTTCTTTAATATTCAGGCACAACATGCAAGTACATAACTTGATTTGGGGAAAATCAGTCCACTAATTTCAGTGAAGTTACAATTTAGAAAAACTGCAGTGTAATGATCTTTTGAGCCTCATGGCTGTTGTCTTACCTCTGTGTTCTCTCTTTTCAGACCTCTCATCCCTTCCAATATGCTGCTTCCACCAAATGTTTGTTATGCAACGGAAATGTAAGTACTGACTTATGGAACGATACTGTTGTAATGTGTCACATCTCACCAGAAAATGATTGCTTAACTATTTAGTTGGTGATCAACAGTTTCCATAATGAACAACAGGAAAAACTCATTAAGAGGTAGAGTTTGTTCAGTGTTGAGAATTCCAGGAGAAACAGGTGACTGCATGGTTCAGAATTTGCTTGCAGTGGGTAAGTAGTGCTTTCTGGGTAGAAAAGGTGAGTGTCACCTGTGTTATAAGTACTGAAACAGGAAACCAAGAGAAGCCAATACAGATGATTCTCCAATACAGCAACATAGTTGCAAATTCTTCTAATATTTTATTACAATGTCTGTGATAGTTGCAATCCATGAGCATCCATGATATAGTGTAATATGATAGCCTGACCCCCATTTTCAGTGGGAATCAAATTTTAAGGGAACATAAGCAGATTCAGTTTGTAGTAGGATCTATACTTGCACGTGCTTAAGTCAGAATTGAATTTAGTTTTGGAAATGTTGGAAAAGCAGATACATAAGTTAAATTGAAACAGTCCTTCATTTTATACTCAACCATTAGTTTTTTGTGCCTATTAAAAGCAATGCTTTATAATGGATACATAGGTAAGATTTGCATGTAAAAAATCAGGAGAGCTGAAGCAGGAAGATTTCTGGATTGCTTTCCTAAGGAAAGAGCTTTCAAAGGACTCAGTGTTGTCTTGGTTTGCTTTTACTAAAGATGATGAAGTTAACATCAATGAGAGCAATGATAAGATAAAACAGCACAACTGAATATCTTACCTTTAACTTAGTGTTGCATTTCTGATTTGTTTTCTCCTTTTCAATGAATGTGACAAATGTTCTTCCATATTGCATTTCTTTTCAGGATAGATCCCTTTATCCTTTCAGCTACAAGAGACAGCAAGATCTTTGGTCCCAAGTTACGAACTTTGGGCACACAGACAGATTACAGGGATGGCGAAGCCCAAACGGATCCCTATTCCCCTGAATATGTAGTTCCCAGTGGCTCAGTCCCTGAACTTCTGACACTTGCTACTCTCACTTGGGGTGAGTTGTGAAATCAAAATAAATTATAACAATTACATGCCCCTTGTAGCAGGATATTCTCTTTTATTCAATGTCAGGTTTCAAGTCTATTGCTGGCTTTGGTAGACCATTGCTGTCTTCCCTTAGGGCACATTATTTTAGCTATTTTTAAAATATGTATGATATTTACCTGCTTAATAGTGCTATTCTGAGGCATTTCATAAAGAGTTTTGAGATCACTCAAAAATAAAAGGTTGTGCGTTTTACTAGGAATGGTTTTACATTTATCTGATGTTCCTCAGCTGTTCTGAGTTAGACATCAGAAAGAAAACCATAAGAATGCTGCTGCCTCGGAATACAGCCTGTGATCCTCATGTCCCAGTGTCTCACCTGCAATAGTGATAGATACTGGACATGCCAAAGAAAGTGTCCATTCTCAGAAAATGTCCTCCTTTCCAGACTGCAGTAGAGGAATGAAGAGCTAGTGTTAATGTCAGCTAAGCTATAGCAAATGTAGGTCCAACCTTTACTAATTTTGTAGAATTTCACTGGCCTTAGAAGTATTTACTTCTGATTATTGACCGCTCTGCATTGGTATAAAATATGAGCATGTGCCCATGAAGCTCTCTAAAAGCTTAGTGTACTGTTGGATTCACAATTCTTCTAAAGAGCTGCTACTTCTTGTCCTTGTAAGGTCGGGGGCTACCAGCAGGACTAGCTGAGGTGGAGATGATTGAACGTGCCCGGGAGAAACGTGCGTGGGAAGCAACTCTTCCAGCCATGGACAATGCTGCACAAATTGCGAAGAGGAGGAAAATGATGGATGATATGGAGAGGAAGGAGTGGGCCTTTAGAGAACAGGAAATAGAAAAGTAGGAGTCCAGCTATACACTATTTCTTTTAATTATTACCCCAACAGAAAATAAACAGCAAGGCTTAAGGGATTGGTTGGAGGGTGCACACCTTTGATTTCTGTGAAAAATCCCCTGATTTTCCGAAGGAATATTTTTGTTAAATTCAATATTAGAGACTGCTACCGCAACAGTTTTTCACTTTTCAAAATGAAAGATTAAATATGAAATATGCAGTATGAACTGTCTCTAAAGCAGTGGTATGTGGGATTTGATGATGACAGGATTGCACAGAACACTGCAAAGTGCTTTAAATCATACCTGGCCTTTCTTTTCCTTGCAGGTTGCAGGAGATTCGACTGAGAGTCTTAAAGAAGCTGCTGCTGAGGCAACAGGAGAAACAGAGTGAGCTGGATGCCAAGCGCTTGGACGACCACTGGCAAAATCATCAGAAGGCTAAAAAAGAGAAAATGAAAAAGATTCAGCATGACTTTGTACTGAGTAAGTCTGAAAACCAGGGAGAGAGCAGTACAAGACAGTTTTCAAACAAGCCCTTTGTGTAGAAGATAGGAAGTTGCAGTCTTTACTGAAGATGAAACAGTTCGCAGCCACAATATAGATACGCATGGCCAGCATTTGTTCTGGTCAAACAGCTTATATTTTGTATTACCCTGCAAGAGCCTTTGTGAATTTCTGAAGATGAGGCTTTTTAGAATTCCTTGTATGAAAAAACTTCTTAAATTCGTGTTTCCTTTCTAGTGCTCAGGAAACTGATAGCTAAGAGGAAGAATGTGATGGGGAAACTGGAGAGACGAGATATCATCAAAGAGTATACTGACTTTGCATCACAAACATATGCTCCTTTATCTAGGATTGGTTATTTCCCAGACAACCATTCTGAACGCTTTGTTGTAAAAAATTTCTATCTTAACACCTTTGCAGGTAAGGCATTTCAGAACATTTAGTTTTTATGTCGTATTTATTAAAAAATTTGACAAAACTGAAAATTCTTTTTCCATCGCTTCATTAGTTAATCATTCTTTGTGTCTCTTAGGACTGTGCGAACTGGAAGCAGCTCTCCCACATTCTGTCACCCAGGCTAAGATTAAAGCTCCAAAGCCTAAGCACACTACTACTAAGACTGGATTTGTTAAAAGAGCAGCAAGACTAGAGGTGCAGCTGGCACTGGTTCACCAGGTATGGAGCTGCATCCAGCAGCAGAATATCAGTTCCTCTCAGGTTTTAACTGTTCAGAAATGCTTTGGGGAAGATATACATTTAAGCTTTCTTCCAATTTGCTGTGCTAAATTTGTATTTTCTATAAGACAACTTGAAGGACAACATATCAGACATTCAGACTGTTTCAGGCATGACCAGCACTGCTCTGGAACACAGTCTGTCAGTACTCTGTCTCCCAAACATCTGTGCTTCTGTCCAGGACTTGTAGAAAACAAGTACAGCTGCTTCTGTATCCCTACGGATCAAGTATTTGGACTGGAACATATGACAGTTAAAAATTTGTCTCCCTTTTCTCCCATGCACTTATGGTAGGCCTGCTTGTTGCACTGTCAAACTACTAATAAATAAGGAAATCGAATCTGGAGTCATATTCAAAAATTTTTTACGTATTTAAAATGTGCATTCTAAGTACCTATTGTAAAAACACCTGCAGCAAAAAATTATTAAAATGACCCCACTCATGAAATTGGATCAGAATAGGGGCTGCATATCACTGTTGTTCCCTAACAACAGCATCTGATTTGCAAACATGACCACAGTGTTTTGCATATCTTAATTTATCACAACTGTTCATGCAAATAAAGTGCCCATATATGCAATTAACCACTGAGGAAAGAAGTGCCTCATTTGCATCTACAATCACAATATTTGTAAATTGCATGTATTTTTAAGTGTGCTCTTTATGATCCTGTTGAGGGTTACCTTTCTTTAAAATCAAGCCTATTCTTGCTCGACGACGCATCTCTGAAAAATACTAATTTCATTTGTAAAGCTGGGCAACTTTCACTTACACTTTCTTTAGTAAAGAAATATTTCCTAATTGGAAATTATGTGTATAGCTTTCTTGTTTTAGTGTAATTTAATAATACTCAATACAGACAGTGACTTTCTGCTAATGAATTTTAAATTTAAATCTTGTTCTGAAAACACAATATTATTCCAAATTCCACTGGATCTTGTGAAAGATGAAGCATTGCATCTGATTGTTTTTCAGAAGGGAACTTTTCAAGGAAAATATTGAGTGCTACAGGAAGTGTTCAAGAACTAAGGACATTGGTTCGCTAAAGATTTAGAGAAGATGACACAGCACTATCGAAGGGCTCTGAGTCTGGGTGCTTTTCATGTAAACTCAAAGTAGTGACTATATATAATCATGGTCATGACATTCGTGGCAGCTCTCACAGGCAGCAGAACGTTAGCCTGAGCTTTCAGGGCTGAAATCTAATTACAACAATTGCGTTTTGTTTGTTCAAAATACTTTTCATGGTTTGAAAGACCACAGTGGAGTGCCTAAACTGTAGTTACTGATAAGAAGTATGCCCTAATGCTGGCTGTTTACATAATAGTGTCTCCTCAAAGAAAAGTTGATAGCCAAAGAGAATGGAATGCTGAACAAAAGCAGACAACACTGGGTATTTTCTTCTGTAATCAATCATTTGGTTGGTATAAATCATACCTTGATTTATGCCTTTAACTGAGGGGCTAGTATAACAAATACTCATTTCACCTCCACAAAAAGGCAAAATGTATGTTCTTTTAAAATTGCAAAACATTTCCTTTGCAGATAAAGATAATAAATCCATGGTGTAACATTTAACTACCAATTTTAGATGTACAGAAGTAGTCATCAAACTGGTCAATTCAGAGATGCAGAAGGTAGCGACACTGCTGAAGACCCAGGCTGCCTCAGCCATTGTTAGATGTAAACAGATTTTCTGCTCAGAGTAACAAGAAAAGAAACAGTTTTATCTAACAGTCAGCTTGCAGGTCTGCAAGTATTACTGCCCTAGTTAGCTCTTAAGCTCTGTGGTTATACTACTGATTGCTTCTCTGGGTGGAGCCTTTTGCTTCTCAAGTTTGGCAGCTGTGCACGTTCTGGCTTAGCAGAGCCTCTCTGACAGGTCTACCTCATAAGCTACTGGTGCTGTCGAGAAGCGGGCAGTAAAGGCTGCAGAGTACTTGACTTAACAGAATTTACCACTTGAGAGGACAGCTGCCTGACCACTTGGCGCAAGCAGTCCCAATCCTGCCAACAACCTCCTCTGGCACAAAGAGCGTGAAAGGCAATTAGAGATCATCTCAGAAGGGCTGTGTTGCTTTGCATTATTTCTATAGCCAAGCAGCTAGACCAGTTATCTCTTCAAAAGCCTCTTTTGGGTACTGTCCTAGCACTCGATCTAGACATTTTCTCCCATAATCCTGGAAATGAAGCAGAACTCTAGGAAATTCAGAGTGCACGGTCATCTGGCTTTGGAATGAGCTTCTTTTATTTTCCCTGGCTAATCTGTGGAAGAAGGTAGCAAATAGAGGAGGAATGCTAGACCTTAGCATCAGAAGAAATCATTTTAATACAGGAAATTTCCAAGGCTCGCTTCTCTGGTGAAGTAGGTGGCAAGATGGCCTAGTCCTCCTCATTTTATTCCTCTTGGTTTACCATACTGAGAGCTTCCCTGAGGTTAGAGGCTGTAAAAAGGGACAAGAGAGGATCCAGAGATCTACAAAAAGGATTTGTGTCCTCTTGAGAATAATAGCTTCTTCCAGACTTGAAACTAATCAAAAAAGAAGTGATTTTAGAGGAGTATCCTGAATCATTTTTGCAGGAGTATTAACGTATGCTCAGTATTCTTTGAGTAGTTCTCGTTTTAGAGAACATGGCAGAAACAGGGGTGACTTGGGATTTACAGTAAAAACAATGAGCTGTATCTTAAGCCAGATCTTTAAAAGGACAAGGAAATCCAGTTCTTAGCCAGCACAGATTACAGTGATTAAAGCAGTATAAGTGAGCCATTATATAGACAGCCTTAAGTGAAAATCCAAGGCATTAATTTAGTTGAAGAAAGAGATAGCGTACTGATACAGCAAATTACTAGGAAAGAAAAGCAGCTAGGGAACTGAATACATCAAGGAACAGAGGAGCGAGTAGAAGAAATCCCAGTGCAGAGCAATACGTGGGTTCAAGCCAACCCTCTGATGCTCTGATGACTCAAGGTGGGGATGAAGTGTCAGGTGTTTTCAAAGTGCTGGATCCAGATGATGTCAGAACAAATAATCTCTCACCTCAGCATTAAGTGCAACTCTCATCATGTCTGTGTTCTTCATCCTGTTGCTGGAAGGAGGCAGAGAAACAGGAGGGCCAAGAATATCTCTGAAGAAAATCTGTGCCAGCTTCAAAGGGGAGGAAAACCTGTTCAAGCAGTTACTGCATCAAGAACAGATCTCCAGCGCAGCGTTAGTTGGCTCATGCTCAGACAAGCTCTAGGAGCTATTATGTCAGTCTCGATCAGCCAAGATGCAGCAGCCGTGCTGCATTGCAAAGCAGGTACTCACTCTGTCCTTGGAGATCTCACCGTCCTCATTCATGGGCAGAAAGGAAGGAAGAGACACATGCCTGTATACTGTGTGCTATACATGAAAATTTACTCACTGTCCTGCGAAAAAGAAGATTAAAGAGAAGATAATGAAGAAATCTAAGGAAGTATTTCTTTGAACGGAGGGTTGGTTCTCAAGCCACTATCATGTCAAGAGTTCAATTTCCATCAGAAGCCAGCAAAAAAGCTAAAATGTATGGCCAAAAGCAGGGGTGCCATTTCCTCTTCACTGTTTTCACCTGGAAAATGACAAAGAGTTGGAAGATTTAGTTGGACCTTCACTGCCCAACCCTATCAGATTATACTATGACTCTGAACCTGAAAAAAATAACGTATTCTACCTCAGAAAAAAAAAAAAAATCAACACATGATTTGTAGGTGGTGCCATATGAAGTGTGTTGTTCAGAAATTTAGTATCTTTATCCTTTGATAAGCTTTAAGAAAGTACTGTTCAGCGATTCTTGGGTTCTGGTCTCTTTATTTATAAAACAGTAATTTGTTAAGTTAGGTAGAAACTGTTAATGCAAAAAAACATACTTTCTTCTTGTATGTTGAAGTTTTAAAATAACTTAAAACTTCAGACTGGTGAAAGCAAATGGTAACCAGTTTTTAATTTGTAAAGATAACCAAGCAGGCACGAGCTTGTGCTGACATGAATACTTAACACCACTTCTGGGAAGTGCAGTTATTTCTTAAGTCTACTTTTATAAAAATTTCCTCTTGTCAGAAGTGCTCGTATATTTTCCTGCCTGTAAAAGTTGGAATTCTGGTTAACAAGAAGTATTTTTCGAGGATAAGGTATTATTAGAAAACTTCTTATGAATGCAACATTGTATTAATAAACATAGGAGCCACTGTTTTGAAAATAATCACAATTACAAGTGCTTTTTTCTCTTACTTTTCCCCCATCATGCAAAACACCTTATAAATCATAGCAAGCAGTACTATAATCTTCATACCAGAGAGCTGTAAGGTCATTAAATACAAGAAACGGTTTGGAAAATCTCTTCACATTTTTCAGCTATAACCATTTCACGTGGCTTATAAGCAGTTTATAGGCTTTGATTCTTGCATTATTAACGTGGTCCGTTTCAGAAGTTTTCAGTAATAAAGCATTTTACGCCCTCCACCTAGAAATCTCTGTCCTTTTCTGGAGCCATTAATAATCCTAGCTGTAAAGCTCAGCTCCAATATACAAGAAGAGTTTTATACAATGACTACTGTAGTTTCAGAACGTCATTAATTTTACAATTAAATTCAGTGCAAGCGCCATCAATTTTCTGTTGCTGGAGAGAGAAATTCAGCATGAGATTTTTTTTTCTTACATTTTTCTCCAGTTTTCCTCCCCACCGAAATACTGTAGTTGAGCATACCTTTCTAGCATGCCCTCTCTGTTAAAAATAAAGAAAAAAAAAAAAAGAAGAGAGAAAATAAACTATTCCCTGCTGGAATATATTTGTCCTTTCTGTAATAAAGGCTACAGATCCAAGTGATGCTGCAGTAGGATTACATTTTTGAAGGAAGTTTAGATGCATGTACTCTCTTCCCTTTCTTCCTGCAAGCTGCAGTGAAATGTCCTACAGTAGCCAGGTGTTGCAATGCAGCTGGAGGAGATTATTTGATTATCTTGCTCTAAGTAGCTTGCAGCTGGCAGGACTTTGGCTCTATAAGCACTTTGAAAATGTCTTAAAGTGGCCGAAGCCTAGGTGGCAATTCCAGCTCCTTTGGCAGACAAGTTTTGTCATCTGCCACCACACAGCTGCAAGCAGGATAAAATCTGCCTTAAATGACTTGTGGATTTTCCTACTAGAAGGAAATTCTCAGGCCAGTCAGTTTCCCTTTCTCCCTTAGTCCACTGATGCAGTTGCTCTGGATGCCACGGGGCAGAGAAGAGTTTCAAAATGCTCTGCAAGGAAGGAGTCCTGGATCATTTACTTCAACCCAGTGTGGTAACAGTATATCATACAAAGATACCTCACAGAGGAAGGAACACAAAGCTGTGACTTCCTTCGTGAAATCTCCTGACCCCACAACACTTTCAACCCACAAAAACAATCGTCACACCGATAAAGGCAAAAAGTTACAACCACTCTGTACCGACGTGCAAACTGCAATTACACTGTGATATTTCTGCCCATTTTTCACACTTTGAAAGTATCTTACCTCCATCATAGGAAAATGATTGATGTTTTTATTGTTGCATAAGGCAAGAATAACATACACCGCTAACTCTGATTGCAGGTGGGTCAGTGTTTAATTGGTTCAATGAGAGTCCCATTTTAAAATGAAAAAAAACAACAACCTGCTTTTAAAAATGTATTATTTTAGTTTGTACTAAATGAACAAGTAACGATCAAGTTCGTAGAACTTCTGGATTCATTTTAGGTGACTTGCCCTGTGCAATTATTCAGTTTTTCAACTGATGTGCAAATGAGAAAATTGAAGGCAGAAGCCTGCAAAATGCAGATTACTTTCAACCCTCTGGAGTCAGTGTGATCAGGAGCAGTCAGCATCTGCAGGAGTGGCCTTGATGTCTTGTTCTATCTGGCCCAGTTCTGATTAAATTGTATGACTCTTCCAGGCACTATTGGAGAAGAAGAATAAAGTTGAAGAGCCAAAGAAGCCCCTTCGCTTCCTCAAAAAAATAGAAAAGCCTGTTCCTCGGCCCCCCACTCCAATTCTGGAAAAACCATCAGTTGTAAGTGGAATGATTGTAAATGATTGTAGCACTTTTTTTTTTTTTTTTTCTGTTGATGCTTGATTGTTCCCTTCCTAGTTGTTAAAGGAATGCCCTGAGAAGGAAAGAAGTTAGTTTTATCTCTTTGTGTATCTATATTTGTCTTAGAAATAGCCAGCCACCTTAAGACTCTCTCATTTGTGTATTCTTTAAGGATACTAATAACCAAAGAAATGAAAATCTCTTACATGATCTGTTGGCCAAATCCTTAAGTTAGCTTTATTTATAAAGAAATAAATTAGTAGGCATGTTGTCCCCTTGTTCTCAGAGAACAAAAAGGCGGAATCACGTACCTCTGCAAACATGGATTTATTCAATGCCTTCCATCCTTCTGATCTGACAACACTATCATAATCCAGCGAGCAATTAAGTTTAGTCCCATTGAAGTCAGCGAGACTTTGGGTGCTTAGCACTGCACACGCACTTCATTAATTTACTGGAGTGAAGCTCTAATCACTGTGTAGGACTCAGTCTTTGATGAGCATGATCCGTTTAATTGACAGTTCACAGAAAATGATTCTTCTGCAGAGATCAGAACAGCAGTAAATGGATGTTATAATATGTCATATGAAAACAAAAACAAAAACAATTTTTAGGGGAGCTGCAACTTTTTCTTTCTTGAAATAATGTGCTTAAGAGGTGTTTGCCCCAGTGGATTGCTTTGTCTGCTTATTAACACTATTTTCATGATGCAGTAATAATCAGACACAATTATTATTTAAACCTGTGAATTTAAGAGGGATATACAACCATGAAAGCAAGAAAGAGAAAGTCTTGTTAGATCATCCATGCCATTGTTGCGCAGTATGATGTCCTATGTTTTATACGGTCCATTTTAAGATGACTGAAACAACCACATCTCCTCGGGAAGAGCTTTTTATTAACAGGAAAAAGCAGTTTTACTAACTCTTAAGTGTTAGGTATTGTACTGCAGTGGCAGATACCACTATTTGATACAGCAGTTTGGCAGATCTTTAAACTACATGGACAAAAAACAGGAGGATTTATCCCCACACTTACAGTCATTCTTGAGGCTATTTACAGACCACAGTTTGTGTGGTTTTTGTTGTTGCTGTTTTGTTTTGAAAGAGTTCCAACACAATAGAATTCCACCTAAGCTAAATCTGTCAACATTTGGTTTATTTTCAAATGTCTTTGTAAGTGAGTACATAAAAGAGTGTATCTCTGCAGTGAAGCTCCATCTGTGAAATCAGGGCAACTTCAGCCACTGAAGAGCACCTCTGTATCATCTCCTGCCTTGCAGAATCCATGTAAGGTTTCTCCTTCCGGCTGGCTGTGAGGAGCACTAATAGCAAGGCTCTTCTCTGTCATTAGTGCATCTCTTCCTGCCTTTTATGGATACGAGTGCCAACTGCTAACTTCACCAGCCTCTTTCTGCTGGTGTTGAGGACCTCAAAAGGAAAGCATGCCAGAGTGGCAGGCTGGTGACGTGGACAACAAGGGGTATGAAAGAAAGTGGAGAGAACAGAGGCACTACTGCAGGCCACCTCAACCAGTCATTTTTCATAGAATCATTCAGGTTGGAAAAGACCTCTAAGATCACTTAGTCCAACCTTTAGCCTAGTACTGACAAGTCCACAACTAAACCATGCTACTAAGTTAGTTCTACATCTACACGTTTCTTGAAGACCTCCAGGGATGTTGACTCTACCACTTCCCTGGGCAGCACATTCCAATGCCGCACGACCCTTTCAGTAAAGAAATTTCTCCTGACATCTTACTTAAAACTTCCCTAGTGCAACTTGAAGCCATTTCCCCTTGTCTTATCACTTGGTGCTTGGGAGAAGAGTCTGATCCCCATCTTGTTACAACCTCCTTTAAGGTAATTGTAAAGTACAGTAAGGTCTCTCCTGAGCCTTCTTTTCTCCAAGTTAAACAAACAGCTCCAGCTCCCTCAGCTACTCCTTATAAGACTTGTTCTCTACACCCTTCACCAACTTTGTTGCCCTTCTCTGGACACACTCCAGTACCTTGATGTCCTTCTTGTAATGAGGTGCTGCAAACTGAACACGTATTCAAGGTGTGTCCTCACCAAAGCTGAATATAGAGGGACAGTCACTGCCCTAGACCTGCTAGCCACGCTATTTTTGATACCAGCCAGGATGCTGTTGGCCTTCTTGACCACCTGAGCACACTGCTGGCTCATGTTCAGCTGGCTATCAACCAACACCCCCAGGTCCCTTTCTGCTGGGCACCTTTCCAGCCACTCTTCCCCCAGCCTGTAGTGCTGCTTGGGGTTGTTGTGCCTCAAATGCAGGACCCAGCACTTGGCCTTCGTGATCCTCATACAGTTGGCCTCGGCCCATGGGTCCAGCCTGTGCAGATCCCTCTGCAGAGCCCTCCTCCATCATTTACATCACTGAACAATACAACTCCATGTACAGAAGATTGCACCCCACAAAAATTTAGGCTAAATCTTGCAGTAGTTTGCCTTACCTGTCCAGCATATGTGCCAGTCTCCACGTCCAGAATTCTGTCCTGAAGGGGTTGTGGGCCTCGCTTACCTCTGCTGCCAGGTGACATGGTGTAGTTCAGCTTTCTAACTGGACTTCATCCCTTCTTTCCAGAGAACAAGAACACCCAATATCATAAGGCAATCCTTTGGCTCGTTCTGCTTTGCTCCTCTTGGGTGGTGTTATGGAAAGGCAGGAATGTTTCCTTATGCTTTTGGAATACTTAATCTGCAACACCTAAGAAAAAACAGAAAAATTCAAGCCTACACCATTTCTCTCATCCCACGCTCTTCCTGGCACTTCTAAAATAGCACATTTCAGTTCAGACCTTACAGGCTTTTTATTAAAACAACAACAACAACCACCTCCTTTCATTTTTAGTTTTTTTTTTTTTTAATCTTTGCCAGGCAGCTGATGGACTTTCCTCTCCTGCTACTGTCAACTCAGCAAGACCCCCTCAGAAAGAAAAAATGCCAGTTGTTCCTCTATTTAAAATAAGCCCTTTTTTGTTTGTTTTTTTTTTTCTTGTCATGTGGTCATGTTCTCTTTCTCACTACACTAAATCATTCCTCCAAGTTGGTATCAGTCACACAATGCTAGGCCAGTAAAATTCTCAAAGAGACCAATTGCAATATAATCTAATTTATTTTACTTCTAAACTATCACTTTCTGAGCCTTAAATTTACCGAGTTACTCCGATAAAGGTCACCACTGGCATAAATATCAGATGAAAAATGGTATATGTTGCCTTTTAATCCCCTTTTTTATGGTTAACAGCTCTCTTGCACCTCCTTAAATAAATCTTCTATCGTCTTGGTGTCTTGACCTGTAAATTCATGTAGTTGATGCTTATTTTGCCAACTCGGTCAAGCGACAAGTAGTACTTTCAATGCATACAGTCATTTTCTCCATCAATATCTCCTTACTGTTAGGTACTCCTCTAGTACCTTCTAAAATCTCGGATAGATTGTATAGACTTGCTCCTCCACCTTTTACAAAACATGGAAGTATGTGTTATTCTGACTTACCTTCTTTTCCCTAGAAATTAGAAGGATAGCGTTCAGAACAATTGAGAAATTGGATACAAATTTGACTCTTTGATATTTAGGTGGGTGATTCATAGAACTCTCAATCTCCGAAAGAATAAATAATTGTTGTGTGGTTATTTGTTTTGTTTTGGCAGGAGGAAGAGGAAATAGAACTGGCAGTGATCTGTCTGCAGAAGTTGCTCCGAGGAAGGGCTATTCAGAACTTGGTATTTTGTGTCTCTTTGTTGATGTCTGTCTGCAGAATGGTGGTGGGAATGACTGAAGGTGTGTTTGCAGTCGTTATTCCCCAGAACTAATCAAGGGTAATGAGGCTTATGCAGCATATCCTCCCATATGTCCTCTGAAGTCCTTCAAGGCTGAAATCGTTGCTCTCTAGCCCAAATTTGTTACAGTTCCTACACATCTGTGAGTGTCTCCCTGTTTCTGCCATCCCCTACACTCAGATGTTTCATTAGATACTTCATAGTAGAATTAATCAAATAGCAAATTCTAGACTAGATCTGGACTGTGAGTACATTTTGCCTTAATTATGCTTATTAATTAAGATCCCAGGCGCATAAAACTCACATGCCAGCAGGACAGCTTGTATTTCCCACCATCTTCACAGCTACCTGTGATGGTGAGCTGATCATTCTTGGGTGAGGAGCAGTTGACACATACCACCACGATTTCCAGCAAGTGCAGGACACATTGTTCTGCTTCCAGAGGAGTAAAATTGTGCCTAGGTAAAAATTAACCGAGTAGCCATGCCTCTTGGGTTTTACCTTAAGCAAGCCTGTCACTTTTGATCAGACCAGTGCAGAGGGTTGGGTTTTCAAGCCTGCTGCTGCTTTCTGGCTCATTGATATTCTCTCTTGCACTGATTGTTTAACGTCTGTGAAGTGTTCCCATGTGGGACCCTGACCTGAGCTTTAGTAAACAATGCAATACCATGTAAGTGGCTTGAGGTGGAGTTTAAGCTTCCCAAGACTTCTCCAGTTCTGCAGTGATCTGTGAGAAGGATGCTCGAGTCAAGGCTGTTGACTTCCACTAGGTTTTTGAGAGTCATGAAATGTCCCATCGTTTTTAGGAATTTCCTAAAACATAAACCTGTAGTAGGGACAACAGCAGTTTAAACAACCTCCCCGTCAACTTACTGCCTTGAACTGCTGCTGGAACAGAACACAGGTCAGAGACCATTAGATGTTGAAACAGGGGATGTCTAGCTTAAGCCTGAGGAAAAGGGGCAGTGCTCACACTGGGAAGGTTTCACGCTGAGGTTGGTATAACAGGATATCCAGAAGGATATTTACCTGTTCTCTTGACATTGGTTTTGCTGTTTGGCATCCCAGCGGTCTGAATTCTGGGTGAGTCCAAACAGAACAACAACAACAACAAAATCTTTTGTGATAGTGTAGCAGGGCGTCATCTGTACCCCATGGCAGAAAGTCACAGCTTTCATCTTCCATGCAGCAAGGTTTAGTCAAGCTTTACCTCATGGCTGCAGGGTAGGTTTTGGGAACAGCTGGCCCCACAGCCTGGAGGCTGAGAGGTGACCCCATGGCTCTCTGCAACTCCCCGAGGAGGGGCAGCACAGAGGAGGTGCCAGCCTCTGCTCCTATCACTGATGATGGGATGCTGGCAAAATGTGTTGAATATATTCTCCATTTAATATGCCTGGTTGCTTACCTCTATTTAAAAGATGTTTGAAGAGAAGGAGAAGCGGATGGAACTGATCCAAGAGCTGCGCACCACTCACGCACTCCATGAAGACGGACAGCTGCTTCTGAAAGCAGAGGAGCAAACGATACGGGCCTTACAGCAACAGCGTGACTTGCAAATGCACGAGGTTGGCACATAAAACGGGGAGGCTGATTCCCCACACTCCTCTAATGGGGTACTCTTTGCTTGCAGCAGCACCAGCGCTTTCACGTTTAATTCCTTTATGTTTTCTGTTATCCACAGTACAGAAACCACTCCAAGTAACTCAAATACTTTGCTTGCAGAGACCAAACACTGAACACCTGAGGGGCTAAAAATGTTTCTGAGATTCCCCAGAGCCTGCAGAGCAGCTCTGAGCAGATTGAGGCGCCCTGACCGCAGCTGCTGCCCAGGCTGTACTTGTTTATTTATATTTACAGGGCTCTGAACAAACTGCACTGTCAGGTGAACCTCAGTTTACCCCCATTTCAGCCTGTTTGTTGCAGTGACCTGGCATCGCAGTGCATGCTTGTCACTTGCACCTGTCAGATGTTTTACTGAACGTGTGTTTCTGCTGTGTCATTCCCCTGTTCTTTATCTACCTTGGCACACCTTCAGGCTCTTCCTCAGGCAGAAAGCATCACAGGAGAAACCAATGTTGGTTTAGTTTGTAAGTCTGGTAGGGACTGAGACTTCTAGGACCTTATCAGTGGTGTTATAGTGGTGTACTTGCCACTAGTTCTGGAACGCAGGGAAATTCTGGGCCCCATCCTCTACCAAGAATCTTGTGAGAGTCAGGGAACACAAATTCTTACCCTATTTCCTTGGAGGGCAGTGGATTTCCAGAGCATAATGAATCAAATGGCAGCTTCTGGTCTGGAATGCATCATGAGGAAATTTTGTCCAGACTTGAATGTAATCTCAGATATGCAGTATCTCCCACATTTGTGCAGGTTTACATATTGTTTTTACCACTCTCCTGGTGTTTCGCTGACCAGCTGTGAAGCAATTCTGCAGGTTGTATATTATGATAACAGCATCTACTCACCACTGGCCTGGCTGAGATGATGTCAAATTGCTGCTTCCTGCTGAGTGGACAGCAACAAAATTTCTCCATAGATCTTGGTAAAAATGGAGTGGGGGGACTGTGTTTTGCTCTTTATCATGTCTAGATGTTCCCTCATACATAGGGAGCCCAGATGTAGAATGCAAGAATACAGGATTAATCATGCTGAAAAAATAAGAAAAAAAAATCCTTAGGCATTAGGAACTTGAAATTGCTCCCTCCCTTCTGGAAACACAGGGAAGAGTAAAGGAGACAGCAGTTCAGACATCATAACACCATTCACAGAGAAGGGGAGAGAGCAAATGGTAGAGATGCTGACCTCTGATCTCAAAATTTCCTTCTGGGAGAGCCACTATCCCCCTCTGCTGGTATCTAACTCCTCTACTCTCACTTTTTTTTTTTTTTTTTTAAGGTACAAACAAACAAACAACAAAACATTCTGAGGGCACACAATCCAAGGCTCAAATCTAAATATTTTGAACTATAAAACTCTGAAATGCACGTGCAGCAGTTTTCTATGTGTGTGCCTATCTTAGAGTCACTGATGTTCCACAGTTCTTTAGTTCTTGTTGGTCACAGGTTTCTCAGGTTTTTTGACATTTCTAATATAAAAAAAGGAGCATTTTTCAAGAAATATTTTCTGCATAAGGAGGACTAAAATTCCAGATAGAATAAGGAAAGATAAATGTCGCTAAGCTGAAGTATAGCAAAATCCTAAAACAGGACAGTTTCTGGGTTGTTTTCCTTCATTTCATACAGGTTTTAGATACAGCACTTTAAGCAATAAAGAGGAAGAAGCAGGTTAGTTCCTTGGTATCTGTCCTTGTGAGGGGATGCAGCGACTGCATTGCTGTCCTCCAGAGATAACGAACGTACCGTAGATCCTGTCATTTTCTGAAGTGCAATCACAGATACCAAACCCATAAAGCATGAATAAGGTGTGAATGACACAGCAATGCCAAACACCTGGACTCTGGTCTCAGTTCTGTCACAGACTTGCTGATTTTCCATTACCTGGAGTTTTGAGTTCTCGTTTGCACATCCACAAACTCAATATAATTACTGTTGCTTTGAATTTTGTAGCATTTAGTACTTAACTTGTACGGTTTTAGGTAACAACTCAATATCTAAATCATCAGGGTCTCTTGATCCCAGTGTTACCTCAGCAAGTTTTATCACTTCGGTTGCATCATGAATGTCCAACAAAAAATGTACCATTTCACTGAGGTGACTTTGAACGGTCACAAACACCTTGAATCTTCAAAATAGCATAAAAATGTGTCTGTACTCAAAATTGTGCAGTTTCCTAAACCTTTACTCAAGCTCCCTATTCATAAAGAATTGAGGCTTTACTTTCCAGATGCTAGAAACTGTATTTGCCACTTAGGATCCTATTTTTCTATTCTGGTCTAGCTAAGCTTAGCACGGAAGGATGAAGGATATGTGGTTGAAATAATTTCACTGTCACTTTTGTACCTCCCCTTTCTTGGTCTGGGAAGTGGAGCAGTTCCCCAGTAACAAGAAGATGGCCTCAGTGACTATTCTGATTATACCCACAGGCAAAAAAGCGGCTCATAATAGCAGGAATACAGTGCATCTAGTGTTTTATCTCCTCCCACTCACTCGAGGGAGGCAGCTGTTTGTCCCAGTGCGACAGGAGCAGGCCTCTCCCCACACTGGCCAATTTTTGGCCCTTTTATGCTAGCAGAGGCTGTACGCAGGAACATTACATTATGCAGAATCCAAGCCTGTGCATGTAAAACAAGAATGCAAAACTCCCCACGGTTGGTGTGAGGGGATGTTGCAGAGCTGTTTCACATGCCTGTGGCAGCCCTGGGACTCGGAGAAACATTCCTGAGGTTTGTAACACAATTCTTTGCATTTTTTTTTTAAAGCTGTCATCAGTGGAAAGCCGCTTGGCCCAGGAAGAAGGAAGGGCACTGGCAAACATGTTTGATTTCCTGTCCAAAGAGCTGTTGAGGCTGCAGGAAGAGCGGAGGATCCACGCTTTTGTCATGCTGGCTGAGAGGCAGAGGCGGATGCGGGAGGCAGAAGAGAGCGGACGCCGTCAAGTGGAAGAGAGGCGTCGGCAGGAGGAAGATGAGATTTTCAGACAGGCAAGAGAAAAGAGACTGGTGGCACAGCGGGCAGCCTGTGGGAACTGCCTGCTGCTTGGGGGAAGGGCTGGATGGAAGGGAAGTGCTTCACTGATGTACCTAACTCATCTTTAGGGTCAGTGTTTTGTCACAACTTGGCCTGTCCAGGAGAGCTGTTGGGTGCTCTCCCAGGAGAGGTGCCTTTAAACAAGATTTTGGAAAGATTTTGCCCTGCAGAAATGGACTGCAACAACAACGGCTACCATAAGATGAATTGTTTTGAAGCAATGAGAATGGAAAACATAACTGAAGTCCAGAAATTAGTCCTGAGATTACCCCATTCCATAACTGCTGAATAGTCCTGCTCCTACTCCCCAGCTCCTGGCTGCATGAAGCCTATTTCTCCCAGCTGAAAAGAATGAGTGGGAGCCTAATTGACTAAACCAATAATTTTCAAACTTTGTGGGAGGAGGTTAATACCAGGAGAGCCTGAAATCACATTTATTTTTCTTTTAATTTTGTCTTTTCCTCTTTTCTGTTTCTCTGAGTTGCAATCAAGGTGGGTCAAAATGCAATAAGCTTAGGCCCTCAACACTAGCAGAAGGAAAAGATCTATTTCTAGAATCTCTGCTCTACATCCATTGTAAGGAAACCAGTAATTTCACCTTGGTTTTATTCATGCTACTTTATCTGGCTTGATGAATGCTTTTTCCTCCAGCTTAAATGAAAGATGATTAATTTACTGAAGCCAATAATGACAATTGTTATTTGGCAGCTGTTGTTCAGGAGGCCATGAGAACTGAAGAAGCAACTGCTATAGGATTCATAGAGTTAACCTGCTGCAGAAGAATTGTAGCTGCAGATAAGTTTGGTATCTCACACTGGTTCCTTCCTGAACTTGTTTCTGAGTTTGTTCTCAGATAGAATAATTAGAGAAGAGGATTTTACACAAGTTATTCTGCACAGAAAGCACCTCTGAAACCAAACCGCAGGCTGGTCTGCCTGAAATTAAGAGCATCTGGTGAAAACCTGTTGTTCTTATTTCTCCAGAAATCTGGTTCCATCCTCTTAGCAAAGCAGTAGGCAGTAAGAATAACACCTTGGTGTTTGTTCCAGGTGGTGAAGGTGCAGCAGAGCACTATTGACTCCTACTTGGAAGACATTATCCTGAGTACCATGGAGAACACAGCTGAAGAACAAGCCAGGGAAGAGATTCAGAGAATGGCCGTAGAAATCAATGACATTGCTTATGAAATGGAAAGTTGGTATGTTCTTAAAAGACACACTGGAGGCCACTTCTAGCCGTGTAGAGCCTGCCTAACTGTCTGCACCTGTGGTTACATGTATAATTTAAGACACAGGAAGGGTAGAGCGGTACTGTTCATGAACACCTCTTTAGTGTGACTGCTGTATGGGAACCACACCATTACTATCTGGTACACACGTATAAATCCATCAGCGCTTTATTCCTATACAGCATGCGCCAGAATCCCTTTGCAAATCTCTTGTGGGATCTGTGAATCACCCTTTTTAGACTTCTCCATGCCAATGTGATGCTGTGACTGAGCTTTAAGTGAATCTGGGAACTGCCTAAAGCAATACCCCATTCATACTGGTCTTTTCATTTATTTACAGTACTACAGAAAATCAGTTTGAAAGAGATGCTAAAGATACAGCTGTACAGCAGTCTCATTCTGGGGTGGCTGTTCTTTAAGAAACTGCCAATTTCCATGGGGGTCAGTCATATTGATGGCTGCCTGACAAAGCGCTCTGGGTAGAGTAACTTGTTGAGAACACCACAGTCTTGTGTTTGGCTGGGGCATCGGCAGTGAATACTTTTTAGGACCTGCCAAACCTCCGATTCAGTTTCTATGCTCTTTTTTTGGAACGGAGCCATAAAAATCCCAATGACACAGTGACTCTCCTATGGTACAGCAGCTGTGTATTTTGTAACCAGATGAATACAACCAGAATGTCAAAATCCTTGGGGAGAATGAAGCGTAGATAATGCATGCAGCCCTTGGGCCAATTGGGAACCCACCAAACACTGGCATGGAAAAGAACATGGGGACCAGCCAAATGCAAAGTCACAAAAGGAAAGAATTTAGCAAACTCAGCAAAGGGCCAAAAACTAAATTGTGAAAGACCCAAATCCTTGGAGCTATGTGTGTGTCTAACTCAGTTTGTCATCTGTGAGAGCTGGGCTCCTAAATACCTTGGAGGATGAGGAGTCTAGGGTGATCTTACCCCCATAAATACTGCTTTCCCAATGCAGTATTGAACATATTGGCAGGGCAGTGCAGAGGACAATAGTCACACTGCCATCGCAGTGCACCAGTTTATAGGATAAACAGAGACTCAGCTGACAATTACTGCCATGACAATGCACTCTCTTGGAAATAGTGAGAATATTTACAAGGGAGTTGTGTGTTTGCAGAGGTAATCTGGAAAGCAAGTTATAAAATACTAATATCACTCTATGCATCTGTTCTTTAGTCGAACTCACCTACAGTCAGAAGAGATTGTAGCAGAGCTGGTTTATGCTTTCCTGATCCCGGAGATTGAGAAAACCTCTATCAGAGAAAAAGGTAAGGAGTCCAGTTTTATGCTGTTCCTCAACTGCTTCACCCTCCTCACTTCAGCTCACTGAAAGGAAAAATGCAGTGCCGAGGGTTATCACAGTTCTCTGAGATACATCTTTTGCACTCTGCAGTTAGGAAGTTAAGCCCTATGATCCTTTTTCACCAATTTCTCATGGGCTTTAGTCTTTTAAAATGATAGCCTGAATTCAGATCTGATGCAATTTGATGCAACTGCAACAATAAAAGTACATGTGTTGAAAAAAATCCATTGTACCTCCAAAAAACAAACTGAAAAAAAGTCTGTAAGTGCAGCATGGTTGTGAATTGTCTATGATATGGCAATTTGTAAAATCTGTAGAATTCTTTACCAAGCAGATTACTTAAATATATTCCATCTGTGAAAGGAAGATTACATGATTTCCCATGCTTTTTCCCCCCAGTTGGTTGAGAACTAGAATCAAAAATAAGGTTTTAGGGTTGACTGTAGCACTATCAAGCTTTAAGGAGATAATTTTGCAATTTTAAAGGATATTTCTGTTTAGTCAAAATGGAATAGTACCTGTCAAAATAGAGAGGGGAAGACACTGGAAACCCATGTATTACATCAAGGATCATGAATGGGTGGCTGTTTTTAACTCAGAGGCTTCCTCTGACCTGCATACTCAGAAGACTATGACTAAACCAGTCCAAGTGGATATAACTTAAGAAAAGCAGTTGTATCACTGCAGCGTCTGAAGTGGTCCTTGCCTTATTATACTTCTCTGACTTGAGAACAAAGGCACTCACTTTATTGCTTTTTCTTTTCTTTCTTTTTTTTTTTTTTTTTTAATTAAAATACAAATCATGCAAACGCATTTTGTCATCTATGAATTGTACAAACCTCTTTCTTCCTGGTTTGTGTATTTATCACAACAGCAGTATCTATCCAGCAGCTGGCAGTTCTATGTAAGCTTAAATCAGCTCTTTTCTGCTCAGCCTTGCTTCTGCAAGCCTACCAAAGCAGGATGATGTAATTTTAGTCAATGAAGCCTGCAGCTCAGGTACTAACACACACAGGTTAGCCTGCCTCAGAAAGGAGAGCAGGCTACCCAGAGCTGGCCTATGATTCTGGACGTACAGAGCTACCATCAAGGAAGGGAATACACACTAAGCTTAAATAAAACATCAGCTGATGGACAAAGCACCTCCCAAGCTGCAGAGGAAAAAAGAAAATGTTCAAAATACGAGACAGCTAGAGTGGATCTGCCTGGAAAGGAGAGCTAGACGCAGGCAAAATTAAAATGGAGCCTAAAAGAAGAGCAAGAGCAATAGGTGATAAAAGTACAAGAGCTCCTTCAAACGTGTGCAGGTGAAATTTGCCACAATACTCTTGTGACAGAAGCCATCACAAGAGCTCACTGAATTATACCAAATGTATTCTCTGATAAACAGGCCCTGCCATAAATCTCCTGCACGGTGAGACCTTCGGAGGAGCAGAAGCAGTAACTATTCCATACAAATCCAAAGGGAATATTATCAAAGAATGTCATTAGATCTCATGAGTACATCAATGTACTGCATTTCTGTGGCAGTTTTTAAAGCTTTCCCCGTAGTGAGCCAGATTATTCATTATGAATCTGTGTGTTTTATCAAGCTGGCACATTCCTGAGCGCACACCTTCCTTGGAACTAGCAGGGAGTGATCTGAGAGCACAGTTGTCTGGCCTGCCAGAGGAGCAAGTCTATTTGTGTAACAAAGATCTGAGGGCCTCCAAGCTCAGTCTTTGCCTGCACTTTAGCTTTCCCTTAACCATCTCTGTTTTGCTGTTACCTAGACTCTTCTCCTCTCCTTTCCCCTCTCTTTCTCCTGTTCCAATGCATAAAAGCAGGAATTACCCAATATTGGCTTATCAATATTAGATTGGCTGAAAAACATAAAACGCAGTAAACAACAATCCTACAGTAGCAAAAGGGAGATGATCAGGCAGGTGGCTTAATGAATCTGTACTGCCTCCAGGTCTCACTTGAACTCTTTCTCAGTGCAGGCAAAATCATAACACAGGAGAGAGCAGATTTCAGCTGCAGTCTTCTAGAAACCTGCTGCAATTAATGGACACTGGAAGAAGTTAATTTAAAGCCTGATAACCTGAGCAGTTATGCCCTGAACTGGAAAGGGAAACACTTGCACAAGGCTTTACACTGGTGGTGGGGGGGAGCTCATCTTCAAAGTGAAATGCAAAGTTGGCTGCTGCTATTAGGTGGCAGTAGAACGCTTTCAGCCAAAGTTAGCAGGGCGTGATTTTTTCCTGAAATAGGCTTTTCTGTAGCTGCAGAAGGGCTAAGAGCTACCCCTCCCATCGCCCCTACGGAGAACGCTTTGCAGTACATTTCCAAGTAAAAGCCTTACCTCTTTACGCACAGTGAGGCAGTCCCAGAGAAAGCACATCTACGCTGCCCATCAGATAATCCACAGAAGCACAGAAGAGTTATTGGCTGAGCCGGCACTACAGCAGGAGACGTCTGCCAGCAGGATAGAGGGAGATCCTCCAGCTGGGACAGGTGGTGGTCTGAGCCCTTCTGATGGGCCAGACAAGGATGGCACAGCCTCCTAGAGACAGATGAGCAAGGTGAGTCTCCTTTCCCTTCTGTGACCTGAGCTCAGAGCATGGTGAAAGAGAGGGAAGCGCATTATATTTCCTTTTTTTTTACAGGGCATCCAGAATGCAAAAGCACCTCTCTCTCCTTTGGGCTGTCCCTCCTGCTGCCCACCAGCAATATTCTCCTGGAACCACGCTCTGTACATTTCAGTGTGGCAGCCCCAGTCCAAGCCCAGCCCCCCAACCAGCTCTGGACCTCATAAGCTAATTTTCCTCCTCTAATTACTAAGAGAAGCTTGAGTGAGAGACCAGTGTTAGCGCTCCTTGTTTGTCTTCCTGCCACAGGCCAACAGAGATCTGCACCTGAGCTTTTGATGGTATTTCCTTTTATCAATCATGTTAAATGAAAAAATATTCCAGCAGTGGGAAATCTTGCATTGAGACCGAACAGGGAGTCTTTTCTCAAGCCTGTCCCACTGATTTCCTTAGCGGAGTAAAGCAAAGAGCGGCTTGCTGTGTGAGCACCACTATTAATAAGCATTGTGGTTGAATGAAAACTGTCCTTGGCAAGCTACTAATGGGGGTCAGGTCTTGCATCATCCTCTCACATAGATGCTCACATAAAGAAAAGGTGCTCTTGCCCTCAGCAGAGTGGTTCCTGCCAACCAGGCAGTGTCTGTCACTAATAACCAAAGCTAGGCGACAGCAGAATGACACTGGGGCTGGTGTGCCTTGGTGAAGGACCCATTAGCCACCTCTTACAGCTTTTTCAAAGATTTTGCTCTTTGGGCTGACCTCTTTTTGCTTTTTTGAGAACAATTCTGGAAAGAATCTGATTTCTTAGAGCAGCATTAGTCACTCTGCCTTTCCGTCTCCAGGGGGCTGTGCAGAGAGGATGCTGGCTTTGCCTTGTTTGCAAGCACGGGGGTGCTCCGGCTCAGGATGTCAGAAACCAGCAGGCTGCAGACAAGCGCAGTGCATCTGATCAGAGAGCTGTCAGGGGCTTGCTCAGCTCTCAAGCACTCACCTGTCAAAACTCCTCAGGTCTGTGGGTTTAGCATCTCAAAGGTACATTTACGCCAATACCAGCATCAGATGGGCCAGGTTTTGGAGGGGCAGGCGTAGCCACAGCTAAACACCCAAAATGCTTACTCACTGGTGCTCTGGCTACAACTCCTGCAATAAACAGCAGTGTTAGCTCTCAATGCTAATGTGATAATGGGCTGGTATCAGTGTCCTTCCATCATTTCTCTGAAACCGATAGCCCTGTATTCCACTGAGCTGTACATGACAACTGGGGAGAGGAAACAGAGCTGCTCCATGAAACCATTGCTGGGCTCTCGATCACCGAACCAGGGGCACTGGGGGACCGGAGGGGGCAGGCAGCCTCTGTAAACGTTGCAAAACCCAGCAGGAGTCGGAGCTGGGAGGTGAGTTTTGGTTAGGATTCTGCGAGGATGAGCCTGGTAGTTTTGGGGGATTTGGGAAAACGCCTCCGGCATGCCTCGCTAGTCACTAGAAGTGAAGGTAGCAAATGCAGCAACATAAAAAGAAACTCTCCACGGCGTGGGAGGAGAAGCTGTGTAGGGTACTGGCTCTTTTGCCTCAGGCCACCTTGGACAAATTTAGCCTGGTTGAAAGAGAGGGGATAACATGAATCACAAGATCCAGTGTAATAAGAGAGACATGGAAAACTTGATGCAGCAAAAGAGTAGAACAGGAAGACCAATCCAGTGAAGCATTTACTGTATTCCTGAGGTTGCGTGTAGAAATAAATATCCTCCCGGTGGCTCAGTGCGCCGTCTGACGTGGTTTTAAAAAGAGAAGAAGCATTCTAACAGGTGTGGGAACGAACGTGGGCTGCAGCGTCCCGGTCTTCTCCAGGGAGACAGCCCTCTGCCCGCCAGCGAGGGGGCAGGGGACTCAGGGTGCTATGCAGAGGCTGAGCTATAAATGTCTTGGCTCCTGTTAGGAGTTAAGGGGCGCTGCCAGGGTGAAGCCATCTCTTCCACATGACATCGCGTTGCATACAGACCGAAGGCCATGGCAGGGTTCCTGCGGGAAGCTGCTTTTCCATTGTCATGTGCGGGCTTTTTCGGGCTTTGCAGAATGTGCTCGGAGAGAGGAAAATGAGCACAGTGAGAGGGAGCTGGGATCGTAAATCAGCAGCACAAGAATGCACTATTCCCTCCTAGCAGGAACCAGAACGACCCCGGGGAGGAGCCCGGGTCCGAACCAAACACAGCAGATGCCTCCAGGGCTGCACCAATAAATGGAAACACTGGGGGAATTCTCCTCGTCCTGCTTTCCTTGCAGCAGCTGCCCACCGGGAGCCGGCCTCTCTGCGTCCTGACAGGTGTGGGAGCCCGGCTGGACCGAGCTCACGGGCACTGAGAATGGCTAAAAATCGGGCTTTTTGGAGTAAAATGCAGATAGGCTCAGGACTTCCCTGCTGATACGGCTCTTGCCATGTGGAAAGAGGAGATCCTTTTGCAGTAACTACAGTTCTGGGCAGCAAAAAGGACTATTTGTAGGATAACGTGAAGCCAGCACACCTTATCCCCCAGACACGTACTCTCTCTTCATTTTTGTCAGCGTACAAACACAACAAACCCCTGCTCCTCTCTCTCTCCTGCCTCCCTTAAAAGCCACACGACCATCACAAAGTTGCTGCTGTTGAGAGCGTGCTCTGAGCGCTGCCGTTTGCTCTGCTCCTGGTCCCACAAGCACTCAGGCTCTGCCTGCTGCATTACAGGGCTCAGTTCAGCCCTCTCACAGCTGGCCTCCTGGAAGAAGAGCCCTGGGTCCCTACCTGAGCACTCCACCCCGCCAGGGATGCAGGAACTGTTTTGGCAGGAACTTCCCGGGACGAGGGAGCGCGGGGAGCTCCCTGCCTGCCGCTTGCAGAGCTCGCTGCAGCTGCGCAGCAAGGAGCCGGTGCTGTTGCTCCTGGTGACAACGCCAGCGCCGAGCCCGAACAGCACCGGTGCTCGGAATACAGATGCAGCGAGAGGCTTGAAATGTTTAACCACTGCTGCTGCACCACACAGCCTTCTGCTTTCCTAAATATCCCACTTGGGCAGCGTCTTCTCACCGCTTCACCTCCCCAGCACTAGGAAGGCAGCAGCTCCCACAGCACTGGGGAGCTGCATCCGCTCCTCTCTCCTTAACTAGCTGCAGGACCGAGCTAACAATGAACCTAACAATGAATCTCTCTCTCTCTTTTTTTTTTTTTCCTCCTATGAGTCAGTAATAGCCAGCACTTGTAATTAAAGCCTTTTGCAAAAGCCACGCTGGTCCCTCACCTATTGAATCCGCCAGCCCACATGATTTTCCAACCTCTGCTCAAACCGTTTCTGGTTGCTGTGCAGGCCCCAAATTTGTCACCTCCAGCAGAACCAGCTTCCAGCCACCGACCCGTTCCCCTGCATGAAACAAAAATCTTCAGAGGAAAGGAGTGCAGACTTCTAGTTTCACCCTCAGTGGCTGGGAGTTTGGTTGATACAGACGGTGCCAATGCACACAGCTTGGTGCTGCTGTGGGGCTGGGTTAGCTTCTAAAGGGATTCGAAGGCATCACGGCCCACAAGGATGTGGACTTGAACCCCCATTTTATGGACAGGTAAACCTGGAGTAAACCTAAAATTAGGTAAACCTAAAGTTAGGTAAGCCTAAAATTCCTTTCAGACAAGGAATGGTGAGACAACGACTCTTCCCTGGAAGGCTGCACAGGGCCTGGTCCTCAACGCTCAGGTTTTCTATTACTTCTTTTTAAAGGGCGATTGGGAAGAAGCTGTAAAAGTCCCGTTGATAACGTTTGCAGGGATTGCAAAGAGCGATGGACAACTGCAGCCTTCCACACGGAAGGGTGAATGCAGTCCTCAGATAGGACACAGGTGCACTAGGTCTGCATTGGACACTGGGGAGACTCATAGGAAATCTCTGGCCAGTTTTGGCACCCACCAGCTTAGGAAAGTATTAAAAACAATTGTGGAGGTACAGAGGGAATGATGAGAAGGAAATGAAGGAGCTGAAGGCGCCCTTCCAGTCAGCAAGAAGCGACAAGGTGACTTGGGCCAAGGGGCGTTTGTGGTGAGAGGAGTTCAGAGGCACCAGCTCAGGCAGCTCCACAGTGCTCAAGGACAACCACCCACGACCCCAAATTACCGAGGGTTGTGACAAACGACAAAATTCAACGCTGAACTCACCCAACAAGGCTCTGCAGGGTCGAACAACGACGTCCTGGAGATGCGACGGGCCGCCCTCGAGCAGAGCAGCCCCGGTCCCAGCAGCCGATCCCCCGGCGACGCTGTGGGACCGATGACATCCCGGCCTCGTCCCCCGGCCACCCAAAAACCCTCCAGAGCACCAAGGACCACAGAACAGGAGCAGTGCCCCTCCACCGTGTCACCCCTTCACCCGAGGTCCCCACGTCACGTAATGACCAGAGGCCACCGGGAGGCCGCAGCCGATGGGCGCAGGAGGCCGGGGGGCTCCGGGGGGCTCCGTCGGGGCCGGAGCGCGCTCGCGTCCCAGGAAGAAAGGAAGAGGAGCCTCTGTGCAATATAAATTTGTTTTTATTGAAGCAGCAGTCACATGACCTTGCATCTAGCCTTTAGGATAGCGACAGAATGGATTCGGCCAGGTCAGCCAGCCCAAAAAAAGGATTTTTTATTCTTTTTTTTTTTTATTCTTTTTTTTAATTTTTATTTTTTTTTACTTTTTGCGCTAATAGACATGTCATGTTTAATACATACATTATCCAGTACCGGAAACCCAACTCAGAGATAGCTACGTGCTGATTTGCTGGAGGAACGGTCCACTGGACGTGGTCTTGACAAACTTTACAGATCACCACCAAATAACATTACTAATGGGACCAAATTAAAAATGAAAATAAAAATCGTGAAACGAAAATCAAAACAATGAGTGCAGTATTCAAAGCCAGCAGTTTACACAGGTTCTTAGGTTTGTTATCTATAGGTGGACAGCAAAGGAAGATTGGTTGGTTTTAGTTTGAGTTATCATGTCCCAGGGTTCCTCTCTCCATCAAATCAAACGGCATCAGAGACAACAAGCTGGCACCTCTTGGAAAAATATCATGGAATAACACAGCTCATTTAAGAAAACATGCTTATTTCTTGTGTCTTTATTTTTTTTTTTTAATTTTTTATTTTTATCATTATTACAAAGATTCAATGTCCACCTATTCTTGCGGAGTGGAAAGAGGTGTGAGGGCAAGGAACAAGGGGCAGAGAAGGAAGAAAGGAGGAGGAAAGAAAGGGGCAAGATTTTGAAATAAAGACCACACACTTTGTAATTTTAAATTTCATTTCCAGGCTAACCTACTTTTTATTTAATGCAAATTACAGTACCAGTTAACTATTTCCGAACCGAGTCACACAGAACAAAACGTATTTACAAGGGGAATGGGGCGGGGGAAATAATAAAACATTAAGCATACTTTCCACAAAAAAAGTTTATATTTAAAATGAAAAAAAAAATCAGTCACAGAGGCATTCAAGTAGTAATAATGTTATACAGGTTTTGCTTTTCCTTTAAATCAAGACAGATTTGCACAAGTGTATGCAATAGTTTGTATACAACCCACAGTCCTTAATATATATATATATATTTTAGATTTCTGTTTTTAAGATGGAAGTGGTCACGCTAATTGGTGTGTACAGGCCCAAGTGATCCATCAGCAACACATTAATGAACGCAAATTTTACAGGCAAGCAAATTATATATATATAAATATATTTTATATATATATATATTAAAAATAAATTGAGAAAGACCAACACAAGGAAGCTACTTTTCTCAAGCTAACCCCTTAGGTACTGTTTTCCTTTCTGGTCGTTTTGCTGTTATTGCAGTGTTGCAAAACGAAGCGAACTATGGACAAAACTGGCTAAAAGCCCCGTGGAAAGACACCGGGACCCCAGGGACACCTTCTCACAGTCTCCGAAAGGTAGACCCCAGACTGAATACTCTACTGTGCTTTTCGGTATTGGCTTTTTTTTTTTTTTTTTCTCTTTTTTAATCTTCAGTGGCTGAGGCCCCTCGCGCAGGCGAGTCCGTCAGACTGCTTTGCGTCTGCTTTTTTGCAGGGAGCACTGAAAACCTGGGGGAATTTTTTTTTTTTTGTACGCGCTCACCAGCCGCACGCTGCAGGCACCTGCCGCTACGCTTGTTAGGCAAAGCTTTGCTTAAAAAATAACCGGAAAAAGTGATCGGGGATCTTCGATTAGCCAATTTCCTTTTGTAGCTCGGTTTTTGTCCTAGTAAGGTAGGCGAGTTCGGTATTAAGAACAGCAGTGTCTCGGTCGGGCGTCCCGCGGGGGACGCCGACCGCCATCAGTTCCGTCTCAGAGACCTACGCAGTCGCGGCGTTGCCAAAGGACAGATCAAGACCACACTTTCATTAAAAAAAACAAGCCCGAAACAGAAGGAAGTAAGAGTAACAGCTCTGAGCGGACTGTCCAAAACCAACCTGACGTCACTGACCTTCGTGTCACCAGAAAAAGTGCAGCCTCTGCTTCACCGGAATGAACACGAGATGCTTCAAAATAAAACAGCAACCTTTGGTTTGGTAAAAGAGTTAAGTGTTTTCCCATTCAAGACAATCTTTATGTGGAATACTAACAAGGTAGTAAACACAAGCGGACTAGTTTCAGAAACAAGGCCTTCGTGCTGGGCACAAGAAGAAACCGAAGAAGTAATGCTAAATTCATCATCTCACGAAGAAAAAAAATAAAAATAAAAACGTGACCGGAGAAGGGGGGCGGGTGGGCGCGGGGAGCCCCCGGGGGGGGCCGAAGGACCGAGCCTCGCGGAAGCTGCTGCCGTCCAGAAAAAGTTCTGGGCGCAGGACTGGGGACAGACGAGCAAAGCCGAGCTCAGCCGCGAGCCGCTGGGCTACCTCCGGCGGCGAGCGCAGAACGAAACCGGTCGCTGCTAGCAAGGGAAGGAAGGGGGAGGACGGGGCAGGGCGGGCGACTTGGGAGCATCCAGAGCAAAGCCACGGCTCGAATGAAATGGGAGGGCGGCGATGGTTTTTCCTTTTCGTTCCACTACGGGTCATGGTATCACTGAAACCTTACAGCACTCAAAGAGTTAGAAAGCGGGGAGGGGGTGAGGGGGGGGGGAGCAAAGATGCGGCTGTGTGTGGGAGACGTTGTTAATCGAGGAGGGGGGGGAAAAAAAAGGGAAATAAAATCCAAAAAATCATGGAAGCGAAGGCACTCCAAACTATATAGATACACTATACATCGCTAGAGTTATTGTTACAATAATACAGGCCGGTACCTACTGTACAGAGTTAAAACTATATGGCTTTAAAAAGCTCGTCTACATTTTGTCTGATTATTAAACAGAATCACTGCCCTGAACGGTAACTTTTTGCTCATTAATAACAGTTCCTGGGTCCACATATTTACATACAAAACAATAAAACTCAAAATTTAAAAACAACCAAAAAATAATAATGTACAAGCTTGAATTTGGTGAGGAGCTTTGTGGTTTTTTGTTGTTGTTGTTTTTTTTTCTTTTCTTCTTATTTACAAAAAAAGGTTATTCAAAGACCTGGATCTAACTTGTATAAAAGAGTTCGTGATCCTGCCATGATCCTTGAAAAAAATAAAACCACAGGGGCGCCCCGACCCTCCCCAGCTAACACCCACACAAGACACACAGACGCCTGCACAGTCACAAGATCAGAGAGAAAAGCTCTTCCCTCTCCTCCGCTAGTCTTAAAGGAAGATAAAATGACCAAAAAGAAAATGAAAAAAAAAAAATAATAATAATACAAGAAGAGAGAAAGCCACAATTCCTGGAACAAGCAGCAATTTTTCTTCATCAGTTTTTGCCTTTTTTTTTTTTCTTTTTTTTCTCTTTTTTTAAAGACGTGGTAATCTACTGCCTCCAAATAACAGCGCCTATGGCCGATGCTTCAGCAGTCTCGCCTACACAGCAGATCCACACACCCTGCCTCTGCCCTACTTCGCGGGTCTCCTGCGCCTATCTGGATCACTGGGTCACAACCAAGCCCCTGAACTTACCTTGCGGGACACTCGCTAGCTGTGCTGGCATTAAGCTGCTTCTCAGCCCTTTTAATCACACCCGCGCGCGAGAGGGTTTTGAAAGCCTTCAGCTTTTTTTTTTTTTAAATGTTGGTGTGCTGTCTTTTTACAGTCAGCCAGAATTTAACGACAGCTGTTTTAAGGTATATATATATGTATATACATATATATACACACACACGTGGTTTCTGTCCAACAGCAAACTGATGAGGAGCGTAACGTAAGGGCTTTCACGGTAGGCGTTCGCTCGCCTCTTGAAACAGCTCCTCCCTCCCCAAAAATCCACTGTTTTATCAGGCAGGACGGGGAAGGCAGGGCTTGTTAACAGCTCCAGGGCTGCTAGGAGACAAGTTTCCGAAAAAAAAATTAATAAAAAATAAAAATGAAATCCCATAGGAACGGGGTAAAATGTACAAGAGGGAAACGCGCCCAGCTGCTGAGCAAAACCCCTGCTGCCCTGCGGTGGCCGAGGTTGCCGAAGCCGCTACTGCCAGGCCACACAAAGGTTTGCCCGGCCCCAGCAACTGCCTCGGGGATCCGCAGGGCACAGCACCGCCCGTAGAGCACCGAGCAAGGCGGCTGAAGTTTCTCTGCAGGGAGCGTGAAGGCCCGGGCGGCAAGATGGGGTCTCCAAAGCCTCTTCCGCGCCCTGCCCTTCCCGAGGAATATTGCTTTGACTTGAGGAACAGAGACGCGGACTCAGACAGCACTCAGCCTCACGGGGAGGAAAGCCCGGCCCCTGGACAGATGGACTAGAGCAAGCACTCACCCCATGCTTCAGTCAGACTGATTGGAGATCGGAGACAAAACGCAAAAAGGAACAGTATTGTATCTATGTATACATGTATATATTTATATAATATATATACACACACACTCATAATGTAGCCAGCTTTCCTACAAGTCAGCAGGTACAAATTACTGTTGATAGCACTCCGATGTGTATTTTATTAATACTCTACCAATGTAAAAACATAATGGCAATGTGGCAACGCGCATCAATAAATAGAGATCAAAAAAGCAAGAGGTTAAAAAGATGAAATTTAAATACAGATTCTAGCTGTGGATTTAAAATCAGAGCTACCGTAGCATGTGGCATCCTGCAAGTTAAAGCTGCAGTTAAAAAATATTACAAAATAAACCAGTAGACTGTTACAGTTCACATTATAAACCCTGGTGTCCTTTTCCTGCACGCACCTCGGGGAAAGGGAAGCCTGTCCGAATTGAGAGACTTGGAAAAAAAAACAACGCTTTTCACAGTGGCCACTTTTCCAAAGAGTCCCTTACCACCCCCGGCTGGGCGCCCTCGTCCCCCCTTCGGAGGGCTTTGCTCGCCCGCTCCTCCCTGCCCAAACGCGAGCCGAGCCGCCGCAGCAAAGCCAAGCGCTTGCGTTGGCACCATGTGTGTGTATTATATTATATATAACCTGCCCGGCAACGAAGCTGCGGGCATCCTCGTTGCCAGCACTGCTTTTTTTTTAAAAAAAAGGAAAAAGTCTGCCACTAGCAGTTCAAAAGCTGTAGACACGCGGTAAACCCTCCCCACCCCGACCCCCCCTAGGCAACCTATTTCCTACCGCGCCGCCCGCGCCCCACGCTGAGCCGAGCTGAGCCGGGCCGGGGGCAGCTCTTCGGACAGCCCGGGACATGGATTCGGCTGAGACGAAACGCTGAGCTCTGTTGAATGACCCCTGCTAAGCTCCCGACCAAATTCAAGCTGTGCACTACATCAAAGTCCGAAACTTCACTTAAAAAGAAAATAAAAAAAAGAGGTTAAAAAAAAAAAAAAAGAACTTCAGCAGAGAATGAGGTTTGGGGGGTTCTTTTGTTTTGTTTTGTTTTGTTTTTTTCCTTCTTTCCGTTGTGGGAGAGGGCATGAGGCAAGAGTCCTGGTTCTGAAGTACACAACAGCAAACTTCCAACATGAAGAGATTGTCGAGGGGAGAGACATTGGTGTGTTGTATTGCTCCGCTTTCCCTCCTCCCCCCACCTAGTCCCCTGCCCCGGACACCCTGCAGAGTGAGAATACAATGAAACTGGTTTGTATTTATAGATATTTTACAAGGTTAAATAAGAACAACAATAATAATAATAAAAAATTGAACACTAAAATGAACAGGTTGGTTGGTTGGTTGGTTTTTTTTCCTCTTTTTAATTTTCTTTCCAAATGTGACCAGTGTTGCTGAGCAAGACTCAAATTACTGGTGATTTTTCCTGTGCAGCTGGCTGCTTGGTACCGGTTCAGGTGGAGTTGGAGGCTGATGCTGTAGCTACACTATTGGTCTGAACTCGTTCTCCTGCATTAACATCTGCAAATGACAGGCAAGGGGAAGGAAAGAAAGAACAACCAGGATTACCTCCACAGCACAGACATCAGGAACAACAGCTACGACATTTGCCGCACGGGGAAACCCCAACGCCCACCACCGTGCTCTTTGGTTACGGTGCTCTCCTGACGGAGCCGTTTGCTCTGGGGACAGGGTAGGAAGGCGACCTTTTGGCAGGAGAAAGCTGATTTCGACAGCTGAGGGCTGCAAACACCAGGTGGGATTTAGCAGGAGGGACACAACCTGGCCCAGGTAGAGATCGCCCATCTTGCGCCCTGGTAGGTTTAGACAAGCAAAAGGCGCTGCTACAGGATCAGGTCCCTGCAGTGAATAACCTCCAGCTCCTCTTCTCTGTGAGGGCCGGAGCTCCACGCAGAGACAGGTTGCAGGGCCACGGGCACGTGCCCAAGGGCATCCCAAAAAACACAGGGGTTGCAAAGAAACACCACAAGGGAATGCACTGGGTTTTCAGGTGCCACTCCGGAGGGAAAAATGGAGTTGCTTCAGTCTGGAACAAAGGGTTAATTAACGGAAGAGTCTTCATTAATAACACGCAAAGGCCCCTATTTTAGGACACTCCAACTAACTGGGGCAGGCTTGGAGTAAGGCTGGAAATGGAGTAAAGAGCCGTGCTGCCAATAAACACACTAACACACTGGGAACAACAGCTGGGTGGCCAATTAACCTCATGCATTTGGTGTTTTCTCTAAAAAAATAATAAAAGCTTCCTGAACATTAGAAGAATTTATATGGGAAAAATGTACTGACTTCATCTGGAGCCATCCTATATAGTACCTGATCAGCACAGTCACAAAGAGGAAAGCGAATGAAGTGTTAAACACACCAAATAGTTGCCACAATAAATACAGGGCTGGAAAAAGGCATTAAGTGAGGCTTTCTAAGAGACAGCGCCGTGCATTTCTCCCAGTTAATTTAAGAGAGGTTAACTGCAAAGCTATCAATACCGCAAGAAGAAAAAATGACTTCTTGTCTCAGCACAGGAGAGGGCAGGCTGGGCAAGCAGTGCATTTGAAAGACAGGGGGAAAAGGGCTCCTAAAAGGAAAGCACAGGTTTACCAAGCTCGGACTCAAGGACGGTAGGACTAGCATAAAAAATAGGGAAGATAAAATGAAACTGGGGGCAGTGGGGTGCCTCAATACTTCTCCAGCAGAGAAGAGCTCACAAGGCAATGCCCTACGTTCGCCTGTTAATGCGACCCATCTCCCCAGCCACATTGCCCTGACCAAAGCTGGAAGTGCAGCCACAAGCAACAGGCAAGGAGGTGAGTGAGAGCCCAGAGATGGGCAGCACCAGCTGAGTGACAACTCAAGAAGACTGCAGCAAAAAAGGGCAATCAAAGACAAAAAACAAAGCTCACGCAGTTGCTTGAGCTGCAACGTGGTGACAGTGGCAGTGTTAGCTGGAAAATTAACCTCACACGGGAGAGGTGTCCTCCGAGGTGGGGGATTACTCTGGAGGAGCAGCTCCCAAGCCACGCACGTACGCAGGCCGATGGTGACCACAAAAATCAAAAGTGACCCAGCCAGACAGCTGATGGCTTCCCCACCTTAAACTGTGCCTGCTGTAGATTAACTTTCAGGTACAGATAAACTCTAGCTAAGGCAACATCTGCTGTGCCTGATGTGCACAGTCCAGCCGGGGTCTGCACTGTTGGCAGAGAGGATTTCTCTGCGAAAAAGTGCGTGTACTTCATTTGCTGAAACCACTCGTCCCTTTTGATCTCCTATTCCTGAAGACAGCAGAGGCTGGAATCGTTCTCCTTACACTGCTACTAACCAGAGATAAAGAAGAAAGAGGAGGGGATGGAGCTACCCCACGTAACACATGTGACATGTGCTCCTTTCCTATCATCACTCCGAAGGGGGAGTTCCTGAGATACGCAACACACCATATGGGATGAGGAAATAGGGTGACGCAGCCCAGGCCTGTTTATGGGGGGCTTTTCACAACAGTGTGCAACCGTCCTAGGCTGCACAAGCTGCTCAAGGCTGTGCTAGCTCCAAACCTGCAGGAAAACGCAGCATTTTGACATTCCCACTTATTCTGTGACCCTGCATTGATGGGGCATGGAGGGAACAGAGAGGGGCTTGGCTCAGCGGCTCTCTGCTGGAGCGCTGAGTGCAACTGGAGGGTCTCTGGGCGTTCAGTTACTCCTCGTCACCATGAGGAACTGGCACTTGGGCATGGGAGAAGAAAATCTGGGCCTTCAGGAACACTGCTAAAACATCAGCTTTGCCAGGCAGCTGCCTGTGCCACCACCGAGGCTGTGCTTTCTGCTACGGGGCAGATGTGTGCAGCAGGAAATCACATTAGGGCTCAAATACCCATTTCTAAAACTTCTTTCAAACAAAGGGAAGAAGCCATCTCTCATCAGAGTGTTCTCCTTCGATTCAGCTTCTCCCTTTGAGGAATCTTTCTGCTTTCTCAGGGGGTACGTGGTGCTCCTTAAAAACCACCCAGGAAGGAACTAAGGGGCTGTAGGTTCAAAGACCGACACCAACGCAGTCACAGAAAGCCCATTAACACTAACGAGGGCATTAGCTGATTGGATCTGTAGTGCTGACAGGCTGTGCTGCGCTCTGCAAAGACAGAGAAACAAAACTGCAAGCAGTTTTGGAGTAAGGCAACAGAGGAGACAAGTGGAAGTAGGAGACAAGCCCACTTTTCTTGCAGTGTCCGTGGATGTAGGAATCCAGGGCTCGGCACAAAACCTGAAGCCTGGTGAGCCTGAAATGCACCAGCTGTACTCCTCTAAGTGTCTGCTATGGATGCATCCCTACGTAGAGCTTACAGAAGCCTCTGAAAATCGCCTGCCCCTCTTCTCCTGCCAAAGGAATTTAAAATTTTCCATAATTCCTTCAATAGGAACACCACGTACTTCCCAAATCTTATTTTACCGGAGTGTAAATTAAAGATTACATTTTTCACACTAAAAATTACCTGCAATAATTCCCCTGCACTTAACATCACGATCCCAGGATTGCTGGTGTCTACTGAAATCACCGCTGTGCATCTACCAGTTAACAAACATTGCCCATTTTGGGTAACTTTCAAAAATGCAGACCTGGGACATGCTAGTTAGCAAAGGGGCTTGTACTGCCTGGCTTAATATAATCTCAGATTAATATAATGTCAGACAGGAGAAGCAGAAGCACAAAGCTGAAAGTTGCCCAATATTTAACTTCGTATTTTCTTTCCAAGCTGTTTTTTGCTTTGGAACTAGGAGGAAGATGCTCTATCCCAACTCTACACTTCTAGGATTCAGCCTCATGTATTCTTCCCCTACTGTGTACTTGGGGGGAAGCAGTGGGTGAAAACAGACCTTGTCTTAACCCAGCTCACTCCTTAAGCCTGTTGCACCTTGGCAGGGCTCCTCAGCAAGGCATCCAAGTGACATTAAGTGAAGGCATTTTTCAGAAGGGCTTAAAGTCACGCTCCACGTTTGCATTTTGTAGTCCTTCAATCACTTTTACTACTTTGATCTTTTTTTCCCCCTCACTCGTTGAGCAGCAGATGCGCAAAAAAAGGGAAACAGAGAACTCTGCCAAGTGCATGAAACAAACACACTACATTTTAAAATAGCCAATTTGCCTCCTCCTAATTCAGAGCATATAAATTGGGCGGGCTGAATCTTTTCCCTCCTGATGTTACATTTTCAGAGAGCAGCCTTGTCTTTTAAGCCAAATCTGTCTGTCTGTCCCCGACTATAAAAGTGCTTTCTGTACAGCAGCGGCTGGACAAAGCACGTCGGAGTTGAAGGAACTGGCACATCGACCCAAAACCATTTTCCTGCGCAACTGAGTGAGCGCCCTGCACCTCAGAAGGGGTCACAGAGATGGGACTGATGCGAGATCTGCACGCGAGCACACCCCTGTTAGAGTCTGCCCCTGGTTGCACAAGGCCTGACAGCCTGTTGGCAGTGCTGACTCAGGGCTGACTCAGAGTGCCACGCATGAATCACGGCTGCCACATCCTGCAGCACCTGGGATCTGCTTCGGGAGCCTCCCAGCTGATATTACAAGGCTTTCAAGCTTTCACTGGGAACATAACACAATATGGAGTGGCTCGGGCCAACAGCGAGCTTTTAAAAGGCTTCAGACAGAAACAGGAGAGTGAGCGAGAGAGACAAAGGAGAAATTCACTCACTGCTGGCCAAAACCCAAAATGCCCCAAGATGACACAAGCAAACTCGCTAAGAAGCGACTGCAGCTACTTAGATCAGGCAGCAAACAAGCTGACCAACCTCCCTAACACGGCTTTGGGGTTGGATTTTGGGTTAGTGGCCCCAGCAGGGCACCTGCAGAGACCGAGGGGACGGTGAGGCTGGAAGGAGCCCTCCCCACGAGGAAGGTGCCTGTGGGGAGCGAGGGCAGGGAGGCGGGCGCACGTTCTCACCTGAGGCTGCTGTAGCGTTTGTAGGGGTTGAAGCTGCTGCTTGGTTCCGAGCATGAGCAGGGATGAGGATCGAAGCCAGAGATGGGTTACTTGACAGTTCTGGAGGGGAGGTGGAACAAAGAGAGTTAGCTCATCCTACAGAAAGGGCCCCGCATGCAGGCACAGCCCCTCAAGGCTCCCCCCCAAACCAGCAACCTTGGGCAAAACGCGTGCCCTTACAGCCCGGGGTCAGGGCACGTTTTGCTCCTCTGCTGAGCACGGCAACATCCAGCAGGCAGCCTCCAGGGCAAGACTGAGAGGACTGCAAGTGGTGACCGCAGGGAATGATTTCCTAGAGAAAGAGCGTGGCTCGGGAGTTAGCAAAGAACTGATGGAGCCTGTTGCATTTCAGCAGCCTGGGTTCCCTTCGTAAAGCCACTTGCAATCAGGCTGAAGGGGAAGGCTGATAACGGTGGCGCTGCTTTGGGCACTGGTTCAGCAAGCGAGCAGCTGTCACAGTTGCTCCAAGAGCTTCAGGGGCTCAGTTCTTTGGCTCCCTCGAGCTTCGCTTCTCAAGGACCTGGAAACCTAAGACCAAGCTCACAGCGGTCTCCTTGAGCGAGGCCGAGGAGGGCTGACATCTCCTTTAAAAGCACGGGGAAAGGCAAAGGGCTGCCGGGTAATTTAAATGGGCAGCAAAATGACACGACCCTGCTTTCTGAAGATGTTAAACCAAGGAAAAAACAGCCGTGGGTTTTTAGGCTCCGAATCTAACCCAGCTTCGGTGTGCATCAGGATGAGAACCAGGCCTCTGAAAGCCACAACTGTGGGAGGATGCAGGGCAAGGCGGTGCCAGCAGCTGACAATCTCCTGGCGCCCGTTCAGGAGAGCCCAGGAGACTCACAGGAGGTGGGACCGAGCCAGGACAAGACAGGTCCTGTTTGCCTCAAGAACAGGAGCGACTAAATCTTGAGAAAGCAGCATCCGGCGGAAAGGATGCCAGCAGTCACCTCAAGGAAGGATGACTGATGCTTTCTGAAGCTCCCAGAGGTCAGCTGGAGGAGAAACGGGGCTAGGCAGCTTTTAAATAACGCCTCCAGATAGCAGGGGCTGTACAGAAACCAGTCCAGATCACTCTGTGGGTTTGGTGAGGTGGTTTTGTACGCAGCAGTAAATTACCTGAGTTCCTTTTTAGGAGCCGATTGCTTTTCCTTAACAAAAGCTTTAAATTTAGGGCCTAAAAGGACAGGTAGTATATTTGACTTTTTTTTTCTCCTTTACGTTAATTTACTGCTGCAAAGGCAAGGTGCAGAAGACTCTCACCTGCTTACAAGGTTCTTACTAACACCTATTTTGAGACTGAATTTAAGCACTTCTGAACATGAGGTGCCATCCAGAACCAAACAATAATATAATAGAATATTCTGAACATAATATATTATAGAATATAATATTCTGAATAATATAATTCAGAATTCCTAAGTCTCCATTTAATGGAAAAACAAACTGACCAAGCATGAATCCTCCAAATGAAAAGCTGAACATGAGTGATAAACCTATACTTTAATACTATGGTGACCATTAGCTATTCTGTGGAAGAAAATATCGCTGCTTTAGGATTTTCTCCAAAGCTTTTTCTCCAACCTGTTGTTCCAGGGAGTCTGCCCTTCACCTCACTCTTTTTAAAGTTTTTGTTACCCACTCATTCTCTCCTGCCTATCGCTGGCAATAACATGGGACTAAGACCCAAACGAAAGCTGAGCTGAAACATCAAGGAAACCAAATGCCATTTGCTCCCTTCTGGTGCTAAGCAGCACCTCAAGGATGCGGCGACCCTCTGACAGCATCCCTGGAGCCAGATCGCCAGGGTCAAAGAGCCAGCTGATGGGACAAAAATACTGCTGCAATGGCACTTGGATCCCACTCTGACTGCTCCCATACTTGCAGGTGATACGGTCAGAATTCCTCCTTTCACAGCACCAATTATGGAGAATATACTGGTTTTTGTTATTTTTAAGGCAAGCATAAGTGTTTTTCTGAAGCTACCATGAAGAACTCCCATAGAGACTAAATGGCTGATGTTCCCTTCTTCAGAAACCTCCCGTTATCTTTATTGGCACGAAGCTGCCCAAGCTCACCATGCTCCGAACATCTCGGTACTTCGCTTAGAGCAGCAGCTTGCCAATCCAGATGAGAAATAATCATCAAACTGAGTAGTGATCCAAAGTCATTTAAGAGTCAACTCTGGTTCACATCAGCTGGGGGAACACCTCTGGCTTTCTCCTGATCAAATTGTGCCATTTGCAGCCAGTGCACATCTCCAATAAGGAGCTCCAATGAAAATGGCCAGTTTTATCAGAACACCGGGTTACCTTCATTTCCCAAACACCATCAAATGCTTTGTGTTGGGAAATAATGCTGAAAAAGAGCACTGAGCTAAGTTTGGTATGTCAGTGCTCCCAGAATGCCTTGGAAAAATTAGTCTTATTTCATTTACTTTGTCACAATAACAAACTTTCCACGTTACTGAAGTTATTCCACTAGTTTCTCTTCAAACCAGAGGAGTGCTGGAATCAGCACAGGCTTCATATTCTTTTCTTCACTGCTCCCTGAGCATGCCCTGGGCAGAAATACTGTCTAAAAAAAAAAAATCAATCCAAAAAAAAAACCCTAGATGACACTCAAGTAGTCACACTAAGGATTTTTGGTCACATGGAAGCAGTACGGATAGAAATGAAATGTGTTTTTTTTGGTTTTGTTTTGTTTCTAAACTTCAAAAGAAAGGTCACAAGCCAGCCCCGTTTTCTCTGATTAAAAACCCACTCTAGCATCAACTATTTGTCATCAAGAAGCAATTATAGCCATTCCTAAGTGCTGAATCACAGGCGAATTTTACAATTTTCAATGGCTAACACGGAGCAATGGTAACACTTGTGATCCAGCACAATCACTGCCGTGTTGTAAGAAGTTTATTACAATGAAGTAATTTTACAGATTGCTTGAAAATTCAGCTTCTAAGAGAAATAAAAAATGTTTTCTGTGCTTTCTGTCTTGCGGGTCTAAGAGTCACTGAACTGCAGCGCTGTGGCTACTAGATATACCTCCTTGGACAAAAAAAACTTTTTCAAACTCCGATTAGCACATAGCTTTTCTTTAAATACTAAGAAAAATGCACAGCCAAGACAGTAAGAATGATCAGATCAAGTTCTCTTCAGCAGCTCTCATCTACAAAGTAAAGTAAGCATCTATGTGCCCCAGAACTACTGCTGGCAGCCAAAGACCATGATCTCTATCTTCCATAAACTCTCAAAGTGTTTTTTTTTCTAGATCAGCAGATTTAGTATGACGCCTGGCTTCTTTCTGAAAATCAGTTCATGACGGTAATGATCAGATCTATGTTATTTCCAACAGTTTTGCCTTCGAGCAGCTACCTCCTACTCCATGGGCTGCAGTCAACTGGCTATAGCCAAAGGAAACACTTCTTTTAAAATTTAATATCGTCTGTTGAAAACGAATGCTCTCCAAAACAAAAGGATGTCTTTCATTACTTTCTCAGTAACCACAGCTGACTTAACATGCGGTATCATCACATCTGATTTCCAGCGACCTGCTCTGTTTCCCAGATGTGATTCCTGCTCTGCATTAGCCACTTTGATGGGGTCTTTGCGTAGCCTGGCCGAGGACGTCACAGCGGTCACAGGAGGAGCAGAAGCCCCTCGAATACCTTGAGGTCAGACTCAGGACTGCTGCTACATAAGACTTATTACTGCGCACTTATTACTTACAAAGGTCTTAAAATCACTGAGCTAAGCTATTTATTTATACTTAAAATTCTGGTTAGCTTTTTTTGGCTGGTGACCTGCAACACAGCTCATGTGGAAGCGCATTAATGACCAGCCTCTGTCCTGGATTCTCTTTCCAGATGCTAAAACTGGTACCTGCCGATGACATAAACCTGCTTTTTTGAATCTTAAGGCCCTCACTCTGTTGGAAGCGATTTCTCTTGCCATTCCCATGAGTCACTGTGCAAAGGGAGAACACATCAGCTCGCTAGGATGGCAAATAAGGAGCTATAAATTTGCTTGAGGATTAGCTTACCCAGCAGCTCCCACTTTGCCTGGGGGAAACCAGGGACAAATTCCCAATATATACATTTATTTTTTCCCTGAGGATTTTTGAAGGACTGGCTACAGAGCCTTCCGAGCCTTTTTTAAATTCTTGTTTTAATTATGTTAAGATTGGGCCCATCTACTACATGAAGATAGAATTAATAATGAATACTTTTAGAAAGAACAAAGGCGAAGCTCTGTTGAGACACTGGGATCAAAACTATCTTTGTGACTGAATATGGCCTTGCAGTGGAAAGAAAACACAATTCATGAATACTTTCATGTGGAAATATCTGTAACAACCCCCAGATTCTCAGCAACAGATGCAGTAGTCAGCACGGAGGCCAGAGACAGAAGCACAAGCTATTTTCACAGTACTAGCAACACCTGGGCGATGCTGTGAGGCTGCTGATGCTGTGGAGGCAGTCTGCTGACAACACTGGCTGCTCCAATGCTTTCTCCCCTCAAGTGCTAGTAAGGCCCTGGGTGCATTCATGACACCTAACGTCAAAATATTTTAAGGTTTTCAGGCTCTGGAAATGCCTTAGTATATTCAACAGATTTACCTTCTGCAAGGAAGCCATTCAAAACAAGCTAAAAGTTCACGTTCGGGCAGGTTTCTGTTTGTTGGTTTGTTATTCTTTTAGATTAAAGGGCTCCACAGGTTCAAGCACAGGGCTCTGTTCCACATTTTGACAGATGGACATCACGTGCACCGAAGAGTTTGAAAAACTACACTGATGCTAACTGAGCCAAAAGGTGTTTTAGATTTCCAGCAGAAAACGCACACAGATCTGTTCTTGCTCAAAGGGTGAGAACTTGCAACTAATCACTTAACATTCAGAAAAATGCTGCAAAATTAATTACTAGTGTATTTGTATGCCATACTTCTCACATTCTCACCATACTTCTCACATTCTCTGTCTTGGCAGGCAAAACTGTACTATAGGGATATCAGTTTTGTATTTCCAATTTCCATGGAAAAAAATACATGAATGGTTTTAAAATTGTACAGTGGTATGGGATAAAAAAAAGTTGCCTGTCATTTCTGTAGTTACTAATTTACTGAGTCAATGTGATGCCAGATAAACCATATAGTACATAAAATCTGGATGGCAAGATCTCTGGATTTATCTCACATGCAGACCTAAAATGGGCTGCAACACTACAAACTTCCCTGCCAAACCTAATACCCATTACTCCTCGGCACAGGGAGGAGTAGCGTTTCAGGTACAAAGGAGCAGGAACATCTCCAAAATGATAAATTAATCTCCACAGTCCACTGACTGTGATATATCACGCAAACACATCGGACACTGAACTGCAAACGTAAACCTTCCTGATGCCTTTGGTCACCCGGACTAAATGTGAATCAGGATCTGAAAATCCCGTGACCCATTTCTACAAGTCCCTGTCCTCTCTTTCTGAAATGGACGGCTGGCCACACAATCAATAAATATCTTTAGTCCTACTTGGAGACTTTTATTTTTAACCTTTTGAAGGAGCAATGTCTGCACGACAAACATTTATCAGAGCTTCCTCCTAAAGCAGCGATCTTCAATGCTCACAGGCTACCTTGAGTGGTGAAATTGAAGAGTGCAGGTTTATCTCGCCCATTTGGTAACTTGACGTTTGGGTCCCGTAGTTCATCAAAGAAAGAGTGTGCACAGGCCTCCAGGGGAGTCAGGCGGGCAGTGGGGGTGTACTCCAACAGGCGGCTACATAGCGCAATTGCTTCTGGTGGAGTGCGGGGCCGGAAGACCTGGAAACAAAAAAAAAGAAAAAAGAAGCAAGGAGAAACGGGTTGTCTGGGTTTGTTTCTTTTTCTTCGCTGACCAGCAGCAAGCCCGAGCAATTAAACCTCTCATTGCCCAACGCGGTGGAACAAACTTGTGTTTGCACTAATCAACGTCCCTCCAGCGAGGATGGGAAAAATCCAGTTCCTGGGGTTGAGAAAGGGTTAATTGCAAAGCCTTGCGCTCGCTGGGGTGAAGGTGCAATGCCAGCAAGAGACTTCATGAGAGCGCACTCGGAAAAACAACTGGAAGAATGAAGGGGGGAACTCATTCAGAAATCAAGACAAACACACACGGGTGCTATCAGCCATGCACATGGGGTGGAGTGAAGGTGGGGAGAAGGGTTCAAATGAGCAGGAGTCACTGAATGTAGAAGTTGAATGGGGTCCCGCTACATTTAATTATTATTATTATTAATTATTTTTTTTTTTTTTTGGCTAGTGAATGAAGTCTTGCTAACATGGACTGTTGCAGGCAGCAGGTCAGATTGTTGCTATGGAGGCTGCTGTTCAACTTTGGAGAACAACAAGGAAAGCATGGGTGGGGTGCAGGAAACGTCTAGCTCCAATTTGCAAGTTGCTCCTTCCTTGACCTTATTCTGGCAAGGCATTCCCACAGATTTATTGGGATAATTCTTGCGCATTTGGTACACGTAAGGACAGCTGAAAGCCGTGTCAAGAGAACCAACTGCTACTCTACCAGATTTTTACCTGGCGTGACTACAAAACAGAGCTCACAGCAGTTCTTCGCTGTAGCTTTTTTAGAAAACCTTTCAGGAACAGTTCTACACAACCCTAATCACATCCCCATCTTCCTTTCCCCTTACCTCAAAAGCAAAATCTTGGTTAATTATGCACTTGACCTGGATGGCCTCCTCAAGCACTCCTCTCTGGCTATGTTAGGGGTGATGCACAGGCTGGGGAAAAGGCAGCGGGGTGGGTGCAAGCATTAAGTGTGGGTGCCAGCATTTTCGGGTAAAAACTGAGCTAATCCCAAATGCTTTGGCACCAGGGCAGGCGGACCCAATCCACACAGCACCAAGGAGAAATAAATCAGCGTGTGACTGACTGACTAACTGCAGACTAGGACCTTGCACAGGCACTCGTAGGTAGCTGTAAACCGAAGCCACCTGTGCTCTAGAGAATGGGAATCGGACACAAGAAAAGTTCTCCAGGGACCAGAGCTGCGTCCCCTGGGTGCTCGGGGGCACCTGGGTGGTTCCCAGAGCACGCTGTGCTCGCTCCTGTGGCCGGGAAGCCCAGCTCATGGAGTCAAGGGGTGAAGGAGTGGAGGAGCAGAATTTATTTCTACTGCCAGGCAGTGGCACAGCAAGCCCAAAATGTTTAGTGAGAGACCCAGAGGGGCAAAAGGAAGGACTTCAGCTTAATGCTGACAAACTCTGCCAGCAGCAAAGGCTGCTTGGTGTCAAGGCCTGCTGCCTCCACGGCTGGGGTTACAGCCCGTGGTGTGCAGTGGAGGCAAGCACCACTCCCAGGTCACCGCTGACCAGAACAAAACGTAAGACTGTCTCCAATTAAAAAGCCAAAAAAGTCCTTTTTTTTTTTTTTTTAAACCTTGTGGTGAGTAGAGTAAATGAGCGTGTCTTGAGGTAAAACCACAGAGCTGAAGCCTGCTGCTATTTGCCAGGAGGTAAAACGACTGAGGTCTCCCTCTTGTACCTCCTGGATGGTGTTTTATCAGGCTTGATTTACCACAGCTTGAAACTAAAGCGCTTCACCCTTTGCTGTGTTTCACCCTCAGGACAGTTCACTTAGCAGCCACCACACAGATTTAAAACAAAACAAAACAAAAAAATCCCCTACATCATTTTTTTTTTCTTCGTCTTCCTTAAGGCAAAGACGACAAGCCCCTGTCTTGAGCAAATTAGTGGGCAGGCAGAGCAACAAATCTGCCAGCTCTAAAAGGAGCCTCATTTGTCCACTCTTAAGCTCTTGATGTTAGAGCTGGTGAAACCCCAACAGCCGCTTCCTAAATCCTGCTGAGAAATGCTCTGCCTGCCTTTGGGTCAGCAACCTCGGGGCAGGCGGTTTCTGAGGGCTACCCTCACTGTTTCCGAATGAGGTAGGTGTAAAAAAAAAAAATATTTCAAGTCCTCACACAGCTTCCTTTCCCCTGCAAAAAGTGGTGTTTAACACATGACATGAGTTACAGGTCTAAGCCTATCTCCTCTTTACCACCTTGTGTTAAAACAGTCACCTGGCTGCTGCCTCGGGGATGCTCTCTCAAACTCAAATATTCCGGTTCTAGCATTTTTTTCTCCTTTTATTTTATTTTATTTTTTAAGACTAGGCCTAGTAATTTGAAAAAACGTTTTAAGTACATACCCGTACTCCTGAGGTGAAATGTCCTGTTCCTGACGAGTCCTAAAGATGATAATGCAGTGAAATAATCCAAACAGGGGGAGTCAATCCAAAAGAGAATAGTCCAGCAAGGAAAAATATATCCAATATTATAAGAAATCCACGGTGTGGGGGACATAGAAAATGTTTATACAATTAGAAACTTTAAACATCAGTCTCCATAGCAGCAAGTCCAACTTCACCACAGTGTATGCCAAAAAATTGATTGTGCAATGGTGAGGCATAGTATAGAAACATTTCTCTATTCAATTTATGTTCCAATGCCAGTGCATGTACTAAAAAAATAAAATAAAAAAATCGAAATCAAAACTCTTAACTTGAACTAAAAGGGTGATTGAAATTCCCATCATAAAGAATTTTCAGTCCTGGATATGGGGCCAAATTTCTTTTGTCTCCAAAGGTGCATCCCACTCGTAAATCTGTCCCAGAGACACAATGCAAACTTTGTGGTTTTAGTTTTTCCAAAAAAATAAAAAAATTAAAAAAGCAAACAAAAAAAAAACCAAAAACCAAAAAACCAAACCCCCTAGCAATTTATAATTGGTGCTGAAGAGAAAATAAAAACTCTGGGCTCTGGGCTTTCAAATTTGGATGCTTTAAATTTGCGTGAGCTACTGAGTGCCTCAGGCCGCCGCGGATTATTCTCAGTTTTGGATTGACTTCCCCCACCACTGGGTTTTTGTTTGCTGCCGTGATCTCTTTAGGATTCTTCAGGAACTGGACAAACCATCTCAGGAGTGCGGGTATGGACCGAATTTCGTTCTATGGCTTTTTTTTTTCCCCCTCCTGCCGCCGCACCCCTTTGCTTAGGAAATTTGCCCTCAAATTTTGTCTCCCTCCCCGCCGCCCCCCAAGCTTTTGAATCCCGCCCTAAAAAAATAAAAGCAACCACCCCCCTCTTCTTTTTTTTTTTTTTTTTAAGCTCTTCTGATCCGACACAGTTCCCAACCGGGAAGGCTGCCCAATTTGCCCACCGAGAACTACACCAGAGGCTGCCACCCTCCAGCGGGACACGAGCAGGGGACGGTCACAGGCTCCGCTTGGACGCGCCGCGGTGGGAGGACGGGTGGCAGGACTCCCCCGGGAGCTGTGAAGCCTCCCCACCCTGGACCCAGGCTGTGGTGAGAGCTTAAGGTCCGGGTAGTTCTCAGTGAGGGAATTGAGTTAAGCAAATAATCCGCGGATTATTATTATTTTATTATTTTTTTTTTAGTCTGCGGACTAAAATTTAGTGCACGGACTAAAATCCGGCCCGTCAGAGCAAGGTCTGTCTCAGTCTAAGATACATCTGGGTGAAAGCAAAAGGAAAATAAAAAATTAAAAATTAAAAAAGGAAAGAAAAAAGGAGAAAGGAAACAAAAGGAAAAAAATATATATAAAAGCTAAGTGCACAAAGTAAAGTGTTTGGGCAGACTAACATTTAGTATGCAGACTAAATATGGCCGGGCAAAATGCACAGCAAGTCCACAAACAAAAACAAAAATAAAAACACTGACAGGAACTTTTAAAGCAATCAAATACTACCCCACCGGCGCAGCAATTCATTTTTCTAAAATGAAACAAGACCTTTTGTAAGGCTATTTGTCCACAGGAGGGACCGAAGGCTCAAGTTTTCATTTTAAAAAATGAACCTGTTTTGGAGATAAACAAATGCAAAAGAAAGGCTTTACACACAGTATTACTCAAGGAAAATTTGCACTTGCATAACTCAAAACCTCTCGTTTCTGCAAAGCAAATGAAATTTCAGGCTGAGACCCAGGTCGCTGTTTTTCTTTCATGTTTTTTTGGATGAGTTACAAAAAAATCTCGGAATGATCATGTAAAATGGAAATGCTGACTCATCCAAAACCGCAGCTTTTGGTGCTTTTGTTTGTCTTGCCTCCAGGTTCCAGTGAGTCCACACCTCACCAAAAAGCTGGGGGACCAGTGCGAGTTCCTTCTTTGCTCAGGCATGCTGGCGATGCTCGAAGGCCAACAGCCCATGACGGGCAGGCAGGGAGGCCAGGCACATCGCCTCTCTCCTTTCTATGTTACTCTGCAAATCGGTGTGAATTTTTTCATGCAACTCCCTCTTTGTTTATTCCAGGAGCTACCGCCATCATCGACATCTCAAGAAGTGCTTGCCAAGCCCCTGGTGCACTCCTCGGCTCCCATCCCCAGATGACTTCAGTTTAGACGAAGCCTTTTGTGCGCTAGCAGAGCGAGCCGCATTTTGCCTTCCTGATTTGAAACGGTTCCTACCAGCGTAGTGGAGATCACACCCTTTCTGAATTTCAATTCCTCCCCCCCACACACACACAAGCGCACACACACATCGTAAGACAGAAGAAAAAGGCTGGAAGCACGGGGTGCTCCCACTGCGCTTCACTCGCATCAGCATGCAGCCCTCGGAGAGAGCCACACGGGGCAAGAGCCGCGCATTGTTTTAGCAGAATGCCTGCTCTGACTTCCAGTTCATTGACTTGCCACGCACAACACGGAGCTCGTTTTCCTGCTCTCATTCAGCGCCACGGCTCCCCAATGTGACACCAAGGTGCTCTTCCAGCCAGCGCGCGCGGGAAGGCATCGCGGAGAGAGCAGAGAGGCTTATTAAAACGACATCTGGTGCCAACGCAGCGAGTCGGTGACACCACAGTTAAAAATTTCCTCAGCGGCCTCGGAGCCGTGCCCAGAACCACCCACACCCCCGATTTGAGGCTGACAGGCTGCGCACATCCCCTCGCCGTTTGTAAGCGCATTTTGAAGGCACATGCCCCAGACTGGCAAGGAGGGCGGCCGAGCCTCGCTGGGAACGCTTTGAGATTAGGTAACGGGGAGAGCTCCTCCCTTCAGCAGGAGCTTGTGCTGCTTTGCGAGCCATCAGGGCCGTCAAATGTAGGATGCGACCATCGGGTCGACTCGTGAAATGCAGTCGCACAGGGCAATTGCCACAACTCGACGACACGGAGCAGTGCTTTGGTCGCGCAAGTTAAACGTGATGTGTCCCTAAACAGGAGGAGAGGGAAGAAACGCATCCAAGAGCGTCTGTACCGAGCTTCACCTGACTAGGAAACCCAAAGCTAACACTCAAGTGCTGCTCTAGGGACCAGTGTTAGCCCAAGACCCTGAAAATTTCCAAAAGGGAATTCTGAAATACTCCATTTTGCTATTTTGCTATTTTTTAAAACTACGTGATACAAATGAAGATTAAACAAGTCCACCAAAGACGCACCGATTTGGGGATTCACCTTAAAATATACATAACCTCCCCAACTACCTTCTCCAATTGAATCCCTGCATTTTGTCCTTAAAAGCGTCTCAAAAATAGCAAATGCCTTAGTAGTCAGAAATGCCTGTCAGATGGCACTTCCGCAGGCGGGGAAGCAAAGACAGAAGGGTTAAGTGGCTTACAAACGAGCCAACTCAGAACTGGGAACAGCACCAAAAACCTGTCTCCGAAGCTCCTTCGCCTTGAGACCACACACTTCTCACTGGGCTACTTCCACCGATGGCCTGGCAAACCCAGAACGCACCAGCATTTATCACCCCGGGCACGCTCTGCTCCTACCAGGCTCTACGGGAGGGCAGCACAAAGCAAAGCGGAACAAGACGGCTCCCCCTTTCCCATAGAAAACCCCAAAAACCCCCCTCTGGGAAGGCTCCCGGCCTCAGCGGGGCAGCCACCACGAGCAGCTTAGACAGACACGCTGCAACGGGACAGCAACCCGCCAAGAGAAAAACAGAAGTGGGCTCTTCAGAAGGAAGCAAGGGCATGGTTTCGCAGCAGGCAATCACCTCCAGTTCACATGGAAAAGATGGATCTGCCCTTTCCTGGCCATGCTGTTCTCGTCCCAGCACGTGCAGCTGGGTCTGAATGATCAGTCAGGTAGGAAAAGTGATCTAGATCCCGAATACTTTTTATCTTTCCCCCCCCTCAAGAGGTTTTTGGTATTATATAAACAGAAATGCAGAAGACAGGCATCAAGAATACACAGGTGGGAACTGGAAAGCAAACCTCGCTTCATGCCGAACTTAAGCTAATTATGAAATTGCACCCAAAGAAACATCCAGCCTCCCTTACACCTTCGTGTCTTTACAAAAGGTGAGACCCCAGTCTCAGAAGAGTTTGCAACTTCAATTGAAATGCAAGTCCACTAACAAGATTTCTCACAGGAGACTCTTCATTTTTCATTTTCTTTTGTCATCAGTTATAATTAGGAGTGACAACAAGAGCCATTTATCCATCTCACTGTTTGGTATTCCTCCTTGCATCTCCAGTATGAGCAGTCACTTGGAAGCATGACAAGCAAAACAATCTGCTTCAAAACCAGACAAGAACCAGGAGAGCAGGAGTAGGACAGGATGAGGACATGAGGCTGATTCTGGAGAGTGGAAAAAAACTGTCATGAGGGAGAGCAGACTCTTTATGGCCCATCCAACAGCGAGGACAAGGCAATAGGACGGCCTGCTGCAAATCCAGAAACACTCAACAAGCAGTGAGTAGTATGGTAAAATGTATACAAAGACAGAAAGACACAAAATACTCGGTCTGAAATGTTTACCCAGTATTTTATAATATTAGCAATTCATAATGTAGGTAGAAAAATGGATCATAAACTCAACATCCAAAGCTACTCTATAATACAACACAACTGTGTTTCTGTACAACTTTGAACTGGCCAGTTGCTTCATAAAAGGGTCAGAAAGAATACGAACCAGACCCCTAAAATTTCATCTTAGACACTGTTTTCTTCTGCAACACTATTTTGGCTTGAAGACATGGACAGAAGAGCATGCCTAATGGTATAAATCACAAAAAAATAAGCGCTTACGAAGTCAGAAGGGGCCCTGCCTTAATCTGCTGTGACTTTATTGTGATGGGAAGGTCTGTGGTGGAAGGAAGCCCTCCTATATTCATCCAGAATATTCACGTCACCATACTGCCTGTTACTGGCAGACAGGTGGAAATATCCTTGGAAGGAAAAAAGATGTAAAAGTGGCCTCAAGTACATAATTCGATTATTTACTACAGCGTTACTCAAACGAGATCCTTTACCAGCTGGAGGTGGGAATGTGGTAGGACAGCCATCACAGGCAGGCATGTTTCATATTTCTGGAAATAATCACAGAAGAGTCTTTGTTTTTCATAACCCAAAGGGCCTGGGACATGAAGGTAGCATCTGATTAATGCCAGGATAAAGGCCAGCTGTACCAGGGCCATGGCAAGCAATGCCAGCCTAACACAAGCTTATGAAGCACGCATTTATACCTTTCTTCAGCCACTCCACTGCCCCTGGCCTCCTTCAAAAAGGCCAAAAGATTGAGAGAAAACTAACAAAAGCTGAACTTCAACAACCCTGTGACATACAATCTTGCATTTGATCTCAGATTTTCTTTTGGGCTTTCCGGTCACGCAATTATGAAGTGTGGATGAAGCTTAGACAGAAGAAGATAAATGAGGATAAAGATTAGTAGCAGAGATCAGACTGTGCGCTTTCAACAACAAGGCTCACAGAGCCGAGGTAGATGAAACACACGGAAGGGAAGTTCTGATCTTGTAAAAACAGCAGCAGCAAAGTCTCCAGAAAGGGAAAGAAACTTTCATTTGATGAGCTGATACATCTGAAAAAAATGGACAAGTTTTCTGACCCATGCCACACCAGAAGACATGGTGTAGCCTGGCCATTTTCCTCCCCAGTTGTATCATTTGGTCAAATAAAAGATATCACCACTCCTGCAAAGCCTTGCTTCGCTTATAATTTAATGCCCTGTACTCTTGGAAAAAGGCAGACGAGCAGTAGGATGCACCTCCATGAATACAAACTGTCCTACATTAAGAAAAAACAAAAGGAGGTCTGGGCAAAAAGAACAGCTACGTTACTAAATTAAATACTCCTGTATTCAGAACAGGAACCCCTACACCCTTACCCCCACCCCAAAAGAACTAAAATGCCCCACATTTATCCTTTTGGATAGGGGGGGCAGTGGGAAGGAAGAGACAAGTCTTGTGTTAGAAGGAAGATTCAATAGCTTGCTGGAAAGTTCAGATTTTCTTTTCTTTAGCTGGCTAGGGACACAGTAAACTCCAGTCATCTTCAGCACCATGCACAAAACTGGTAGAAAAACATGCATGAGCTCGGACAACATAGGATTGTATTGGAAAGAGGGGCTTTACGTATTTTATACTCAGAGATTAAGGCTCTCAAAGTTACAAAAGCATTTGAATCCTAAATTGTCAGACTGAAAAAACAGGCTCTGTAATCTCAAGTTATTGATGCAGCAGAAAAATATTTTTTAAAATATTATAATTAAAAATATTTTTAAAAAAAGCTTGGAGGCTATCTCATTTTACAACACTAGCCATCATTCTTCCCCATCCAGTAGATAACAGCCAAGTGAGCAGATCCCAACACTACAATGATCCTCAGAAGGAAGACAGGTCTAAGCCTGTCAGAAACATGCAGAGAGCAGACCTTCAACAGGTCCATCCAACACAAGTCCTCATCAGAGAATTTCAGTTGCAACCTATACGTACTACAGCATCCAAAGGAAATTCTTAATTGCAACCTACACATACTTTTGCAGACCAAAGAAAGCTCCCTGAACCATACCAAAACAACAAGGGGAATGCCCTTGTCTCAAAGAGTTTATACCAGGGAGTGATTATATTTTTACTCAAGCCTGCTGCCTGGAAGCTTTTCCACACAGAAACTTACTGCTGAGTCCTTTGGTCCTAACTAGTCCACAAAAATAACAGCCTTATCACTCCTGCAGCCTTTGGCAGCTCTTTAGCTTAGATGACAAAGCTTTGTGGTTTTGAGGCTGAAACTGCCCAAGTCCTGCTTGCAGCTAGCTGTGGCACTCTACTTACACACGGTTATAACAAAAGCCATTTGCACTTTCCCCTTTTCTGTGTCATTCCTCTTCTGCTCATTAGACTGCATCTCTACAATCATAGTTCAGAAGTACTTCTCTTCTAGTCGCTGTTCACAATTCTAACATCGAGAAACTCCAGAGGATGTGCACGTCCACTTCTGTGCCATCAGATGTTGTTCCGACACAACTGGGTAAGGAGGAACAAGCCGAAGCATTGCTGCCACTTGCTGAAATCTTTCATGGCTCAACACCAAAATGGTGAGAGGAAAGGATCTTTAGAAGTAAGAGAGGATGAGCATCACTGACAACACTATGTTGGATGATCCATTTTAGTAATTTAGCATATGGACAACAAGAAAAGTACAGATCTCATCGATGAAGCATCATGCCATCCGATTGTAGTAGACTGCTTTAAGTGCTGTTGTACACGCAGGTGATGTCAGGAAGAAGGTGTAGAATGAATCAAGAGTGAGAAGCTATGTTGCAAGTCCAGCTCTCCAGAAGTAATTGTGCCCTAATGTGGAACACAGATTTGATCTCCTCACAAACAAGCTCCTCTCAATTCTTTCTAATTGGCTTAGTTTCACCTGCGATCCCTTAGAAGGTCCAAACAACTATTCATTTATAACGTATATAAATAGAAAGGACTCTCAGTTTTTTCTTGAAGCTTACATTTGCTAAAGATCTCTGTTGTGACCATCAAGTGCAGATAATTCTTAAGACTATTCAGGCAGAAGATGAGTTGCACAGCTAGATTAAATGCTCAACTCTACCTATATATACTGCAGTAAATCTCAGCACCCCTGTTCCATTGCGTATTGGTTTAACCCTTCAAATACACAACACCTTCACTGCAGAAATTTGGAAGCAACCCTAGAATTCCTTGCTCTAAGGCTTTGGGGCTTATCCTTGGGACTTTTACCATGGTGCAATTTGAAGCAGAAGAGACCAACTCCCAAGGATTTCATTTCCCTTATTTTTTTCTTGTTAATGTAAGATATTAAAAAGCACTGATGGATTTACTGGCCTCTCATTCTATTATAAACCACTTAATCAACCCACCGAAACTAGGTTATAGAAATACTAACCAGGGATTACTGGGGAAAAGGAGAATTATAGTGGTGCACAACACACTGGAGAGAGAATCTATCACAAAAATAGTGACTTACAGTACCTGGCTTGGTACATACCTTGGTACGTACTGAGACTATACTGCGATTGTATCAGCCATTTCTCAGTCAGCAAACAGAAAATCTTAACAACCAGGTTTCAGTTGCTTACGACTTGACTTCTAACTTATACTACAACCTAGAGGCTAATTAAATGATCAGTTTTTACCCTTTCCCAAACCAAACACCCATCATTTGTCCATGGGGAAGATAGCTTAACTACGTGGCCATGTATTTACTGTAATGCTAGCGGTTTCTGCTTTGATCATGGAGGTTATAATATTGTCACTATTACTGCAATAGCCCTTCCTTTTGGAGGCTAGAGAGCAAAAACAGTCATCAGTAACTCCATGAAAAAAGCACCGCTCTCAAGAGCACACCTATAGGAGCACAAATATAGCGTTTTTGAGAGAACCAGTTAAGAAACTGACTGTCAACCTTCACTGTCAGATTATGTAGCAGCATTACAGAAGTGTCACACATCAGCGGAACGCTTCCTCATTTCTAAGTGACTTTCATGCACATCAGGAGTCATAGCATGACAGGATTTAGATATATTGCAATCCACTACTCACACACACACACCATTGTTTAAAAAATGCCTGTAGGCAACCTCAAAAAAAAAAACCCACAACCAATATATATCACAATACACTGCTTCAACACCTCCTTTATCCTTACCTAAATCAGGAGTTATTGGGTCCCCAGAACAGTTAAAGGCACCTAGTTTAGACTGAAAGCCACAGACACTGAACAATCAAGCTTAACTTCTCCAACTTTTAGTTTCAGCCCACATGTTGTTATTATCCAATTTGTATAGACTCACCTTAGTCCATGGATGTGCCTTAATCTGAGGGAATTTGAATTCAGTATAGTTTGGATTCATTTCTCTAATTTGCTCCCTTGTAGGCGTTCCCAGAACCTAGGAAGGAAAGAAGAAAGGGTAAGTTATTTATGCTTGAGATTCATGAAGATCTTGAAGAGTCCAGTATAACCTCTTACACAGTGAGAAAACTAAACTGAAGGCAGTCTGTACAACTAGTAAATTCATACAGCGTTGAGAATAGAATAACAAAACTTCCAGCTGGAAGGGACCTCCTCTCCTGCTTCCACCTGGTCCGAGCCCCCTGCTCAAGCAGGGTCAGATACAGCAGGCTGCCCAGGACCACGTCCTGTTGGGTTTTGAGTGAGATCGATGTGATCCCCCCAGACCTTCTCTGCGCCAGGCTGGACAGCCCCATCTCTCATGACTTCTTATCAAACGACACAAGATCTAGTCTAATTGCCTGTGACCCTTGCTCCAATATAAGTCTCTTGGTGGCAATTCATTCGTGCCCCAAAGCCCAGTGTCAAATAATTTAATTCTCTTCTAGACGTTTTCACAAAATTCAAGGTTTTTTTCTCAAACTCGGTGATATTTCAATGGGGAATAGAGTTTACTGTAATTTTAATGTTATAAAACAGTACTGCTGCACTTATTCAGAGATTGCAGCTCACCGCATGTGGCTGATTAAGGATCAGACCAGTAACACAAAACGCATTTTAAGTCAGGAACAACAGCCGTCTGAGGAGCTTAAAAGACAAGCCAATTACTGCTTACAGGAGCTGAAGTTTCCTTCTTTTCTCATTAGAAATGTTTTTATTTTTGTTTTTTCTCCCGTAGTTCAATGCAAAAGATGAACTTAGTTTAAACCTAGCTGGAAACATCTACAACGTGTGCTTCCTGTTTCCTTTCACTGGACTTGTATTCCTCATTCCCAGAATGTGCCACAACGTTCTTTGTGCGTGCAAATTCGTCAGTTGTATGAGGAATAATACACAGTCACACACCTCACTCTGGGGCTGGATAGATCCTGAAGGAATCCTGGAAATCCCAGGACAATGCAGTGTTAGCGTGTTACCATTACTAACCCTAAGAGAACATTCAGTTCTACCTCCATAAAAGAGCTGCAACAAATTATTGGAACAATCTTTCAAATAAACAGCAGGTAAAAGAGGAAATAACCCCCCACGACTTGTTCAGGCAATTAATTGCTTCTTGGACAATAGAAATAGCTGACAAGTCACGTGAAAGAAGGATCACACAACACCTGCCTCCTGAGCCTAACCGGGATTTAAATCCCACCACCTCTACAAGCCAAGGGTTGTGCCCAAAATTGACATGAGGATTTTTCTGTGTGCATCTGAAAATGCCTCTTACGCTTTCACCTCCCCACCCCGTCAAAAAAAAAAATATTTAATAGCATTCCTAAAAATTATAACTACAATTACAGGCAAGAATTACATTTGTATCTAGCCAAAATTCAGGAATTTGGCTCGGTTCCCCAGGCTGCTCAGAACGAGAGCCTACACAGTGCCAGCATCCTCAAGTAAAGACTGTTTATAGTATGGGAGAGATTTCGGATTAGGTATGTAAGGACAGCTTCATGGGAGGACCCAAGGACAACGCCCAGCCACACATTTCACAAAAAGCCACATCTGTAACTGCAAATGGTGGGAGGGAGCAACTCCCTGAGCTCCAGCCCCGGTGACAAGGATAGTGAAGCATTTAATCAACAGTGCTTAAGGTCTCATGGAAGATTAGAAAAGGTATTGAAGAGGGATAACGCCATATGAAAGAAGGGAAAGCCTGACCTTTTGGTTATACAGCCCCTGACACACAAAATAACTGTACAAAAGGAGAAGTGGCTTACGTTAACTACCCAGTGTATTTACTTTGTTTTCTCTAGGTTGCAGAGCCACGCCACTGGTGTCTGGGCGCTTTCGATTTGTGCTGCGAGTAGGCAGATTAAGGCAGAAAATGAAAAGGAAAGTACACAGGAAGAAAAATGGCAGCTTTTAGGACTGTCAAATTCAAATCACAATCCAGAAAAAAAAAAAAAGAAAGCAGGATGAATGAAGTGATAACCTACAAAATTGTACTGGCAACTTGATGTGTCTGGAAGAGGCCCTGTAGCAAAGGATGGAAACACCCCTGCAGCCTAGAAGATGGTTTGCTGCACAGTTTTTAAATCATGCCTTACTGATTTACACCATGCTTTAGGTACATCAGGAATACAACTGAGTAACCTTGACGAGTAGTAGCAATCATTTATGTTATCACAAAACTGGGTAACTTTTTTTTTTTCTTTTAAGTCATGCATATGACTTATTTCTGTTTGAAATGCAAAGGAGAAGCATAAATTACTTGGTAGTTTTTTTGGCAGAATTACTCTGTGAAACAACTGCTCCTGCTACACCAGCTCTGCAAATCCTGTGGAGCAGATGTTCCTTGCAGAGAGGTTTCACAGAACACGGAGGTTTTAAGGGACCTCTAGAAGTCATCTGGTCCAACCCCCTCCTCGTGCAGTGACCGTCAGCAAGAGCCAGTTGCTCAGGGCTGTGTCCTGGCAGCTTTTGAAGATCTCCAAGGATGCAGACACCACAGCCTCTCTGGTTGCTCCACTATTTGTCCACACCCTCACAATAAAACTATTTTCTTGCGTTCAGACTGAATTTCACGTGTCCAGTTCGTGCCCACTGCCTCTCGTCCTGGCACTGGGCACCAGTGAGAAGAGCCTGGCTCCAGCTTCTTTGCATCCTCTCTTCAGGTCTTGCCTACATCAAAGAGCTTTTAAGAAATATTGAGACCAATACTTAATTATTCAGGTCTATGCACATTAGCACGTGCTATTCTACTTCTGCTTCTTGGGGACAGTCTCATGAAAGGTGGTATTTTCAAAGAGAAGGATGGTTTTTTTTGACTGTACCTAGAATTTGAATCAATGAACGGGGACTACGCAAGACTTGTAAGAAGAGATCTTGCAAGTGAAGGCAACAGGCCAGCAGCCAAATGCTGTGACTCTTCATCCCCAATAGCTACCATCATCTCTTAAATAAAAATACACAGAAAAAGAAACTATCCAATAGGAGTAACCAAGGAATACACTTGTTGACAAGGCAGATGCTGCTTTAATTCTCTCAGGTCAGAAATTGAACACCGGAGCTTTTACAAGTATCTGCTGGAAAGTTATTCCTTGACATTCACGTGTAATAGATGAAGAACCCTAAATACTTTTTCTTCCAACAATAGGGTTCATGAAGATAGCAGAATGGCGTATATGTTAAGCTATATAGCTTAAGGTATGTACCTTAAGCAAATAAAGAAGAAAATCTATAACCACATCTCTAACAAACACCATCAAGAAAATTCTGTATCTGAAGTTAAGTCCTGAATTTGATGATAAATAGCAGAATGATCTTCATTTTATGCACTTGCAACTGAATGTGCACAGAAGGATGAATAATATTCAGCTCCAAAGGATGCCTTAGTTACACCCCGGTACTGAAGATAGAGGCTGTCCACACCTGGCTTCACTGCACAAAAATGTGCAGGGTTATTTGAGACCAAAACCACACTGCTTGCAACACATGAAGAGGAGGAAAACGTAAGTTTTGCACAAACCCCAGCAAAATAAAAGCCTTTTCTGACAGTTGTTGCTGCTAAACATTTGCCAAAAATATTAAAATCAGTTAAATGCATAGGTAGGAGGAGACTCTGGCTGCTGAGAACTGAAGTGAACTCGAGAGGGAAGAAGATGGTTATTTAATTCAGAAAGCCACAGTTACAGTGGTACGGTGCCCTCCCTGTGAAAACTCTGCAATCTTACAAGCAAATGTCCTCCAGAAAATCTGGGGTGTGTGGTTTACCAGATGGCATAATTAATACTTCTGTGAACATGTCTGCACCTCTTCAGAAAGTCGTTAGGGGTATGCCAAATTGTTCCTTAAATTCACGGGGCTGGAATCTCAAGCAGCAAACACAGGTCAGAGAAATAATGCTTCAAGAGGTCTACGGGAAAAAATAAACTTGCACGTTTTATACACGCAGTCTTTCAAAAGCATGCTCTTGTCAAAGAAAAAGGAAAGCCAACTAAATATAGAGATTTCTTCTATTCACAAACTCAAGAACAGCCACACAACAGGAATAGGAAGAAGCCCATTGTCACTGCTGACATGAGTATAATTGTTCATCAACTTTTCATACCGCCTGCCAGCGAGCACTGCAAGTGTGGAATAGCAGCACTAGGCACAAGAACAGCCAAGTTGTGATGTGCTGCGGGGTGGAAAATGCCAGAAGACTTCCTTGATGGGAGAGGAAAAGATGAAAGCCCGCGGCAGCGTCGCGCTGACGGACGGTCCCAGTGCCACACATTCGCTCAGCGCAGGACCACGTTTGATAACAAGAAGCCTCCTCTCTGACTGCTTGCTCTCCTGGAAGAGACAGCTCCACTCTCCCCATTAACTACTGCGAGTGAATTTATTTTATTTCAAAAACTGAGCCCAAAATAGTACCTTGACATTTGAGTGTGAGCCATATATTATAATTGCAGTCTATACTTAGCGTTCGGCTCAGTAAAACTGTCAGAGACCAAAAAGTTACACATGGCTAGGATTCCTGATACTATTGAGCTTGTCTTTTAAGACATTTTTTTACCCTAGCCTTCTTCCTAGCTATGGGAAGATGGTTTTAGTATTCTTTGGTGCAAGGAATAATTACATAGTCCAGAGGAACTGAGAAAACAACCCCAAACCAAAAAACCCACAACCCTTTCCTACAATTGCAAGCTAGTCAATGCATCTCACACTCGAGATTGCAGCACAGACAGGGAAAAAGTGTTTCTGGGAAAGACAACGAAAAGGAGATTAGCAGATGTTGTCCTCCCAGTGCGCCAGGGCTGCTCAGATGAGTATTGCTGTTTCTTTCTTCCGACAAAGATTTTTTTCCCCCCCATTTTTTGAGGGGAGTAGGGGGGAAGGAACTAAACAGACCCTTCCAGAAGGTAAGTATGCATGTAAATATTTATCTTAGAAAACCACGATGTTTCAGAAATTCCCTTTTGCAAGGGAACCACAGAATAATCACATTCTGAGGGAGCCGTGGTAGAAGATGGGTCAGTTGAGGGGGTTACCCCGGACGGTTTTCCTCTGATGGTTTCAACGCTCTGCAGCGCTGCGGGTGGGTGTGGGAAGGATGAGGAATTCCCCCGTCCGAGCTTGCACGGCAGGCACCACGGCTGCATTCCTTGCTGTGAGCACAATGTCAGGGAATTAGGTAGCAGACCTCACCGACAGCATCTCCAAAAATCCCCTCGTGCAGGCTGAGACCTCTTCTTTTGAGCTGCATTGAGCAATATCCTGATTGCGTGGTAGATGCGGCAACTGCAACCATCCTGGGCTGCTGGAAGGAGCAGTTTCACCTCTCCAGCAGTGAAGGGACCGCTGCTCTCTCAGGCGTGGCGTTTGCTCCGACGTAATTTCTTCACCTGACCAGTGATGAAGCCTGAAGTGCTGCTGTGCCTGCTTCAGGAACTAGCGCATTTCTGAAGGAGATGTGACTTGAAAGCCAGTAGGGGCGTGAATTACAACAGAAAGATCGGGTTACCCACTTGAGATATTCCTAGCGGTGGGATAACCTAACATTTAGAGTAGCCAGCAAGAGCTAAAAATACTAAGGAAGAGTCACCATCCAAGATAAAACCTTGGAAAAAGCACATCATGTAATTTCTCTCCTGTAATGGTGAAAGTACTCAAGAAGAATGTGCTGAGATTAATTATTTCTTCAGACCGAGCTCCGAGACAGTATTTCCCCCTATCAAATATCCTTTTGTCAGGGGTAAGTGGTCAAATATCTCCTTCTCCCAGCCAGACTAAGAACATCTGGAAAGACTGAAGAACTACTACAGAAACAAGGAAGGAAAGAAAGAAGTATTACTATGGAAAGACTGAAGACTAAAGAAATATGAACAAGAGAGAAAGAAGCTAAAAATAAGGACTGAGGGGATGTCATCGGTGCCACGTGAGACAGGAGGACTTGTTTAACGTGGTGGCATTTCCAAGTCATTCTCCAGTCTCATGCAGGAGCTTCATATCCAGATGTAGCATCCAACTGATGTATTGCGCAACGAACTCTGAATAATCGCAGTTGAGTAAGCAAGTGAGAAATTCATCTTGGCCTGAAGCATGCTGCAAGACTGATTGCTGCCCTTCGTCATTCTGAGCTGATAGGAACCAGCAGAAAAGTTTCCAAACTGACCTCTTCCAGGGGATTCAAGTCAATTTATTGGATCAAAGTCAGATGCATTTCCAAATGTGCGGATAACTATTTTTACTTTAGCCCTTTTGGGGAACTGAAAATACTCCATTTTCTCTGCCCCTCAATGTCAGACATACATACCAAGGAAGCCATTTGAAAGTGAAGCTCCAAGACAGTCACAGGATAACAAGAAGCACTGCTCCCAACCTGAAACTCTGTAGAAAGTTCGTGGCTGTTCTAGCATCACTGAATGGTTTGGGTTGGAAAGGACAACAAAGATCACCCAGTTCCAATCTCCCTGCCATGGGCAGGGACACCTTCCACCAGACCAGGTTGCCCAAAGCCTGGCCTTGAACACCTCCAGGGATGGGGCATCCACAGCTTCTCTGGGCAACCTGTTCCAGTGCCTCACTACCCTCAGAATAAAGATTTTTTTTCCAAATATCCTCCATTTCAAGCCATTACTGCTTGTCCTATCACTACACTCACCCATAAAGAGTCCCTTGTCATCTTTACTGTAGGTCCCGTTAAGGTACTGGAAGTACCCTGGTACTGGCCTCCTTGGAGCCTTGTCTTCTCCAGGCCAAACAACCCCATCTGTCTTCATCGGAGAGGTGCTCCAGCCCTCAGATCACCCCTGTGGCCCTCCCCTGGACTTGCTCCAACAGCTCCATGTCCTTCGTGTGCTGGGTCCCCGCACGTGAGCGCAGGGCTCCAGATGGGGTCCCAGGAGAGACCCCCTACAACTGGTGGATCCCATAGCTCTGCTTCTCCTACAGCATTACAACGAGTCTGTCTTACAATGTAAGCTTTAAATAATATGTCATCAAATGGAAGTGGTGGATGCCATCCATTAAAAAAAAAAATTAAAATTAAATGAATCCTAAATAACCTCATGTTTCCCATTTTATTGGCTGCGCTACCCCCAAGTACAATTCTCTCTGTATTCTCACCTCAGCCTTTTGCCAGTGCTTTTATGAATAGCTGATACAAAAATTCACAACACGAGATGTGGTACAGGGGCATTGAAAAACAGTTCCCTTAGGCAGTTTACATTCATTTTCCCTCCTATTGTTGCCTTGAGAATCTGTGTTTTCTCTGTAACAAATATATGGGCAGAAAATTATTCATGGCATCCACCCATTCTAATTTACATTTTCCATTGTATTTTATTTAAGGATGCAGTGAACACCCTTTTTTATAACTTCGACTTCAAGATTTACTGCGTTTGTTCTCTCAGACTTTCCTAAAACATATTCTCTGAACAGTAACCTTTTAATTGAAGAGGCTGGGCTTCCTATAAAATTGAGTTATTCCTATATTAATTTCTGTGTGCAGAGGGGGTACGTGTCTAAGAGGAGAGGAGGCCTCCCCCCCAAAAAAAAACATAGGACTGTGATGATCATGCAGAAACACCCTTTCCACATTTAAAGAAATCCAGTAATCTGTTCTTTATCCAAGGTGAAAATCATCACATCAAGCTATGATTTACTGAAGATCAAGCCTTTACACCAGATACTCCTCTGGCATCATGCAGCATGACACTAGTCTGCCAGTACTATATATTCAGCTATGAATTGGACTCAGTCTTTGTGGGTCCCTTCCAACTCGGGATACTCTATGAATTGGTCAATAAAAATTACTACAATTTATGGTAGCAGTGTTTAAAGAAACTGTAGGCGGTACACAGACCGACAGCAATTTTATTCAAGCATTCCTTTGCTTCAATACAACTTCACCCAAGTGTAAATGAAGCAGAATCATCGCAATCAGAGCACGTACATGCTATGAAATTATTAGTTTACAGATGTTTTCCTCCAATATCGCGGAACTGAAAACGTCCAGCTAATGAAAGCTGCTTCTAGTAAACTTCAAACAAACCACAATCTCTGCTTGGCAAACATCCTCAATAATGAGAGGACATCTATTTCCTAATTATTGTACTTGGATATTGTTTAAGTCAAAGCAATGCCAGAGCACTACGGTTGTGCTGATAAGGCCTCCCTATTCTCAGATTTCTAACCAAGCCGTGAAGGACTTACAGGACTTCCACCGTGACATAAACAGTAGTTTTCACAAAAAACTCATTAGATGTAGTTTCTTGCGAATGCAGACATGAATTAATTAAACCAAACAGAACTTTTTGCAAACTTCTGATGGCAAGCAGCACAGTTTATTGTACAAATTCCTCAGGAACTCTAGCACTCTGAAGTGTTTAGAGGGAGCGATTTACTTCTCACAAAAGCCGTGCAATGGAAAGCACTGCACCGCTCCAAGCTCCTCAAGAGGAGAAAATTCTCGCTTGTGTCATCATCAGTACTGCTTGTGACAGCAACTTAATTTTTCCACGGATGTTTCCCATGTAAACTGACCCAACGTGATCTTACTGAGCTTGAGATACACTAGGCAGAACGACAATAATAAGAAACCGAGGAAGTCTTAGGAGAAGGAGGTGCAGGAAGCCTCTGGAGGAAAGGAATCGACTGGATGACTTCCAGCACTACAGACATAAAACCACTACAGTATTAACTCAGTTTACACAGTCAAATGCTGGAGGAGACATGACAAGAGCCTAGAAAGGTCAGGACATAGCTGACTGAGAGCAGAGAGCAGGCCACAGAAACACTGGGCCTCACCAGCTCACATTCTTCATGCAGCAGGATGACAACTTGGAGCTGGCTGGAAGCAGATGTTGTGTTAAGACAGGGACAAAGACACCAGCAACACACAGATTTTACAGTTCTTCTAGGGAATAATCGATACAAGGAGGAAGCTGACACAAACATGTATGTATCAAGGTAGCTGTTAAGTGGCAAAACCAAGAAGGAAGTCCTCTTAGTACAGTCCCCGTCTGGTGATGAAATAAAGCCAAAAAGCACACGCATTCATCTTATCCTTTGTAATGCTCCCATTTTTACTAAGCGCACGGTACAGATGCACTGCAGGTGTTGAATGAGGAGGGTTACATCAGGGAAGAGAAAAGAGCATTTCAAAGGTACCGAAGCTGAATTGGATAGATGCTGGGAAGTCAGGCACCAATCTTTTAAGCTATGAATTATTTTCTCCATGCCTCTAATTTGAGAATCACAGAATATTCACAGCTTACCAAATGAAATCAATCAAGATGTGTTTGAACTTCAGCGATACATAAATGTTACGTATTTTGAAATATTAGGTCTTTTTCACTTCAAAAATGAGATTTTTCAGATGGAGGGTGTTTTCTCTACATTTAATTAGGTCCCAATTCTCCAGCTGCAAAAAGGAGTGCACGTTTTCACCCCTTACCTCAACGAACTGGTAGGAAGGAGGAAGAGAAGATGGCTACATATGTGAAGAATCTGGCACAAAGAAATTTAATAACACTGCTTGCAAAGCCAAGTACTAACTGCGTGCAACAAAGAAAAAAGAGCCAGATTCTTAAAGAATGAGAATCACACATGCATAAATATTGGCTCAGTCTGTAAGCACCATTTCCAAGCACACTGAAAGTGCAATCCTTTAACAGGACAAAACCCTATGTAATTAAAAGACAATGCATCATTACACAGGATTGCAAGAGGGACAAATAAAGATCATCAAGTTCTCAAAAACACTAGAAGTGTTTTCAGTCATGGTTTACACACAACTCATTGTACAATGGTGACTGAAAATATATGTTGCCAAGCTCGTAACAATGAACATTTTCATACTGATTCCAAGGGAGTTGGGGAAAAAAAAACAACAAAACACTTCAAATTCCATACCTTGATTATTTCCACCAACTGATCCACACCACTGTCACCTGGAAAGATTGGTTGTCCTAGTAACAGTTCAGCCAATACACAGCCTGCTGACCACACATCTGAAAAGGGGGAAAAAAGCAGAGGACAAGGGAAGGCATCAGTAAAAGGTATGTATTGAGACATTTATAGATGTATATATTTATATATAAAACCACAGAAATTTTAAGCAACTGAATTTATCGCTTGCCAGGTTTCATACTGCATAAACATAGCAAAAAAACAAGAACATTCCTCTCCTAAAGGTACATCTAGGAAACAAAAGATATGTGGCATAAAGCAATAGGAGGGCAGGTATTCTGGAAGTCAAACAATGAGACAATGTGAAACAGAAAATAATGTTGAACACCGCATATCTTGACATTAAAACTTATACACATAGGAAAAAGAACAGTATATTTGCCACGGGAAAATTAGGAACTTCCCCAAGCCCTGTGTTGTTCTTAAATCACAATGATCACAAACTACCTCTAGTTATCATCTGCAACAACAGGTGATGTTTTTGCTGTTTCTGAATGTTGAATAGATTAATTTTTCATCCACATACCAAAAGCATATATACATTAGCAGACAAGCCAGTACTGCAAATATTACTAGCAGTATGTAGTACGTAATAATTTAGACAGCCTCAGAGTCGCATCAAGACCTAATCTTTATCCCAACTCCATTTGCAAACTTGGCTGAACAATGGTGCTGCAAGACATAGGTCAACAGCATCTGTAGAAGATGCCATAAATTCATTTTCATACGTAAACCAAAACCCACATCTAGTCACTAGCAGCTGCTCCTCAGTGTAAGACAATCTTCATCATCTATTATAGGTGTATTTGTATATAGAAGCAAGACAATTCAATACCACAAAAGTAACTTAAGAATGCACCTATATGCACTACAGAATTTAACTTTTTTTTTCCTCCAAAACAGTCTTTCTAAACAAAAACTTAACTAAGCAGCTTCATTGAACACTTGACAGAAGATATTTGTGAGAATTCCTCCCATGCTTCTCTGAGCTCTTGCCTACTCTTATAAGAGAATCTTCCTCCAGCAACCAGCAGTACCACCACCACAACTCAAAACCCAGAGAATTGCCGCATCCCTAGAAGTGCTCAAGGCCAGGCTGGAAGGGGCTTTGGGCAACCTGGTCTGGTGGGAGGTGTCCCTGCCATGGCAGGGGGTTGGAACTGGATGGGCTTTAAGGTCCCTTCCAACCCAAACCAGTCTGTGATTCTATGAATTTACCTTCTGAGATGTTTTCCAGCTGGAGATATTCCATGCTGAAGATCCTTACTCCCCACGTGTATTTAAATAACACCACTGGAAGCAGGATACATGCAGCACACAACTCTTTAGCTATAACTGACACCTGATAGTCCTCTAACAGTCGACTATTTGTCATAACCACTAGAGACAGATACAACAATAAAAACATCAGGAATTCAAGATTGATGACAATAACTGGGAAGTGAGAACAGACTTTTCCTTCCCATGCCCATATTAAAAAGAGAGAGGGGGATAACGTAGAAGTATTTTCCCTCTTCTTGAGCATGCAGTTCAATCATAACACATGGTAGACAAAAAAATTACTGCAGCTTTCAACATAATGCCTCTCCAAGTCAAATTGGTGGACTGTCACATAATGCCTTAGTATAAACCTTGCACCGGTGCTTACCCTAAAAAGTAATGAACTTACAGTGCAAACGGCAATTGGAACTAATCACAAGTTTACGTCAAATTTCAACAAGCAAACAAACCACACGCTTTGTGAGCTTTTAGCAATATTTAGTAGAAGCTGATGGACACCAAGGTGCCAAGATCTCTTTTGGGCAAAGGCATCACATAAAGAATAATTAATTGCATCTGACTGCTCAGCAGCTGCTGCTAACTCCAGCCAATACATACAACCAAAGGATGATGAGAAAAATCCCTTTTTATGTCACATACCAAGAGCCAGTCAAATATGTGGCGGGGTTTCTAGGAACTTACACAACAGTTCAACAGATAACAGATTTCTTCAGAAGCAGCGAAGAAACAGATTAAATGTATTAAGCTGGGCACTGTAACTTCACAGGCCATATAAAAGCACCTTAAGGGGGTTTGAGAAAGCAGAGTCCTTCGTGTGAATACATAAAGCAAGTGGTAGCTCAAAGCTATAATCATTATTGACTGTGCCAACACTTATTCTGGACTGAGAAAGCAACAATATATGGGAAGGAAAAGACAGAACATGCACAAAACCAAGGCTGATATTTGAGTAAGTCAGCACTCAGAACTCAGTTCCTTTTAAAATCTGGAAACTAAGTTAGCTTCTTTTTTTTCCCCAAATTGGACTGTGGCTTTGTAAAACTGTTTCTAAATAACCTGGCTGGCTTCTCTGTGAAATTGGCTTTGTGCTGTTTTATCCCTTCCCGGGCTCCCTTCTCCCTCCTCCCCCAGCCAATTTCAGACCAGTCTGAAAGGCAGAGGTCTTGAATCTATTTCAGAAGTTTTGTAAAAACCAGAGGGAGAGCGGCAAGGAGAGCTCAGTCTGCCAAAGGAGGTGCAACCAGAACAAGGCTGGCTGCAGGAGAAAGCTGAGGGCACTGCAGTGGGAAAGAGAATAAAAAGGATGTAGGTCACAAGGGAATAGCTGGGGAAGTCTAAGGAATGCTTGCGGCATTTGTGCCGGGGGAATCCATCAAACACACAGCAAATCCACTGGAAACCTACGCAGTTGCTCCTTGTGAAGTTCATCAAATCAGGTGATTTAATATGCCTTGTTAAAAGCTGGTTTACTTTTCCTTGATTTGCTTTAATACTTTAAATTAATCAACACACACCACAGATGCTCTGAAATACGCAACTTTTTTCCAGGAGTGTCATTTCACGCTCTTCCAAATTCGGACTTGGGCAGCGTTCCCTCTTCAAGGAAATGAGCAAATCTTCAAAGTATTCTCAATTAAAGCCAGAGATCTGAAGCCAACTTCAGCAGCTTGAAAGCAGGGATGGTAACAAAATACAATCTACATAGGTGTTTATACAACTCTGCTGAATAATGTACAACGAGGAAGAAAATGGTAAATTTTGACTCTGCTGAAATTTAATGCAATTTTTGCCACTGACTTTAAGAGGATTGAAATTTCATTCCACAATGATTTATTATATTTTTAATTATTATTCTTTTGAATCTGTCCTTTTGGATTTTATCTTCCACATTTGAATGGTAACATTTTCTGCGATCCCGAAGTAGAAAATGTACTAAAAATGCACTAAGTTCTATAAAGATGTGCTAAAAAGCAAATAAAATGTACTAAATGCTGTATTTTAAAATGTACTATGTTCTATATATAGAAAAATAAAACTGTACTGAATTCTGTACTTGAAGATATATAACTTTAGAGAAGGGATAAGGCAGGTCATAATAGTTTTTGATAGCTTCTTAACAGATGATGTTCTGCCTTGGTACAGTCAAAGCTAAGTGTTAGAGTTTAATCTTTCCGAGTACATTTGCAGTGTAAGTACTGGCTCCCATGGGAAGAGATGTATATTAAAAATAACATACACAATCTAATTAAGACAGAACATGACTATCATTCAAATGCTTTGACTCGGTTAATAAACGAGGATGTTAAGAGAAAAACAAGAATGAAATTTAACACGTTACTCTTGCGCCAAACTAGTTGGGGGTAATGTGAAAGTTTAAGAAAAAAAATACCGAAATCTATCGATTTTATGTAGAAGGAAGTGAGCAAAGCTACTTTCTTTATACCTTTAGTAGAATGCAGTCTAAACAATACAGGCAGTAAATGCAATTAGTTTTCACAAGTAACAGAAGCAGCTTATGTCTTATCTTCTGTAGACTAAAAACACGGTCCTGGTTTCAGCTGGGATAGTTAATATTCTTCCTACTAGTTGGTACGGTGCTGTGTTTAGGATTTAGGATGAGAATAAAGCTGGTAACAGACCCATGCTCTAGTTGTTGCAGAGCAATCCTTGTACTGAGTCAAGGACTTTGCAGCTCCTCATGCTGACAGTGAGGGGCTGGGGGTGCAGCAGGAGCTGGGAGGGCACTGAACCAGGAGAGCTGACCCCAAATGGCCAAAGGGATATTCCATGCCATATGGCGGCAGGCTCCTCAATAAAATGAGCAGGATGGGGGCGGGGGGGGGGGAAGGCTGCTACTCGGGGTCTGTCAGGTGGTAAGCAACCGTATCGTGAATCACTTGCTTTGTTTATTCTTTATGTTATTAACAGGACAGAAAAGGAAGGGAAAATAATAAACTGTCTTTGTCTGAACCCAGGATTTTTACCTTTCTCTCCCCCTTATCCCAAAGAGGTGGGGGAGTGAGTGAATGGCTGTGTGCTGTCACGTTAAACCAAAAGAAATGGACAAATACCATTATCTGAACAACCTGGGGTAATTTAAGCACTCAAAAACTCACATAACCTCTTGTACGACACAGCTTTTATTAAATATACATTTCTATTACTTCATTGATCTTCAGTTATGAGGTGATCATAAACTTATCTAATAATATGATCTGGATACTCCCCTTGCTCTTTAATGCCATTCCAGCACTAGAGCAGGTAAAAGAACCTGTATTTCTTTTTAGCTCAAGACAAAGCATCCAGCATGACAACCTGCAAAATACTAGCTTGAATTCTGCAAGTGGACAGTGACCATTTCTAGCCAAGGCTGGCTGCAAAAGCCTACCACATACACAAATTTCAAAGTTGTGATCTCAAACTCTGCCTTCCCGAGCTGAAAAGTCAGCTCCCATCTTCACTGCATGAGCAGCATTCATTGCGTCATGCCCTAGGCTCCCCAAACTTTTTTTTTTTAATTTAAGAAAAAGTTCATACTGAATGAGAGCAGGCTCAAACTAAGAACTCTCCTCCATCTGAAACTCTGTGGGACACGTTCATCTTCCTACACTTTTCTCCTCATCTAGTCATCTCTACCCCACTATCCTTTAATCCATCTTGATGGATTTCCTTCATCTCAGGGGTGACTCAAGGTTGTTTCTCTGGAAACCAACCATCTGTAGAAACTAACAGGGAATGAAGTCAGAAAAGTAGCCCTAGGAGGCTGTAAAATCAGCAGCTTCTAGTAGTCAAATGCCAAAGCACAAAGTACTTTTCATCGCTACTTAATTGGAACACTTTTTGGAATGTCAGAACAAGAGCAAAATTGAGGATTACGGGCATGCATGCCATGTCAGTGCAAGTTTTGGACGCCGAGCCAGCACACATCATCAGACTCGCTGATGCAGGGTATGGCTGAAACATGAAATGCTTAGAAAGTCATCAGGAACAAATTCAACACCGGTGTCTCTCGTTTTTTGCACCGAAGAGATGAAACTGAATCAGAGATGAAAGACTAGTTCAGTAAATTAACACCCGTGCTTATTTTCAGCGCTGGGAGTCATCACCTGAGACAGAGAGGCAGATCCCTTTTGCTGGCTGGAGACAGGTTTGGGACACACCTCACGATGGCTCTTCCCAAGGAACTGTGAGACGGCCCCGCTGCACGTGGCTCCGGAGGGAATTCTGCTCTGATGAACTACTCCCTTCCTTCCTCAGCCCCTAGTGCTTGCTAGGAAAGTGAATGAATAACTTCATGGCGCTTATTTTTGGACAGCCCAGCAGCAGCCAGCGATACAGCCATACAGATCAATCTTTCCCTGCCAGGGGCTATAAATGTTGCCGCTGGAATGCTCTCGATTCCTGCCAGCACCGTGTCGGAGAAAACATGCTGGAGCCCTAGCAGCTCCTCGCTCTCCAGAAGCACCACCACGACCTGATGAGCGCTCCCTTGTCCCATCACCTCACCTAGCAAAAATGCATGTTCTGGGGGTAAAAGCAGCAGGGCTTCTTTTTATAAAGCCAGAATCGTGTAGTAACAGATATCTATGTCCGTCCCTGCTCCAGCGCCAGTCTATGTTTGTCCCAGGACATTGGAGGGGAATGTGGGCAGCAATCCCACGGTTTTTCAGCCGGCAGCAGCACCCAGGCGACAAGTGCTCGAGCGCAGCCAGCAGCATGTGGGCAATGTGCTGTGGGAATGGCATCACACACGCAGACCTGCAAGGAGGAAAACTTCAGCCAAAACTGTCAAGGGACGGCTGAAGGGCTTGGTTTGCAGAAAAGGGAAACTCCTACAAAATAGCCGAGTGAACAAAACTTGGAACACGCTCAGAGAAAGGTGAAAAACACTACCTTTGATTTACTTTATTTTAAGATTGTAATTCAGAAGGCCCCTTTAAATCATGGGCTTTCATGAAATAATTAAGATCTCAGAAATCAGACCCAGTTTACAGCTCTGTTGCAACTCCTAGGATGAAAAGACACGATCCTAGAGCCACATTCAGTTTCTGCTACATCTAAGACCTAGCCATGTCACAACGACAAATTCACGTGTTAATGTACAACCTGGATGAACCAGGCAGGATAATGCAACTCTTGGTCACGCTTCTGAACGGCATGAAATAGTCACGATGCATTCTGGCTCCGCTGCCAGTCTTGGGCCACCAGCGACACTGCTTGTTTGTGTAGTTTGACAAGTGAAACAACGTAAATTTAAGTACTTCTTGCTCAGAAATACTGCTACTGATCCCTACCTTGCAGCAGGTTACAACCATAAGCCCCGCAGTAAGGGTATCAAGTAACAAAAGCCTCATGACAACAGCTGGATGCCTTGTGGACAACCTAAAAAATCCAGTATCAAAATAAGGAAGCATTTCAGGGTTTCCTATGCTTTGAATTACGGATGAATTACTGATAATGAAACGTTCTTTCCTCTCTCTCAAAAAGAAACCTTCCTGTGCTTGTTGCGTGGTGCACAAAGAATGCCGGTTCCGCTTGGGTGACTAATCCTACGTCGGCGAAGCAAGGAGAGTGCTCACTAAGGACGGCTGCTGCCTATCGAGCAAGAGCCAAGGATGAAAATGGCATTTACTGCCACTGGAAAAAGCTGAGTAACGTACCTCAAACCCTAGGACTCCCAACACATTGCAGAGTGCTGGGAAACTGCAAAGTAAGTTTGCAAAAGCATCTTGTTACTTCTCAGCGCCCAGATGCAAAGATTCTGTTGAAAAGGAAGCTGAAGGAGGAAAGGAAAGGAAGGAAAAGTATTTGCTGAGCTTCATTTTCAAGCTGTTCTGTGAAAGTTTCATCTTATTTAGAAGAGGCTTGGGGTGACAGTTTTCTGGGGGCATGAGAGAAGTCTGAACCACAACGGCTTAAAGCCATGATGCTTTTGGCATGTGGGAGATGGACTCCTCACTTTATCATGATATTTTTATTAAAATTGTTGTAGAGATTGGCAGGTAAGAACACAAAAATTGAAACTACAACTTTTAAAGTTTCTGCAAAAAATTGCAAGATTAAAGTCACTATACAGTTGGCGCAGGAGACATTTCACAGACATATCTACAAAGCAGTCTCTTCTGGTGACACCTAAAATATTTGTTTTATGCAGTTATCCTCTGAAACAAGTTGGCTCCGTGCAGTCTGATAACACAGCTGGGTCAATCTATGAGCTCTCAGCTGGCAAAAAGATGTCAGCTGGGATCAGCTGCCTTCCTCTCACTCAGGAGCTCCTGCCACTTTGCTTTTACCTGAGCTCTGGTGCTTATCGGACTAGGCAGTGATGTTGATTCAACTCCCTACCCCAGCAGAAAGTTCACCTAGCCAAAATGAAGCCTCCCGTCAACAGAAGCTGAGTCAGCACATTGAAGAGCAAACTGCGGGAGCCAGCTGTGTCCAAGGGCAGGAAGGGCAGGGCCGGGGCTGACATTTTTGGCTTGCTCAACCATCAGAAGTTTTGCCGCTTTATCTTTACTGTGCCATTATTTTACTCGGTCTACTTCTGGTCCTGCCCCTTTTTTATACCAGGAGAGATATGTGAGTGTTGCTATAATACAATATTGGAGAAGAACTAATGGGAAAAAATAATAACAAGAGCAAGTCAGTCTTTGGAAATACTTCTATTTTCAAAGAAGTGAAGATGTGAAATGAGCCAGCCAGCCAATGAGTTTAACCAGTTTGAACTTTTACAGGGAACTTGAGCCAAATCCCAGTCTTTTCAGCACAGCCTTCAAAAAGGCCACAGGAAGTACCTTGAATAAAAAACTGAAGATGCTACCCAAAACAAGCCAACCCGATGCTGCTCACTTTGAGAAACCTTCTATGACTGCTGCGTGAAAACCTGACTATTCCAGCTATTTCCCTTTGCCAAAACCTTTTTGGTTTCCCCAATGTTGCCATGACGCAGCTACAGGCCAGGTATTAAGAAGTTGTCTTCATGTTCAAAATTAATGACTATGGGGAAGAAAAAGTTAACAGAATAAACGGAATCCGAAATGCTGCTGTACACAGTACATTAAACCTTTCAAGAGAGTTTAAAGCTGAACATCATACCACGTTTTCTCTGCCATTAAAAACACTTCACTAAAAGCCAAGCAAACAAGCAACAGAATTATTCTGTCTAAAACACAGCATACCAGAAGCAGTGCTACAGTTGGTATTTCTACAGTTTTTCTTTATAGTTATTTTAACTCATCATCAAAGTGAGGTTTTTGTTTGAGATTTCATACCTGCTTTTATACTAAATAGAAAAATTACCTGGAGAATTGGAAAATATTTTATTTGAATCAGATTATTCAATCAAATTACACCCCGTATACTAAAAAAAAACTACAAACAGAACCACCACCCTTTTCTAGTATAATTGACACTGAAATCTCAAAAGGTATAGACATCACAGCAGCCACCTATGCGTGTCCTTTGTAAATAAGTGGTATCTGACCAATGACAACAAAATTCTGCCTCTTGCAAGCCTTTACACTTACCTACAGAATAAAACCAGGTGCAGCTGGTATAGATTTCAACAAAATACACATACTTACCTATACTGGAGGTATAATCGGTGGCTCCAAAGATCAACTCTGGTGCCCTGTAGTACCGAGAGCAGATGTATGAGACATTAGGTTCTCCACGAACCAGCTGTTTTGCACTGAAGGGGAAACAAAACAATAATCTTTTAGTAATGAGAAGTTTTACAATATTTCAACACAGAGCAGTGTTAAGCTTCAGCACTCTTCACCACCCCCAATTCCTAAATGCTAAAGTACTGCATTCTTCTAAGCTGACACAAGCCACAGACTCAATTTACTGTGAAATCAGCTCAATCCATCAAGCAGCTACCTTATAGTGGACAAAGCAAAGGAAATTCTGACTGCAATCTGGAGGATAAATAGGGTCAGATTTTTGGCTGGCAGTTGTCAGTATGTTTTGCAGGGTGCAGAGGTTTGTTTACCAAGTGGAAGAGGACAGAATAGAGCTCAGTCAAATGTAGTTACCTTTTAAGGTTCAAAAGGCCTGGGTACTCACCAAAACTGAGTACTTTTTTTTCCTTTTTTTTTTTTTTTTTTTTTTAACTTGAACAGAATATTCTAGCTCTTTGCTGTTTAAGGGAGTATGGCATGAGGCTAAAGGAGTATGAAAAGGTAAAAAAAACACAAACAACTACAAAACTTTGCCAGTGTGGGCATGTGTTAGTCTGAGATTAACATGTAAAGTTTTCATTTACACTGCCACAAAAGATCTAGCCTACAGTATTGCCCCAAAACTGCATGCACCTTTGGAAACGTCTAAATATGAAGCAACACAAGATTGTGTTACTTTTTTGTTCATGAGTCTATGAACATGTCATATTTCTTAATTAGTACCACATTAGATGGAAAGGATCTGGAAGACCAAACAGCCCTTTCAGACGTATGATATATTCAACTGAGTATCAACAAACCCAGCTGAGTGGCAAGCCAGCTAAATCCAACATCCAGCTTTTGAGATGCACCACTCAGCCTTCAGGGAAGGAGTGTTCCCACCACTTATTTAGCCTGTTTTAAAAAGCCTCAGTTTTTCCCCACAGCTTTTCTACGCAGAAACTATAATTGCCAATTCCACATTTTTAACAAAGTGAAGTACCACCTTTTTTATGCATCGTTACTACAAGTTGCAGCATGGTTCCTCTCTTGCTCCTATGCTGGTGAGGTAGAGCTGAGAAGGAGATTCCCAAGCCACGAGGCGTGACGATGCACTGCTTGGGTAATCACCATCTGACATTCCCACTCGCTACGGGCACGCAAATTTAGCAACAGCAGCTTCGGTGACCTCTCACACATATGACCTACCTATTTTAGTCCGCAAAGCTACAGCACAACCTAAGGACTAGACTTTACCAGGAAGAAATCAATCTCCTGTCTCAGCGTGGATTTCCACAACTTCTGTATCAGTTTTATTTTCTAGAGGAGGGCTGGACTGTAAAGGTGATTCACTTGAACATATACTAGAAAAAAATGTGTCATGGAAAACTAGAATACAGATGTATACTAAGAGCTACTGTCTGAAGCGTTACTGTGGATCTTGGCCCTCCTCTACAGTATTTAAAATACTAAATGGATTGGTAGACTAATACACATAAAGTGTAGCATCAGCCTTTCATGTTACTATGCTGTTCTGCCTGTTTTTTCTTCACAAACACATTTCGCCCTATTATTTGGTGTTATTTTTCCATGGCACGGTATTTTCCCTATGCAACAGCATCTTTACTTTTATTTTTTGAATACCTGCACAAACAACAGGCTTTAATTTTAGTTCCCTCCCATCTGATACCATTTTTCAGCTCAATTTTTTAATATGAAATCATTTTAAATATAAAACAAAGTATTACTAATTTCCCTTCCAAAGCTACAAACAACAAACTTCTGAGGAACACTGAGAGCTTCTTTGCAAAATGTCACTAGTTTCTCCTTGAAAGAGATGGGTTTAACCATCCAGGCTTCAGGCCATAGACAAACTTACCTTCCGAAGTCGCAGAGTTTTAGGACAGCTGTATCAGGGTCCAGCAAGAGGTTCTGTGGTTTTATATCCCGGTGGCAGATCCCAAAGGAATGGATATAGGCTAAACTCCGGAACAGCTGATACATGTACAACTGGAACAGAGAAATACTGCATAAGGCATGGTTTCCCAGCCAGAACATGCTAAACAATTCATCCAGCACAAAGTCTTATTAGAATAAAAAACAGACTCACTCAAAAAACAACCCTACTGAATTTATGTTAGTGCTGCGAGGATGTCCAGAAACTGGCATATCTTTTCACCTCCTGCCATATAACAACAAGGAGGTTCAAATTCATTTATTTGTTCTTTAGAAAATGAGCACAACTCTAAAGAAGAAGTTATACCAGCTTTCCGACGTTTAAAAATAACCACAGAACAAACACTGATGGTAGTCACAGAAAACATACACACAAAGAAGTTTGTTTGCTTTGTGGATCAGTCTCTTCATAAAAATGAAGTATTCTTATGATAGTGTCTTAACCTGTCACCGGAATGAATCTCCCAGTTTTTTTCTTGGAGAAGGGACAGGCTTGTTTCAATTTGGGCAAAAAGAGAGGGCCCATGAAGACAACTGTTCTGAACATCACATAGCAAAACTGGACGATGCAGGAATGTCTGGCTGCTGCAGCTACACACATCAGGCTACAAATAATAAGAAGCTGCTGGACATACTTAGGACTGTACTGCATATGGAGTCATAAAGACATGGGAAAACCCAGGCACAAGTCTGACAACAGGCAGCCAACAATTCGAAATTAGCCTATAGGCTGGACACTACTGGAGTTACACCTTCACATTTTCCTTTTCTAAACACACATTCTCCACACGCCAGCTTTAAGAGCCCGTAAAACAAGGTGCAACTACTTGATATTGGTATCAAGCCATGTTTGCCTCACTCTCACCATTATCTTTGTCTTTACACTCCCTCTCTCCCCCCCCCCCCCCCTTTTTTTTTTTGTTTGGTGGGAAGGTACGAGCAGAAGAATAGCCTGACTTCTGGCTCTGGTTTTAGTTTTCGTATTTGTTTGTCAAAACCACAACTCTGCACAAAGAAAAGCAAACAAACGTTTTCTGAATTGACTGTTCTAGACGCGTCAAGTTTTTATTGTGCAAGTGTATTGCAAAATCATCCAGCAGATTGCTCTAAATTGAGGAGTCAAGTCAACGCATGTGGAATTCATAAAGCATGCCTTCCATCTCAACATGGCAAACCCAAAATTTCCACGAATTTCCTACCGACTGTTGGAGGTTACAAATAAAATTTAATAAAAAGACTACTAAAAAAATTCCCTGCAGTTCCTTAGCAGCTTCTTTGTTATCCAGGCAAGAGAAGTTTATCAAATAGGCATGACCTGACCTTTGTGTTACCCATGTATCTTCCAATTGCCAAAGCTTTAATGGCATCAAAGCCATGCGATCTCTTTTAAAACACGAGATTATGACAAAGGCTTGCTTTGTCAGAAAAACAAGGCAAGAACAGTCTTGCTGGCTGTTCTACCTGGAATGGGAAGTCCCAAATATCCAGCAAGATGAAACAGCTGAAGCAGAGTTTTCTCTCAAAAAATACAACTTTTTTCCCCCATAGTCCTCATAATGAACAGGAATTAGCACAAAAATATATAAATAATCAAAAGCTAAGCTAACAAGCTTTGGGAAGCATATAACCTGAAGGCATATTCCACCAACAGGCCCAACACAGGAGTGACCTTGCAGCAGGAATTCTTGTTGCTGAATGAGAAGATGCTGTGCTTCTTAAAAACAGGCAACAGAACACGCTACTGCCAAAGCATGCAACTTACAATTTCTTCACATGTAGTTATGGCACACTTTGTTATCAGAAAAATGACTTTTTGCAACTTGAATCCTCTTGCAATCGAATTAAAACTTATTATTTAGCCCACCCTAATGTTAAGCATTACGTATTTAAAGACGAGCCTGGAGAAGTCAATGCAAGCCAGGAACGTTTGTTGCTAACTTCCATTTAGTGTTATCTGGATGCCATGTTAACAAGCTGATACAAAGTTAGCAACATGATCATTCATCAGCATGTGGACTGTGGTCACCACAATATACGAAATAGAATTACGAGACCCAGATGTGTCCCATACTTGACAAAAAAAATAATTTTATTCATTGCAAGCCACTTTGTAGAAGACAATGAAAGATGCAGGCAGCTCAAGTGCGGTTTTGAGGCTACAATTTGCATACAAACATCTTGCCCCACGTAGCTCTTCAAGCTGAGTGGTGAAGACAATGAGTTCCAAGTGCAGGGAAAGAGACAAAAATGCACCTTTCAATCCCTCAGAAGCACGTGTCGTCTTACTCATATGCCAGGAAAAGGGGAAGGTAACAGTTAAGAGAAAACTATTCTTCCTGATATCCTCTTTGAATTCTTGACCTTTGTTCTATTTTGTCTTCATCATCATCTCAGGATGCCGAAGCTGGTTACCTGGCTGGTGTCAGTCTCTAAAGTGCTTGAAAACAAAACACCCCTCACTCCCTGGCCTCTCCCCAGCCCTTTCTGAGATGTCTGGAAAGGGAGAAATCAACTGATGAAACTTAAGCCTTTTGTTCCTGTTCTTCGTTTTCCATAGCATGAATTGTTCTGATCTTTTTTTTTTCCTTGCCTGAAGATGTATGTGCTTCTAAAAATCTCAGAAAACTAATTATGTGAGAAGAGAGGTATCCAGAGAGTCTGTTCCTATAATATACTTCTTCATCTAACCACAGCTATTCGTTACCTACCTTGACATAAATCATAGGGAGTGTCTGTTTGGCCCGACTATAATGTCTGGCAACTCTGTATACTGTTTCAGGAACATAGTCCAGCACCAAGTTGAGGTACACCTCATCTTTCTGAAAAAGAATAGGAGAGAAAAAGAAAAATCAATAATAGTTTTGAAGCATGAAGCACAATAAAAGCATTCAGAAAAACTGACAGGTTGAGAAACCCGTGGACCTTCTAAGTACATCTTTAGTGGGCGTGTGAGCTGCCACCAAACTGTTCTTCCTCTAGGCTTAGGACCTGCGCTCTAATACCCAAGTCAAATTTATATTTAAGGTCACATTAATGAGTGTGGTCTCTACCATAAGGCATTTTCTGATTATAAACGAGGACAAAGAGATAAATGTTCTGCCCACTCAATATTTTCATTAGGGGATATCACCTTGAAATACTTTCCTCATTATAAAAAGCAGGCTAACCAACCCATTAGTCTCTTCCCCGTCAAAACCCAAGAAGTGCAAACTTGGAATTCCCCAACTCACACCCCACAACTACACTTTTTATAAAAAAAAAAAAAAAAGTTTTAAAACCCTCTTTTAGAAATGTTACTTTACTTTTACTGAACTGCTAAGAGGTTAGTAATTACTTGCCATTAATATTACCTATCCACAGACAGCAACCCAATGTTAATATTCCTAACCCTTCTGCTTACAAGCGTTTCAAAGCCCCAGTTTTGTCCAGCTTAAGCTTACAAACGCATTGCAGGTAAAACAGAAAAAGATAGAAACATGAAACAGAAAGATTCGAGCATCATTTTTATTATCTGGAATCAGGTTAGAGGTCTGTGTGAATTCAATCCCAAGGAACAACAGAGGCAGCTTTATAATAAAGTACTTTGTTACAGAATATGTTAGCAAAGGAAAGCAGGAACAAAGAGGAATTAAATGACACAGAGCTATAATCACATAGTGCCTAATTGTGGAAGAGATCATTTCAGTGGTAAAACAGGTCTTAAAAAGACTTCTGATATTTTAATGCAGTCTTCTGTGCAAAGCATCAGGACTGCAAATAGATTTAATTATACCCTCCTCCCCCCAACATTAATTATATCAACCTGAAGAAGTATTTCTGCAAGCTGGGTGAGTTGAGCAGAAGTAACCTCTCCTGCACTTGCTGCATTAAGAACTGGGTCTTTCTACAGGCAAGGGGATCCAGAGAGACACGTCACGGATGGGGACAACACGGAGCTCCCAGGTCTTCAGCTGGAGCCCCCCGTCAGCAGGCCTGTGTGTCGTAATGCTTCCCGACTTGAAAACAAACCTCATTGAGCTGCAATTTAATGATGTTACTGGGACTTAATTAGTCACTCGGAGCGCGGTGTGGTGTTACTCTCACAGCTTTCCGTGCGCCTTAGCTGTCCCGATCCTGCCTGGGCAAGCAGCAGCCACCTCCGCTGGGTATATGAATGGCATGTAGTAACACACACACCAACACCTCCAGTGCCTGATGTGTGAACAGCTGCTGGCTTCTGCATCGTTTGCAAGATCTGTGCTCATTGTTATTTGACAACACGTGCTTGTACTTCCAGGACATCTCAGTAGCTCTTGCCAGTAGCTCCGAACAGGCCAAGTCACCTCGCAAGGACCTGCCTGCATCACTCTTCCTTACAAGATGCTCTATTTAAGCACCACTGCTTAAATAACAGTGGTAACAGCACTGGCACTACGTGAATGCCAAGGACTGCTAGCTCGTGACTGCTCTTCCTGAAATTTTCACACTTTCTCTTCTGCAGAAACAATTCTTTCCCTTCAAGCCAACTGAAATCCAGCACCACCCCCTGCACTCAGGTCAGAATTTTCAAGGCGTTGGTTATAATAAAATATACAGCCTGAAAAATCAAGTGAACTTATGCCTGGTAAGGCAGCCCGTATACCAAGAGAGCAAACAGTCTCCTGAAAATGAGAACGTTTGATTCAGTGTAGATAAAACCTGATGAATGATTGCCTCTCAGAGAGCGCTGCAGCTGTACTGGTAACAAGTCAATGTGCAAAGCACTCTGTTACTAAGGTTGATTAATTTCTTTCAAAGAATTCATGTTCCACGTATCAAAAAAGACTTACGAGACATTAGACCAAAAAAACGAGTAAAAATGGAGTTATAGTGATTTCATTATCCTCTCACAATACAAGGAAAATGAGACATAAAACTAATACATACGATTATTAAACTCTTTCTACACTACTTCATAGCAGTGAGTTTCAAGAAATAAGAGAACTCTATTTAGTTCATACCATGTTTCACTTCTCTTCTCCGTTTTGATTTTCATTTTGTATTCTTTGGGAAATAAAGACTAATTCAATGGCGTGACGTGACAAGCACAAAGAGATGAGGACACCTCCATCGCAGAGGTGGAGATCTTGCACCCACCAGCCCCTGAGAGTTTTGATGCCAAGCACAGCACTTGAACAAACTGCATGGGCTTTGCATGGTGTTCCTGTGTAAATATCTATCATCTTATCACCTACAACGTGTGATGGCACATGAACACCTTTCCCCCAGCCAACGGACAAATTGTCTAGATCCATATATCTGATGGACCCAGAGCTTTCATATACAACTATAAAGGCCAGCCTTCTGCTGCTGGCTCTGTAAGAAGGAACTGACACTTCAGAAGAGCCCTAAATAGCTGCTTTCATGAATTAAAGATGATTCAAGTGTTCTGACCTACCTCCTCCTGATGTCACCTGGTACCACTCCGATAAACACTTAGAGTACAGTTTTCAAGAGTTCTCAAGAACTATCACCCTTCTCCGTGAGCATGATATGGACGAAAATAACATCCAGATTACCTGGGTTCCCCCAGACAAGGTTCAGTATGAGCTAGAAAGCAGTCGTGGCCTGACAAGCCCCGAGGATGATGTAACCTGGTGTGCCTACCTCATGCATTCCTCCTCAACACATATTTTTCCAGTGACCCAGATGTATTACACCAGGAAACGGGGTGAGCTCAAAGAGCTTGCCAAATGAGGGCAACTGCTTCGGGATCAGGAGAAAGGATCGAGGCTTATCTTTCCATTACAGCAAGCCTTCTTCAGACCTCACCGAGTATTCCACAGCTGACTTGTTTCCATGTTAATGTTTTGAAATTGCTGGGTTGGGCACCAGCCAAGGTAACCTAACCATCAGGAGCACATCCGAAACACCTCTACGGAGCCTAGATGGATCAGGAGTAGTATAAGTGGCAAAAATCTATTATGAAACATCATTAAATAACCCACTCTTCCTTACAGATGTTGGGATTGAATAGATGATTAGCCTTCTTCCACAGCTCAAATGTTTAAGTGCATCCGTGTTTTCCTGTGCTTGCTGCTCAGGTCATTACCATCTACGCTTTACAAAGAAAAAAGGGGTGGGCAGGGAGCCAGATCCCGAAACACAGGATCAATGCATTTCATTAGGATTTTGACTTTAGCCCTGCAACTCATTTCTGGTCAATTGCCCCAAATGTTAGAAGCTGCTTGTTGTCACTTGGCAGGCGAAGTCTCAGCTGCCACACGCTGCGCTTCTAAACACCTAAAGGAGCCAGAGCAAAATAACCACGGCCTTGTCACTGAACCAGCATGCATCCCTCAAGAACCAATAATTCAAGCGCTATTTCACTTTGGAAACACTTCACAGAAATAAATACCATTACAGACTGTGCCACAGTGAGAGGCACGAGCAGGGCACGGGAGCCAAAGCATTCTTGCAGCTTATTTTTTTGTTGTGTCAGAAATCAGAGATTAAACAGGCTGCAAGTACAGGCTCCAGCACGTGAACGTTAAACACTGCAAGGTTGAAGACCCAGTGAAAGTAAAAACATTACTGACATGGAAAAGGCAGCACGGAGGTCACAAACCCCAATTTTAAAGCTCTCCTGGCCTTCAGTCCACACAAGCAAACCTGCTCTAAGCACCATCCATCCAGTTGAGGCTCAGTATGGCAAATGTAAACCATTAGCTAGTGGTTTAAAGGATTCACTCTTTTGGATTGTCCCTTGCAGGAAAAGGACAAATAGCCCTTCTCAACAAACCTCTGATTAATCCTGAGTGGTTTCTGTCAGCTTTTGATTGTTTTTTTTTTCCAGGTATCACAAGTAATACTGATAAAAAGGCCACAAAATTATTCTGGTTGTTTTTTCTTCTAGGGTGACCAAACTTACTGGTCAGCATCTGGAAAGAGCGGTGAATACTTTCAGTTTTTATCTGTCCTGTCAGTAACAGGGTAGAGGAAATTGCGAGGTTTGCAGGTGGTGGTTTTTGTTTGTTGTTGTTTAAATCTCAACCCATTTCCCTGAGTTAGCTGGCCTCCGTATGGTCAATTAAAGTTAAGGAATATGCCTCAAGAACTGCACTTCTTACTTGAAATTATCACTATTGGGACTCTATGAGGTTAATAAGCCTTCATTTTACTCAGATAGATTCCATTTTTCTATATGGTATGAAAGAACTCCACCGGTGTTGGGAAGGTATGTGCTACGCGTGTGGGCTGTCAACGTCAGGATGGCAGCCACACAAGAGTTCTGCCAGAAAGCACTGAAGGATTTAACTTGGATTTTGGAAGCCAGAAAACTGATTTTAGCATCTCACGAGGATTAAGCCTTCTTTCAGAGTGCATTACTTAAACGCCAGAGTGTCAGCGTTAGGTAAGATACGCCCTTCACCCTGGTTACGTTTAGACAACATAAAAGGTTCAAAGTCATGCTGGTTTTGCCCTCAATAGAAAAATAAAGAAAAAAGCTTTTACTTCTTAAAGCTACAACCAACACATACTTCAAACTCTTATCAGACACAGTAAGACGTACCTTCCTTCTCTTATCTTGAAGGCTGACGTGGTGCTTTAAAGATACAAAGCCTTTGGTGCTGCTTTTGAAGACAAAGCAAGAATCTGCAGCCTTCCTTCTCTAACTTTCTCAGTAGCCATGACAAATGGGAAAATTTTAAAATGCCAAAAATGCTGGAACTGACCTTATTTGTATGAAGGAATGGTGACATCCAGTGGCCACATGTGCGTGTTTATACTTACAGTTTACAACCACATCTATTCCCAAACTGAACCCTGGCTGCCACCAAAGTAAAGGAGCCCTAAGACT